TTAGCGGTAACTCCTTTTTTTCTTTTCTTTTTGTAAGATGAATGGTCGAACACTTGAGTAGCCATTAGAATTTTAATACATCTAGATTTTGATCTCATCACTAAGATCTCCGAGATTAAGTTTACATCTTTTTGTGAAGAATCAAGCAAATCTCACACACATGGTAGATTATAGTAAGGCTCAAAGAACTCCACTACAATCATAGTTCACAAAGATCACAATCACCACCTTAGGAGATCAATCCAAGGATACAAGCGTAATTCTAAAATAATCATAAAAATCACATAAGGAAATTGAGAAATTTAAATTACTTTTATTCGAAAATACAATATAATATCACATGATTTGATATTACACCATAAAACTCCTTATATAGCCTTTCCTAGTCTTTGATATTAGAGATTCAAAGTTTTGACTAATTTATTTTAGAAGACAAATATAACTAAATCAAATCATAAATGAAATAATAATGGTCTAATCTTATCTTTGTGAGGGGTTGGGGAGGGGTAACTAGATGGAGTTCTAATCTAGCGAGTGCCCCTAGATAGGAAGGTCAATGGCAATGGTGTGGTGGTAGTGTTAGTAGTAGAGGAGGTAATAGTAACGGAAATAGTTGATACACAATAAAATAATAATAATAATAATAATATATCACTATTTTGAAGAAGAAAAAGAAAAATCTCATTCTTATTATTTCTTGTTTTTATTCTCCCCTCCTTCGTGTTTTATTTTTATTCTTCATTCTTATTCCCATTTCATTCTTTTCATTGCATCTTTATAATAAATAAACCTATCTATTTTCTTGCTATTATCCTCTATATCCAAAAAAAAAAAAAGAAAAAAAGATCAAGTCGGGATCCTTACCAATTGCATCTCCTAATTCTTCATTAACGTAATACTTGATACCATTTTTACTAATTATTTGACCCTCTAAATGTACTTCATAAATTGGTCTCCATGCTATTATGTCAAAACGCATTAATTCAACTAACACATTCGTATCCATGTAAAATTATAATTACTAAAAGTACTCAAACTAATTCAAGCAAACTAATGTCGGGAAAGACGAAGAAGAAAAACTTATGCAATTAATTCGGCTAACAATCATTACTTTAATGAAAAATCAAAGAAAATAAAAAAACCATGTACCTTTCTTATTATATCACGATAACTAACACTCGGAATGCTTGTTTGCATCTTAAAACTTTCGATAAACACTCTTCATGATGTAACATGTAATTACAAATCTAAGAACATAAGGAAGACTCGGGGCTTTATATAAGGAAAAGCCATCACAACTATATATGGATGACCTATATTTAACAAGATAAAAAATCAAAATAAAGTTTTTTCTTTTTTTTAAAGATTAGATAAATTAGTTAGATGTATAGATTATTCTCATAATTTGATTTGAAAATATAGAACTCCAAATTTGGTAATATAATAACACTTAATGACCTCAAAATAAATTATCAAAAAATATTAAAATAAACAAAATAATTTGTGAGTATATTGATAAAATCATGTGAATATAATTCAATTCAAATCTTACCTTTGCCCTATCCACATTTATTTATTAAAAATTTTTAATGAGCAATTTTTTTTTTACTTTAATAAAAATCAAAATCATAGTAAAAAAAGAAAGTAGATTATTAATTAGTCCTTCTCATTTGAAAAACAAATTATTTAACCCTTATATTTTTAAAGTTTCTTGTAATTTAATCATTTTCATATTTTTTAATTTATTTTGAATAATTAAAAAAATAGAAAGATTGATGGAAAAAAAAGACTTTTTTTGAAATAAAATAATACTAAATTAAGATGGTCAACAGTGGTAAAAAATTAAATAATTAGTTTTTAAAACAAATAGGACTAATCAATTTGTTTATTAAAAGTAGAGGGACTAATATATAATTTATTCTAAAATCCGAGGACTAGAAAGCTTAGGGTTAGCCTGTAAAAACAGTAATCTTTCCCGCAGTTGTTTCTCTAGAACAAATCTCTCTCTGTCCAAATATTGACACACCAAGTACCACTTTCTCCAACGTAAAGTTAGCATCTAATTCTAATTTCTAGGGCTCTGCAACTGAAGAACCACGAGAGAAAGATCGATGATGCTGATGATGATGGCGGTACCAAATCGAAGTTCAGCAGCCCCTTCTATTGCTATTGGGTTCCAATTTCAACTAATGGGTATCATTCTATTGTCTAGCAACCATTCCAGCTCCATTTCCACTTATTCTTCTTTTTCTACCACTAGCTGTACAGACAAACACAAAAATGCTTCTTATATTGATGATGCCCTTTCTTCCTTCCATCGCATGCTTCGTAGGAATCCTCGGCCTCCTGTTGTCGAATTCAATAACTTATTGTCTGCTATTGTTAGAATGGGACATTATGAGACTGTGGTTTCTCTTTCCAAACAAATGGAATTAGTTGGAATCTCTCATAATGTTTGTAGTTTTAACATCTTGATTAACTGCTTCTGCTACTTACATCGTGTTAATTATGGGCTCTCTGTGTTGGCCAAGATCATTAAACTTGGTTTTCAACCCAGTATTATCACATTTAACACTTTAGTCAATGGCCTGGGTAAAGTGGGTAAATTTGCTCAAGCTGTGGAATTCTTTGATGAGATGCTGGCAAGAGGGTACAAACCCAATGTCCACACTTACAATATTATTATCCGTAATTTATGTAAGGTTGGGGAAACCACCGTGGCTACTGGGTTGCTTATGGAAATGGAAGAGGTTGGTTGCCAGCCAAATGTTGTGACATACACGATCATTATCAATGATTTATTCAGGACTGGGGAAACCACTGTGGCTATTGGATTGCTTAAGCAAATGGAAGAGGCAGGTTGCAAGCCAGATGTTGTTACATACAATACTGTCATCAACGGTTTATGTAAGAATGGGGAAACCACTGCGGCTATTTCATTGCTTAAGCAAATGGAAGAGGCAGGTTGCGAGCCAAATGTTGTTACGTACAATACTATTATCAACTATTTATTTAAGATTGGGAAAACCACCATGGCCGCTGTATTGCTTAATAAAATGGAAGAGGCAAGCTGCAAGCCTAATGTGGTGACATACAGCACATTGATTGATATTATTTGTAAAGAAGGCAAGGTCTCTGAGTCTCTAAGTATTTTAAAAACGATGACTAAAATGGGTGTGGAGCCTAATGTTGTTACTTACAATTCTTTGATGAATGGATACTGCTTGCAAGATGAAGTTGTTAAAGCTAGAGGTGTATTTGATGCAATGATAAGCAAGGGTTGTATACCCGATATTGTTAGTTATAACATCTTAATCAATGGATACTGTAAGACCGAAAGGTTAGATCAGGCCAAAAAACTTTTTGATGAAATGACTTATCATGGCCTCATTCCAAACACTGTCAGTTACAATACTCTGATTAGTGGCATGTGCCAAGCAGGGAGACTTAGAGAAGCACAAAAGCTTTTCAAGAATATGCATGCTAGTGGCAACCTCCCAGATTTATCTACTTGCTCAATTTTGCTTGATGGCTTCTGCAAGCGAGGATTTCTTGATCAGGCATTGAGATTGTTTCGGGAAATGCAAAATAGTTTTCTGAAGCCTAATTTGGTGTTGTATGATATCCTCATTCCTGCCTTGTGTAATTCTGGAAAGCTTAAAGAAGCAAGGGAACTGTTTTCAGAACTTCTTGTCAAAGGGTTGCAGCCGGATGCTCGGCTATATACTATAATAATAAATGAACTTTGCAAAGAAGGATTGCTGGATGAAGCATACAAAGCTTTCCGAAATATGGAAAAGCATGGCTGCCCTCCAAATGAATGTTCTTATAATGTTATTATCCGAGGATTTCTCCACAACAAGAATGATTCAGGGGCAGTACAACTTATTCATGAAATGAGAGACAGGTTCCGTTGCTGATGTGGGCACATCAGCCTTCATGGGAGATCTGCTATCTAACGTAGGCAATGTTGTTTTGAAGGAGTTATCTAGGGTTATGTGAAGTTTGTCAAGGTGAAAAGGTAATGCAAGTTTTTCATGCTGCTAATTCATGTGGCAAATATTAAATAGCTTTTTTTCACCGCGTAAGTTGTTGTTAGTTCCATCTTGTCAAAATGTACAACGACACAAATTACTTGTTTTTTTATTTTTGCAAATCATAATAGTCATTAGCGACCTGTTTTGGACTAGCATTCACAGCCTTTGGATTATATGTGCACAATTATGATTGTATGTAGATATTTCTTATACTTCATTGAACATTTTCCTACATTTTATCTTTTGTCCTTTTTGTCTTGAAACAGCTTGTAATGTGGGACTCATTAAAATCTTACATGAGTTACTTTTGATAGAGTTTATGTTAACAGAAGGTTATGCTAAACAACAAATAATTCTTTTTTTATCTCTTGTTTTGTCAACATTACCGCTGCCGTAATCCAAACCCAAATTACTGGGATCGACTATAAAAATGTGCATCATGTGTGGGCTTGACAATTTTGATTTTTGGCTCTTACATAAAGCCAGTTGTTGCATGTGGCTATCTACTTTGTTGTATAGAGTTGTGCATTTCTCAGATAATCTGTCCGAATTTTCATTTTGGCAATATGTTGCAGTAGATGCTGCTGGAGTCTTTGTGTCAACCATGCAGGTAGATTTTCCTGCCTTGGTTTTGTTTGACGCTGTTTAAGTCAAGGACGACTTTGTCATATGCTGCTACGAATACTGGTTGCGCTTCTTCCTGTACTGGCTGGTGCATTTTTAAATCAGTATTTCTGGAGCCTAGTTAAAATTGTGTCTCCCTTGCGCTTCATCTATTCTTCATGCTTCTGGTTTTTTCTTTGGATATTTGCTTTCAAGAATGCTTGGGCTTGATGTGGTGTCATCAGGGACCATCTTCATTGAGGTTGGCATGCAGATAGACTGTTACTTGGGGGGGGGGGGGGGGGTGTGGGTGGGGATGTGGTGTGTGCAAATTAAAATTTTTCTGGCATCCTAATTGAAATGTTTTCAACTTTGGTGAGACCAAGGCTGTTGGCCCCCTTGCATCCATCACAGGGTGATCTGAAGGATACTTCACATTTAGAAGTTGATTCCTGCTATGCATTCCCATTTCTCATAATGATAAGTGATTCCGCTTTTCTGTTTATGTTTCAGAACTCTTTGCTCGGTATTGTTCTTGATACACAGCATTTCAGGAACAGGCTGACTGCTGTGCTGTGTGCCATTTCTGGTGTCTGCCACTCAATCTTTGGTAGTGCCCTGGCTGGAATTTGGAGATGCAGTATGCCTGCCCGGAATGAGGATTGAGGTGATCAGAAATGTGGAATGCCTTAATTTTCAGTAAAATTATGATAGGTCTAATAGTCAGATTTATTCTGTGTTCAAATGCTGCACTTTGCACTATACTTCTTGTGCTTGCTTCCATATACATAATTAGGATTTGGCATGTTGTAATGGATTTAGGTTTTGTAATTTTAAAATGCTAGGCACTGGAAGTTCTTATTCTTTGACCTTATATTGCGAGAATGATATAACTATGAAGAGGACACTGCTTACAGAGCAGGAAGATGTTCTGAAAGGTTAGGGTAGGCTAGGATGAACAAATTTGTGGCCTTTTAAAGTGTTGGTGTTCAAAGTGTTGGGGTTTGAGGTGATCGAGAGCCTAAATAACAAAAATGGATGCTATGATTAGTTTTAGCGTCAAGAAACCTGGTAAAGGAATGCAAATCAATAGATTGTATTATTGCTTACTTTTTGACCAAATAATTTCCTTGCTACCCTGAAATCTTTCTCTCTGTTTTCATTTACTTTAAGTGCTTGTTTTACGAAATCTGATTTCGTAATCCAGAGATTCTTTCCAAGAGATGATTTTTCAGCGAACTAATTAAATTAAAAGCTGTCTATAATGTAATAGAAACAAGATAGTTTATATATATATTGTCCCTTGCTTTGTCAATCTTACTGCTGTAATCAAAATCCAAATTATTCAAGCAATAGACTATAAGAACGTGCATCATGTGTGGGTTTGATGATTTTGATTTTTGGTTATCTCGCAGAAAGTCAGTTGCTGCTTTTGGTTACCTACTTTGCCGTATATAGTTGTGCATTTCTCAAATGATCTGTCTGAATTTTTATTTTGTAGCCAGTTATCTATCGAAGGCAGGTTGTCCAAGGCTCAAGGTATTTTAAAAGTTACAACTGCACGAGCCTGATGTTTTTTCTTACAGTTCTTTGATGCATGGATACTGCTTGCAAGGGAAGTTGTTGAAGCTAGAGTGGTATTCGGTGTGATGATAAGCAAGGGTTGTATACCTATTGTTTTTAGTTGTAGCATCTTAATCAATGGATACTGTACGGCCGAAAGGTTAGATCCCGCCAAACAACTTTTTGATAAAATGACTCATCAAGGCCTCAGTCCAAACACTGTCAGTCACAACACACTGATTAGTGGCATGTGCCAAGCAAGAAGACTTAAAGAAGCACAAAAGCTTTTCAAGAATATGCATACTAGTGGCAACTTCCCAGATTTATTTACTTACTCAATTTTGCTTGATGGCTTCTGCAAGCGAGGATTTCTTAATCAGGCATTGAGATTGTTTTGGGAACTGCAAAATAGTTATCTGAAGCCTAATTTGGTGTTGTGTGATATCCTCATTCCTGCCATGTGAAATTCTGGAAACCTTAAAGAAGCGAGGGAACTGTTTTCAGAACTCCTTGTCAAAGGGTTGCAGTCTGATGCTTGGCTATATACTACAATAATAAATGAGCTTTGCAAAGAAGGATTGCTAGATGAAGCGTACGAAGCTTTTCGAAATATGGAAAAGGATGGTTGCCCTCCAAATGAATGTTCTTATAATGTTATTATTCGAGGATTTCTCCACAACAAGAATGATTCAAGGGCAGTACAACTTATTCATGAAATGAGAGACAGGTTTTGTTGCAGATGTGGGCGCATCAGCCTTGATGGAAGATCTGTTATCTAACGAAGGTAATGTTGTTTTGAAGGAGTTATCTAGGTTTATTTTTTTTCCCTCGCAAATCATAATGGTCATTAGCTACCTGTTTTGGACTAGCATTCACAACCCGTGGGTTATACATGCACAATTATGAGTGTATGTAGATATTTCTTATACTTCATTGAACATTTTCCTACATTTTATCTTTTTGTCATTTTTTGTCTTGAAACGGCTTGTAATGTGGCACTCATTAAAATCTTGCATGAGCTGCTTGTGATTGAGTTTATGTCTGCAGAAGGTTATGCTAACAACAAATAATTCTTTTTTTTATCATCTGTTTTGTCAACATTACCTAGCTACTAAAATTATTAAAACTAGAAGATATCTAAAAGAAAGTTAATTTTATTTATTTTTCTAAGCTGATTATTTTTCTTTTAGAATATAAACATAATTCCATGTAAAGTCATGGAAGAAGAATAAATTGGAAGAGATGGAGTTTTGTGTCTTTTGGTGAAGAAGAGATGGGCCTCTCTCTCTCTCTTTTATTTGAATTTATCATTTGAACCTGAGGTCCAGCCCTTTTGTTTTTGCAAGAACAACACCCCAAGCCCATCATTGATCTTTCAGTTTTTGACATAGGGTGTTTTAATTTTGAGAGAAATAAGCAAATTGAATTATAAGCTTTGAGGAAACGGCATACGCTTCCATTATTTACTGCTTTTCAAACTATTGATTGGCATCCAATTCCTGTTTGGTGTATTTTTTTATTTCAAATGAATGCAAGTCAAAGTTTGATTTGTTAGCTTGTCAGAGTGCAGCAGCTTACATAATATGACATTTTGTTTTGAATTGCATTCTCTTGCCCTAAATTATAGACTGTTAATATTTCAAATAGTAAGAACTTTAGCTGTATGCCCATAAGTAACTAGCTTTCTAGTTTCTATAGATTCATTTCTCACCATTGGTTCTTCGCTTCATGTCAAGGCACACGACAACAGCAGGAATTGGAGCAAAACGTGACGCTCAACATCAACAAATTCTGTTTGTATTTCTTTTGTGTGTTTTGTAATGTATAAACGTAGAACATCACCTTTTTAAAGGCATGCCATCTAGTGAAGTTCACTTGCTATATGAAGGAACTATATTCTGCAGTTTGTTCCCTAGCAAGAGGAAAAACATTTAAACATCGATGGGCATAATCATTTTGCTGCACATCAGGAAATCTCTCCTTTCAATTATTGTATGAACAATTGGATACAGTTTAGGTGGTTCGCATTTGGGAGTGGGAGCGCTTGTTTGATGGGCCCTTTTGACCTTTAAAAGTCAGGCCATACCGAATTCTAGTATCATGTTTACTCACATAGTTTCAAAGCCCATAGCTACGAAGTCACTGGGCCATTATAACCCGTCCAATGTTCTCCACGTGTGTCTAACCGCCCGCGAAGCTTTTTCAAGGAGAAGATCCAGAGGCAGATGCTGTTTAAATCCCCTCTGTCTTGGGCACTTGGTTTTTTTTTTTTTTTTTCTTTAGGCCTAAAGACCCTTGAGTTAGGCTTGGGCCTACAGGACTTCAAGTAGAGACTCTCGGGTTAGGCTTGGGCCTGGAAGATTTCGGTTAGCACCCATTGAAATTCTTTTGGATGTTTTATGATAATGTTGATTTTTCTTAAAATAAAGGATGAATGATATTAATTATATATTATTTGATATAAGAAGATTTTTTTTATATTTCGGTTCAAAGTTAATTATCTCTAATTAATATACTTAATTTAATATATAATTAAAACTCATCCTCAAGTTAGGCCATAAAATACAAAATTTCTTATCAAACACCTAGCTGATGGTTTAAAGTTTTTTTCTTCGAGAAAATTGGATAAAAACTCAAAAACAAGCTTTAGGTTCATGATTGGCTAAAATTAATAAATAATTAATAATGTACTTTTCTAAAATATTCTTATTTTGTAATGCATGATTAAATTGAATATATTTTTTTTGAAAATAAAATTTTAAAAAATTCTAATGTAAAAAAAAAATAGCAATAAATAAATAAAACGTTGGCAAAAAATTTTGCGTCTCTTTTCCTTCTTAAAACGTCAAAATTAGTAGAAAATAGAGATGATTATTGATGGATGGACTAATTCTGTTCAACATATCCAGAAGCCCAGTTGTGTCAATTAACATCACAAAAACTTTCAACGTCATTGAACCAGAGAGAGAGAGAGAGAGAGAGAGAGAGAGAGAGAGCATTTGTTTTCCTGAGTTGCAGAGTAAGCGAGCAAAGAGCAAAGCAACAAAGTTGCAGACTGACTCTGCTTCCTTCCTTCCCTCTCCTTTCCTTTTCTTTCTGTCTGTCTTTCTTTGTTGCAAAAGAAGAGAAGAGAAGACGTAAGCAAGACAGTAAGACACCATCCGATCGATCTCCCAATTCTGTATCAATCTAATCTAGCAACACCAATAGCAAAAACTACGGTTTCTTTCTTGCTTAGTTTGCCCAATCTCTTTTCAGTAATTGATTTTTCTTCTACTACTACATACTGCTGCATTCGCTTCCCTGCCCTGGATTGCCTGCCTGCCTGCCTTTGATTTTTTATTAAATTTTACTCATATTGTTGTTAATTTGTTCTTTTGTTTCTTGTAGAGGGAGAGAGAGAAAGAGATATAATCTTCTCTTTACTCATATTATATGAGGAAGTGGAATAAATTGGTGAAGGAACCTACATAGTTGTCTACAAAGCTCGTAATCGTATCACTAATGAGACCATTGCTTTGAAGAAGATCCGGTTGGAGCAGGAAGATGAGGGCGTACCCGGCACTGCTATCCGAGAACATTGTCGGATAATTTCAATTTCTATCTTCCTTCTTGCTTTTCTCCGGACGCTAATCTCTAAGCATGCTGAAGCAGGACGAAACCCATGCAGAAGCCCAAAGTCCAGCCCAAATCCGAAAACGAACAGAATAGCATGAAAAGAACGTAGAAGATGGAACGACGTCATTTTCGTCCAGCCTAAAAACCCTTTTATTTATCATTATATCTTTCTCTCTTTTTGATTCCTCCTTTCCTGTCTCTGACACTGTCCTTCTCCCACCAAACCACGATCCTCCTCCTCTCCACGCCATCCTCCCCCTAATAAAAAAAATTCTTCCTCTGATCACGCTGTCGGCAACTCAGAGAAGTCGCTGCAACACAAGCCAAAATTCTTTCATCTTGAGACAAATCCCAGACCAACCTTAACTATCATCCCCAGCTGTGCCAGTTCAAAAATGATGGCTAGGATGTGAAGAGAAAGACAAGATTGCAAACAGAGAAGAAATTGGAAAACAAGAAGGGGGTACCTGGCTGTTCATAATTTGTTCGAAAGATTTCCAATCTCAAACCCAGCACATCAAGGTATATCTCAACATTAACCCTCTTAATAATTTGTCCATCCTTTTGTTGTTTGAGTTTAATGCTAGATCAAATTGTAACTCACGAGTCCTAAACACATTTTTAATCTCACCTACTCCAATCTTAGTAGTAGATGTGTAAATAAGGGCTTGTTGCTCTCACTTCAGTAAACTTTGGTGTTAATACTTTGTCACTGCTTGAACTTGGTAGTAGCACAGTGTCCTGTGTTTTTCAACAATTTTGGATGGTGGCATCGAGAATTTTCGTTTTGGTCTCCATAGTCACTGTTTGATTACAAGTTAGGGGGTTTACGGCCCTATCGTCTTTTGTTCGACGAAGCTTGAATCCTCCAAACACGTACAAAGGAATGAGTTAGAAACAAGTTAAGCAGGTGACGGTAATAGGCCTCAAGTAATGCTCATATATACTTGTGTGGATAACAAAAGGAGAGAGACGGTCCTGTTGTGGTTTGAACAATCGCTTTTCAATCTTATTATTGTCTATCACATGGCAGTGGTATGACAAACTGTGCTTTAGTCATAAAATAATGCCAAGTAGTTAATGGTGGGAAGGGGTTGCGCTTTGTAAATCCAGGCCTTAATTTTTCTTTGGATACCATAGTGATGGGAGAATACCATAACTTGGTCTTTTTTTTGTCTTCTATAGAAATGGCTCTCCCAAATATGCCACCCGTTTCTTTTCTACATGCTAAGCTGGTGAAATCATGACCTCTCATTTGAGTTTTGTTTGTTGTAGATTCAAGGTATGGATCTTTGTGGGTTTTCTATCTTTTCTTTCAAGCATGAATCTGTGATATGATTAAGCAAGTTTGCATTTCTGGTAATATTTTTCCCATATGTTTTCATAGGGAAATTGTAATTGGATTCAACATCGTGTCAACTAAACTAGACTCCTATTTTATGTTCCAATGTTGGGTTAGCATGATTCCACAATAAATTTTGTTTAAATTAGCATATTGAAAATTGCATCTTTACTTGTCATAATTTTGGATTCTTTGGTTGCAGCTTAATATGTTGTGTGTTTGTCTAGCATATTTTTCACATATAGATTTTATATGAGAAATTTAATTGGATCCAACATTAGGTTGACAAATTTATGCGATTGTATGTGTAATGTGGGATAACAAATTTTTGGAGTATTCTCGGTATGCTATGCTACTTGATTGTGGAAATATTACCCGCCCATAACCCTGTCTATAGGAAGTCTAGGCTTGCTGGAATCAGATTATTTGTTTTATTTTCTGTGTACAAAGCCTGAACTGGGCCTTTATTAAGATATATAACAGGAATTCTGATATATATAACCGGTCTCTTTATTTTTCATTTTTTTAAGTAGTTTTTTTCTGATGTGCTTTGCATGTGTATTATTAAATTATTTTATAGTATTTTCTTTTCTAAACAGTAATGGATTGCTTTTAATTATTTATAAATTAAAAGTTTGAATAGTTATTACATTAAAACTTTTAATTTTTAAAATATGAATAATTTTATATAAAGTTTGATAATTTTGGTAATAATGTATGCTATTTTTTTTTCTTTAAGCTTTTGTGATTGGTAGGTTCGTTTGAAAACCCATTGGGTTATGTACATTAAAATCCTCAAAAGGCCCGATAAGTAGACCTAGCCCAAAATAAACGGAAATGGGCATCTGTGCTCAAAATTTTTACATCTTATGAACTAATTCCCTCAGTTAATTCCAAAAATCACATCTTAGACTGACTTTAAGCTTGACCCACGAGTAAATCTACAAATAGGACTAGATATAATTGGGCAAATAATGGTGAACAAATAGGAACTTAGAATAGAAAACAAAACCATTTTTAGAAAATGATGCTTTTAGGTGATTGTGATATTCCCTTAAGTATAACCAACTCTTTTACCTTTTTTCGTAGAAGTCTAGTGCATTTTTTAGATTCTTAATTTCCTTCAAAAACTAAGTGGTGACTATAAAAACTCTTTTTTTTTTAGTTCTGGAGTCCCATGTGTGAGGTACCGACATAAAATTCTGAGATTTTAGATTTATACAGCATTGCCGCAAATTTAATAGTGTATGAAGGGCATTTGGTTTTAAAACTATGGAGTTATATGAATGTATTTTTTGGATAAAATCACTGTATTATTATAACAACGGAACACTTTAGGGATTATTATTGTTGTTGTTGGTGGTGGTGGTGGTGGTGTTATTTTATTTTGTTATTTTTGGTCTCAGTTTTTGTTTGTTAGCAACAGGTAATTGATGGAAGGCTTGGTGCACTCTCGAATCAACCCCATTCATGCTACCGGTAGACAATATCACTCTCGTCTTGTACCAGCATTTTCCGTAATGTTGTCAAAGAATTTCATCACAAGTCCAGTTTTATCTATGAAACGTCATAAATCATTCAATTCAGTTGTTGCTTCTGTTCAGCCTTTGGAAGCCTCTGACTTAGGTCATTTTGACAATACCCTGCCATCCAAAGGTTGTAATAACTATTTCTTGTTATTGATGAAATGGTTTAGTTTTGAAGTGGTTTGTTTGTTGAATTATTTGAGTTTAATAGTCATTGAGTTAATGCCTTATGTATGTTAATGGAAGTGTGGGAGTATTGTTCACTGAGTGAAGAAACTCTAGTAAATTTGATTATGAATGAAACTAGAGGATTGGTGAGGGAATTCGTTGTTGAATTGACTCTTTTAATTTTCAAAGTATTACCATCATGTTGTTGTAATTGTTGATTGCTTTCTTATTTGGCAGACGTTCTTCGACTTTGGAGAAGTGCTGATGCTGTGTGCTTTGATGTGGATAGCACGGTGTGCCTAGATGAGGGCATTGATGAACTTGCAGAGTTTTGTGGAGCTGGAAAGGCTGTTGCAGATTGGACTGCAAGGTTTGTTTTTTGTTGTCAGTTGTGAAAACTACTTGAATTCTTGATAAGATCTGATTTCAATATTGGATTTATCCAGAGCAATGGGTGGTTCTGTTCCCTTTGAGGAGGCCTTGGCTGCTAGACTATCTCTGTTCAAACCTTCCTTAGCGCAAGTTCAAGAGTTTCTTGTGACAAGGCCCCAAAAGTATGTTAAAACCTTGATGTTTAGTTCATTTTTTGGCTTTTTGGGTATTTCAAGAGTCGCTCAATTTCACTAGATCTGCAGTTTGTTTATCATTTCATTGGAAGGAAAAATTGGTAGTGCCTTGTGGACTTTTTCTATTTTTGCTTTCACCAACCTTAAACTTTTAGGAAGGTTCCAAAAACACAAATAAATGCATGCCAAATTCTATAAAACTTAGTATGAGCAGAAACCTTATTAGGACGTAGTTTCCTATATATCTGTTAGTTCTATATTATGTAGCATGTTTGTTACTTTTAAACTAAGCTTGACTCGTATCATTGATGTCCTAATACCACGCTATGTCTATATGAATTATGTTCCTCAATTCTATATGTTATATGTTTAACACAATCAATTTTTCTTGTATTTCTGTGTCATAAAATTGGAAACCAAAGCTATTCCTTCTTGTGTGAATGTTTGTTCAGGATCATGAGAAGTAGTTTGATAGCTTTCATTGCACATTGACCAAAACTAATGTTTTGTATTAGTTTCTTCAAGGATTTTTTACAATTGAAAGACAATACCTAATTGTTCAAATGAAGGACTTGCAATGGAGGTTTCTGATGCCAAACCCCAGCTTATGGTATTCAACAGTTTGGTTTATGACATATCTTACTTCTCATACTTATCAGAACACACTATGAGCAAATTTATTTTCATATATAGTAACACTTAAATGGATTAAGTTGTTAAATCTTATCTATTAAGACTACAGATAACTTATTTCCTTTTCAAATAATCTAGCTATCATCTTTTGTTCTGTAAATCATTTCATTCAAATGTTTGTTTTACCTCCTGATACCAGATTTGTAATTTTATCACTCCGCTTTTTACAACAAAAGTATCTATTTTCCCTTTTGTTTTGATTACCACCTTATGTCTTTGCTTGACTTGGCAAATTTAGTTAAATCAAGACTGTTAACTGTTTCTGATTTTTATTCTCTAGGATTTCTCCGGGCATAGATGAGTTAGTCAAGAAGCTGAAGGCCAAGAATACTAATGTTCATTTGATCTCCGGAGGCTTTCGTCAAATGATCAATGTATGCTGCTGCATTACAGAATTTTGTCTTTACTTTAATGCTTTTTTTTTTTTTTTTTGGCAAAGTTCCTCTGAGTCATACTGTGCGCCCCAAAAAGTTCTGGAAGGAAATTATTTACATTAATAAACACTGGTTTTTTAATGGAATAAACTTCATAAAATTGTGCTACAAGATATGGTGAGATGTCCTGAAAGAAATATGTAATCTTTGATCAGTGTACTAATTATTTATCTACTTATTCCCTGACTGTGATGTTTCCTCATCCAAATATGTAAAATCTTATAATCTTACTCAAAATTCAGAGGACTCGCATTGTATTTTCACTGAATTTATGTTGGAAAAAAAATAATGCTTTCCTCTGCAGCCTGTTGCATCAATCCTTGGTATTCCACTCGAAAACATATTTGCGAACCAGCTACTCTTTGGAAATTCTGGGGAGTTTGTGGGGTTTGATGTGAATGAGCCTACTTCCAGGAGTGGAGGAAAAGCAACTGCAGTGCAGCAAATAAGGAAGGTCAGTCTTGTAGCTTTGCTGCATCATGTTGATTTCTGACAATACATGCGAAGCTGATATATTGGTAACCAGGTCCATGGATACAAGACTCTGGTTATGATTGGGGATGGTGCAACAGATCTTGAGGTAAGTAAATTCATTTCAACTTCCAAATTTTGATCAGACGCTGATGTTTTGAGTCCAGATTCAACACATAAATTATAAGAAAATTTTATCATGCTCAACCTGCCTTAATAAATCATTAATTCTAAGTTAATAGCTCTGACAACACAGGATTTTCATTTAGTCAACTTATTTTGTATGAAGGCTTTTCTAATTTAGCCAAACTGGGAATGCTGGTTGTCATTAACAAAGAATTGAGATTCTTTCCTCATACCCTACGTAGCTTTTCCATTGGATCAATATCCTCTCATGTTCCTTTAATCTAGGCTTAGATTGAAAGACCATGATATGTCATGTTATTGAAAATATGAGAGGATCTCAATTTCAATCCAACTTATGATTATTTTATATTTCTATATAGGCTCGTAAACCAGGAGGTGCTGACTTGTTTATTTGCTATGCGGGAGTTCAACTTCGAGATGCTGTTGCTGCAAAAGCTGATTGGCTGGTTTTCAATTTCGCAGATCTGATTAATTCCTTGGAATAGCTTTTATTATTCCAAGTTCATTTTATTTTTTCTCTTACTATTCAGTTTTGCTTCTCAATTGCCTCTGTTTAACAAAGTGTTTCTTCCCCTTCTTTTTTCTTTCTTCAAAGTCTTAAGCTTTTCACTTGTGATCACATAAAACACTATTCATATGATATCATCAATAAAGAAGAATCAACATTTGGTTACCTTCTCATGCTCTCAATAAAAAGTACTTCCCTAGAGAATTCTGATGTTGATTAATTTCTCACATTTGTCTATTACTATTGTGTACTTCACCATGGTGCTTCAAAGAAGACAGGATCATCCTTTTCCCATATCCCTGGATTCAACAATCAACATACTAGATATGAGTAGAAGCTTTAGAAAAATGTCTGTTCACGGCTCTGTTTGGCACCAAGGTTCCCTGTCATTGGGCTCACTGTTGCATATTTGTGCCGTGTTATTAATTTACTTAGACTGAACTTGGGTACATCTTTTATATCTTATGCCGAAATTGCATGTAGATGTAATTTCCAGGAGGATACTTGTCTGCTGGTTGATGCTTAATCTTGTAATAACCATGACTTTTGGATTATCCCAAGCTTCTATGCCTCATCCATTTTGCTTTCTATGTCGTCTAAGTTGCATAGTGGTGTAGGTAATGGTCATGTACCTAGTGTAAATAAATTAGCTTATTTAATCATGCCCCATCTGTTGATATATATGTTCTCAGATCGCTCCTCCGAATTCAATCTGCTTTCTAAAATGGAAGTCCTTCATATTTATCAAAATTACAGGTTTTAAAGATTCAGTTGATGAGATGATTGTTTGTAGGTGGATGATAAGGCAGATTCAGCAATGGTTGGGAAGTTTGATCAGGTGTGTCTACTTCTGAGGCTCACAAAACCTCCATAAATTCAATATCCTTTCAAATTTTATCATTCACATAGTAGTTTATATATCAAACTATGTGTGATCTTCTGATTACTGTTTGATTCCTTGAACATTCTGAACGCTATGATAACTCTGACAGCTTTTATAGTTTTCAGTACAAAGATTTCGAGATCTGTAACACATGGGAATGGTACCTCTTTTACCTCTTTATGTTTTGGTTTTGGTTTTGGCTGTCTGTACGTACCAACAATGCTTCATTTTCTGCTTAAGCATTGAACGTCACCTCTTGACGTTGGGAAATGGTGAGAACATGGATGGCCAAGAGTTCTCGCTGAATTTTGAGATCAAATTTGAAGTTTCCCTTGCTTTGGACTGATGTAATAGAACCATCTATAGTTTTAAATCGAGGATGGTTGAAAAAAAAAGTCATAGTCTTCGTCACTAATCTTAGCTTACTGTAATACTAAAATAACAATGGTAGCTGCTTTGAAACCGTTATATAACGTAACGATTGTTATTTAAATCTATAGATGGTAGAATTTTTGCGCTTAGCTATTTTCTAGAAAGGCGATTCGATTGACTATTGTATAGTACATTAGGAGTTCAGGGTTCTAACTATTTATATAGGTTGCTATTTTCCTTCCGGAATTAGAAGTTATGTGATCTAAGATACTACTTAGGGCTTTGGCCTAGAGACACATTTTGGTAAAGGGCATTCCTGTGATCTAAAATACTACCAATGTTAACTAGAAATGCATTTCCATTGCATTCAACGTGTTTTGCTCAAGGGTTTTAGCCTCCTGAATAGAACAGCCCTTGTGATTGGAATGGCTTCTTGAAGGTATGTTCTCAAAGGTATATTATTCTTCGTATTATATTATTATTATTATTCTATAAATTAACTTTTAATTAAACTAAATCAAAATTAAAAACATAAAATTAAAGTACTTTTCAACATTTGTAGTTTTTAGTGATTAATAGTAGAAGATTTATACAAAGTCCACAAATATTTATTTTATAAAATCTCATAATATAACAATCAACAAAGGTTTTACGTGCCCTCCTCTTTTTTGTAAGTGCAATTAGATAATATAACACTTTTAGCAATATTATTTCTTAATACAAGATGATGCGCGTGCAAAAATCGATCATTCAATTGGTTAGTAATTTATTATTGTGTTTTTTTTTTTACCTAAAATTGCTTTTTAAGGACATAACTTCAAAATTTTCTTTAGAAAATTAAAATAAATTATTTGAAAACATAAAATATTTAAAAATCAAAAGTAAAAACAATGAGTAAATTGTCATTTAAGAAAGGAGCAAAATGGATCAACTTTAAGGGACACCTGAACAGCCCCTTAAAAAAATAAAGTTCAAGTACCCCTCATTGTTGTACATAAAAACCTTGAGTAAATTATAAGTTAGTCCCTCTTAATTTGAGAAATGAATTAATTTTTTTTTTTTTAGTTTTAAAAACTAATTATTTAATCCTTATGTTATTTTTTAATTTATTTTGTTTTAAAAAATAGGAATTGAATAAAAAATATGAAAAAATTGACAAAAAAATTTTATATAAAAAAATATTAAATTAATTCTAATCAACACTAGTTAAAAGACTAACTAATTAATTTTTGAAACCAGAGAGACTAATTGATTTGTTTTTCAAGACGAAAAGGGACTAATTTATAACTTACTCTAAAAACCTCAAATGACTCGACATAATAAAGTAATAAATAAAAATCATGAAAGCAGTTTCAAATTGTCTCATGTAGACATCGTGTATATATATATATATATATATATATATATATATAATCCATTCATTTTAATTCGTTTGTCAATGTTTCTTTTGATTGATTTTGCATAATAGTAGGTTTTGACTGATTTAATTCAAGAAACAGTCCAGTGATCCATTAAAAATTAAATATACTCTAATACGAGTTTAACTTAGACTTATTTTTATTTATTTATTATTATATCTGGTTTTGAACATTGGGCTGCTTGATGGGCCTGGAGCTGGTTGCTTGGGAGAGATGGTGAGGGATTTTTGAACATTGGGCTGAAGCTCACTGCCAGATAATGGATTGCGATAGATGGATGGTGATGGGTTGAGTAGCAGCTAGGACCAAGTACTGAAGTATGATGCATTCTATTTCATAGATTTGTTCCTTCATGTTTGATTTCTAACCCCAGGTCAAACTTTCTCACCTTGCACCTGGTTGAACAAGGTTTAATTTGTAACGATCTTAGTAATTATCAACAGAAAAAAAAAAAAAAAAAGAGAAGAGAAGACGACTCGACTGTATCTGAGAAGACAAAGACTGGTGATTTAGCGAGAGTTTAAATTAGATAGATAATAACAAAGAGAAAGGTCCTAATAGCAAGAGGAGAGGCGTTTGCGTTAGGGTTTAAAGGAAAAGAAATGTCGCCGGTGGTGGAGGAATTGCTGCAATTGCAGATATCACCGGCTGGAGGAGGAGGGGGAGATTCGCATCCAGGAAACGAGCAGCAAGCAGCTGGAGTTGGAATACTTCTCCAGATCATGATGCTTGTCCTCTCCTTCGTCCTCGGTCATGTTCTTCGCCGTCACAAATTCTATTATCTTCCTGAAGCTAGCGCTTCACTTCTCATTGGTATGGGGATCCTTTATTATTATTATTATTATTATTATTGTTTTCAAAAAATTATGTATTACTCCAATTCTGTCTGTATCAAATCAAATGAAATAATAGTAGCTTTGCTTGGCTGACAATTGTTTGTTTCTCCGTTCACTCCAGGTTTAATTGTTGGTGGACTCGCTAACATTTCTAACACTGAAAAAAGCATCAGGTTCCATTTTTTTCTTAACTACTTGCCTTTTTTTTTTTTTTTTTTTGGTTGTACTTTTTCCAGAAAGCTGATGATCATAAATCCATTCTGAATAACTGGAGTTCCTTCTTATTTTATTTTTCCCACAGGACGTGGTTTAATTTCCACGAGGAGTTCTTCTTCCTTTTTTTGCTACCTCCCATCATATTATATCCTTACTAACCAACTTGGGTTTCATTTCTCTGTTTTTTCTTTCTATGATATGATCTCCTTAATTTCCTTGACATTTTTGGTTTCACTCAATCAGGATTCAGTCTTTCACCTGTATGTCACTTGCTCCTTTTTATTTTATTTTTATGCTTATGTTTTATACACCTAGTTTAGATGGTCACTCAGTAGTTGTTGCTTTTTGCAGAAACCATTCTTCTCCAACTTTGGAGCCATTGTCACATTTGCTCTCTTAGGAACTTTTATAGCTTCTGTTGTTACAGGTGTCCTAGTGTAAGTATTTCTGTTTTTCCAAATCGGTATCTTTCCTTGGCTTCGAAAATTCTCTTCCTCCTCCTTGGTTTACTTTTCTTCTAACTGCTTTCTGCTTCAGTTATCTCGGCGGTTTGGTTTACCTCATGTACAGACTTCCGTTTGTTGAATGTCTGATGTTTGGTGCTCTTATATCAGCAACCGATCCTGTTACTGTTCTGTCCATATTCCAGGTGTGTTTGGTGTCTATCTATCCATTGCATGGTTAAGCTAAAGAATTCGCATGGTATTGAAATCAAAAGTCCAAAGTTTTAGTTATGTTGTGCAACTGAAACAGAAAAATTGATTAGTAAAACCATTGTGTTACAGAATACAGTGCAAGAAGATGTTGACATGATGCATCATTGATAATCCTATGCATGTCTAAGTATTTTTATGTCAGTCTGAGCTTGTCATTGTTTTACTTCTTCCCTTTCTATTTCCATGTTTATGGTGGCATGCCATTTCAATGGTGAGAGACTGGACAAGTTGGCACTGATACAATGAAAAACCAATTGATAGAATTGTGATGAAGATACCTGAAAGGAAAGCTGTTTGCTGCAATTACATATACTCCACATAATAATAATAATAACAACAATAATAGTGATCTTTTCGAAGATTAAGATTTGGAATCAAATCGTTTTCTGTTTCAGTTGGGTGTGTTGCAATAAAAGGTTGATCAAAATGTGTATCATAGAATTATAGCTGGTTGGATGAAATGGAGGATTGGTGTCTTCATGAAGGTTGAAGCGGAATTTTCATTGGATAGCAATATGATTGCTCTACTTCATGGAATGTTGCAATAAAAGGTCGCAGGTTCAAATTCTAGCAGAATTCTGTTAGGAGCCTTGGGTGTGTGAGTTAAAAAAAAAAAAAAAAAAAAAAATTACCAATCATTTCTGTGTCGTGGATTTATAATTCTAAGGGAGGACAGGTTGATCAAAATGTTTATCATAGAATTGTAGCTGGTTGGATGAAATGGAGGATTGGTGTGTTCATGAATGTTGAAGCGGAATTTTCATTGGATAGCAATATGATTGCTCTGCTTCATGGAATGGAATATTGGGTGATAAAGAAATCACATGCCGTATAAAACTGTTGTAATGGAACTGCAAACAATAAGATAGATGGTTGTATTTGAAAAAGGCAGAGTAGAGCGTAAATGCTGGAAAAAGTGGAGGGTTATATCGATCTGAGGAAAATTTGAGACAATGCCATTTAAGATGGTTCGGCTGTATGTGTCATAGACCTTTACGGTTTTGAAGAAGAGTGATTGTACTTTAGCAGAACAAGTAAAAAGAATGAGAAGCTAACCAAAATTGACTTGGCTCGAAGGATGTAAGGTTGTAGTTTTTGAACATCTTAAAATAAATATGGCCTTAAAATGAGCAGGATAGAGAAAACGAATTCTTGGTATTGACTCCAACTGCCAAGGAACTCTTGCTCAATGGGTGTTCTACATTTATCTTCCATACATCTCGGGTTCCCTCCCTGACGACCAAGAAAATGTTGTCAACTATTTGGAATTGAGGTTTAGCTGGGTTAAATTTCTAACATTTCAACAGTCTTTATGTCTATTCGGAATAGATCACCTTTAGGTCTCCTTTAACTTGAGAGCATGTATGATGGGCTCAATGCATGTCCTGACCTGCGTAAATACTTGAGAGTATCCAGTTTCTTTCGAAGAGAGGTAAGATGGCACCATTCCTCATATGAAAAAGAGCAAAGAAATCTTGACTAAATTTGAAATGCTGATGATACCAAGGCTTCAAGTTTCCTTGATTTTGATGACTTTGCAAGAACCTTTGGGGACTTTTGATATTTGTATAGAGACCTGTTGTATAGGTTTTTCTATAGCTGTTTGGAAAAGCTTTACATGTGCACACACAGGAAAAAAAATGAAGAAAAACTGTCGCATTCAATTCATGTCTGTCCATTGTCTAACTTTAATGTTAGGCTACTCATCTGCCCATTTTGTCACCATGTATGAGCTGAATGCTATGAAGTGTGTATCTAACGTTCAAATTTGATTAACTGTCTGTCGTTTTCCTGGATATTCAAGTAATGTCCATGTTTGTTATGATCTTTGCAGGAACTGGGCTCAGATATGAACCTTTATGCCTTGGTGTTTGGAGAATCTGTCTTGAATGATGCAGTAAGTTTTTATTGCTATGAAATATGGTATAAGTATCTTTTTTTTGTTTAAGCCACTATTTACTGGATTCTGCTGCTCTTTTTGCATGTTGTGCAACTGGTAGATGGCAATATCCTTGTACAGGTACTCAAAGTTCTTGCATTTGATTTCAACAGATAAACTATAATCTAAGAACAGCATTAAATCAAACAGTATTTTGCTATGCAGAACAATGTCCTCCTTAAAAAATCACACATCTGGAGCGAATTTTTTCATGGTGATCGTGGGGTTTCTTGAAACCTTTGTTGGCTCAATGTCTGCAGGTTGGTCTGACAAAATGCATTTATCACACTGTATGATAAAAGCATAATTTCTGTGATTGTCTACATGTAAAATTTGAAATGTAAATATTAGGATGAACTTCAAAGAACTACCTTCTTTAGAACTCTCCACGAGGTACCTCTTATTTCAAACTTTCAGTTTATCAACTTTCTATGAAGATGTTTGCAATTTCTTTATTGGGTCTTTCATTATGTGTGTTATTTCTCTCATCAGAATTATTTCATAGCAATAACTTTTTTTTCCTCAACATGATTTTTCATCAGTTCTGGTTTTTCTTGTTTTTGTGATTTTGATATTACCAACATTACTAACAACACCCTAAATGCTTCTTTACAGGTGTGGGAGTTGGATTTATTTCTGCATTGATATCCTTTTCATTCTGTCGTTGGATTTATAGTCACACGCATGCATATCTTTGTGTGTGTGAGAAAAGTGCTTTAATCTGTCAACTTTTGCATGCTCGAATTATTGTGAAACCTTAATTCCTGGAACCTTTTCAAGTATGCTGGTTTGGATATTGACACGTGAGTATTTCTATATATATATATATATATATATATACACGTTTGGTTGATTTACTGAGGAAAATAAAAATCCTGATTAAAATCATTTTGTTATTCTCTTTTCAGTCTTCAAAACTTGGAGTGCTGCCTTTTTGTCCTTTTTCCATATTTTTCGTAAGCTATATTCTTGGCTACTCTTTCATGTTCAGTACCTTGTTTCCTTATACTAGATTTCGGTGCAATTTAATGTGAAACTTTCATGTTAGGTACATGCTTGCGGAAGGTCTTGGCCTCACTGGTATAGTGTCAATATTGTTCACGGGAATTGTAAGTGGAAGTTTAAAAAGTTCAATGTACAACCACTTATGATTATTGGAGCAGAGACCTGGAAAAACATGTATTTTTGTGTCTTTCAGGTCATGAAGCATTATACCTACTCAAATTTGTCAGAAAATTCACAGCGATTTGTCTCTGCATTTTTCCATCTGATATCATCACTAGCTGAGACATTTGTGTAAGGGAATATTTGTTATCTTTCCCATATTGAGTGATTGAATTACTTGTGTGTTCCACCTATATGGCAGCCACACCTGGATTGATTTTTATGTCCAATTTGCAGATTTATATACATGGGATTCGATATTGCGATGGAACAGCACAGTTGGTCCCATGTTGGATTTATTTTTTTCTCAATTGTATCCTTGTTTAATTCATCAAGAAATCTACATTGGAGCAACTCTTTTAAAGTAATAGTTCCTGTTGTTATTCCTTAACTTTATGATTATCTCAGATATTTATTGTGGTTGCAAGGTATGAATTCTGCATTTACTTTCACCCTGAATTGAGATGTTCATTCTACCTCTGTTATCCTATCAATATGATACCTTTTAGTTTCCTTTTTCTGACATTTAATGTTTACTAAACCCTGCTGTACAAACTATGTTGTCATTTGGAACTTTAACAGGGCATGCAATATTTTTTGTAGGGCAGTGAACGTCTTCTCTTGTGCATATTTAGTCAATTTGGTTCGACCTGCGCCACGTCAAATACCTCTAAAACATCAGAAAGCGCTTTGGTACAGTGGTAAGAAGAGCAGAATTCTCTGATTCTGCTGGATCCTCGCTTCTTTTAACTTTGCTAGGGCTTAATGAATCATTGGTATGAGTAGGACTTCGAGGGGCCATGGCTTTTGCCCTTGCTCTACAATCAGTTCATGATCTTCCAGAAGGACATGGCCAGACTATATTCACTGCAACCACGGCCATAGTTGTGTTGACGGTAGGCAAGCTCACTCTTACAAAATCCAAATGCTTTATTTTTTATTAATTCTGATGAAATCTTGAGGACATAGTGTAGCTTGCCATTCTATCGTGCATCATCTTTCTGTTGGATGCTAGAACTCAGATATGAGTTTAAGAGTGTACTAGAAAGTTCAAACCATTTAAATAGTAGTAAGGTGATTAATCTTCTATTGGGGAAAAAAAAATTAAGTATTTTCTCATCAGTTGGAGTTCTTCCACTGATTACTTTTCATACTCTGCACTCTTCCATTTTTCTCTGCATCTTTATTCTATACATTTTCTTCTAATAGTTTTTCACTTGATTTCTCTGGCTGGGGAGTCCATGGGGTTTTTGTAATAAATTTCCAAAACATAATGGACCATAGCTAAAGTCAATGCATGCCATGATGTAGGATAGCCTTAATATTTATTAGGCAGTATTACCATCAATGCATGCGGACTAAAATTATAAAAATTTTAGGGTTTCATTGTAAGAGGAATAAAAGAATGATGTGGGTCTCAAAAATTGAGAAGTAAACAAAAGCAAACAAAAGCAAGGGAATCATTCTAGGTTGTTCAAATGTGTATGATGATACCTGTAACTTGTGAGAAGTACCAAGGGGCTAATTTAAATTTTATTTCAATTCTCAAAGTTTCATGGAAGGCATTAGAGGAGTCTTGCTTTTATTTATTTATTTATTTATTTTAAAAAAAAACTACCACTGCTAAAGAGATTTGGAAGTTTACAAAGACTTCATTCCAAGTTTCTATCTATAGTGTTTTACATGTAAAAAAGATCTGTTTACATAGAGTGGAGAATAATCCATAATCTATTAAAGAAAACCATGATTCAACTACAAAATGTGTAAAAACTATAATTCACTAAAAAGAAAGGCTACTAACAACTTAAGATTTAAATAAAGTCAACAATAAATTTGACTATACTCCTTTTTAAACACCTATTTATCCAAAAACATTACGAAATCTAAAAGTAAATTTTAGATTGATTATTTTCTTCCGTGCTACTATTTTTCATGTTGGACTTGTATATGGATTGTTTGCTTGAAACTCATTCTTTTGACTACTACTCCTTTTTAAACACCTATTTACCCAAAAACATTACGAAATCTAAAACTAAATTTTAGATTGATTATTTTCTTCCGTGCTACTATTTTTCATGTGAGACTTGTATATGGATTGTTTGCTTGAAACTCATTCTTTTGACTACTTCTAAACAACACTACAGGTGCTATTAATTGGAGGTTCAACAGGGACTATGCTTGAAGCTTTGCAGGTTGTTGGTGATGACCATGATGTCCCCTTAAGTGATGTAAGTTCTGCCAAAGATATATTACTAGTTAAAGCTATGTACTTTAATTCAATGAAATGGAATTTGGGCACATTATGATTGGGAGTGATTACAATGAATTTATTTATGTTTTCATGATGATGAGCAAAAGGTTAATTATTAATTGCACTAAGAGGGTATGACATATATGCAAGAACAAAAGCCTCATTGGGGAATCTAAAAATTCTATAAGTTTACAAGAGAGAGGAAATTGAATAGAATACTATCCTCTATAACATAATTAAAGAATTATAATCCAATCATCTGAAATAACAGGGAGTATCTCCTCTTGAAGTCTCCCTTAAAAGACCTATTAGGCTCCCTCTATACTTATTTATCCTAAAAGTAGCAAGAGTAAGCTCTATTAGCAGCCAAAATAGCTTCCCATGGGAAGTTAGCTTTATTAGCCTCCAACTCCTCTCTAACGAGCAACCAATAGTTTCTAAGTGTTGCAATGCTTTTGAGCACAATAAGATTTTTAAATCTAGATACACTGTATCATACAGAGCTCCTATGAGCAGCTCAATTTGATTGGGTAATATAGTTGAGCCAGGACACTTTCCACCCTCATGTTGACCAGTGAGTTGTAAATAATGTATATCCATTTTCTGCTTTCAGAGTTTTGATGGAAATAACGGTTATGTTGCTCCCTCTTATAATGAGGATGCTACATCAGGGAACGGGCTGAGGATGAAACTTAAAGAGTTCCACAAAACGTAAATCCCAAAATTTAACTTCGTCATATTTGGTTATTTGGCTTTCTTTGCAATTTCTCTTAGCACTTTTCCCCCCTGCAGCACTGCATCATTTACAGCATTTGACAGAAATTACCTCACCCCGTTTTTCACGAGTCAGAATGGAGATGATGAAGAAGAGGATGGTAAGAGAGACTAGCACAAGTATCTTTAGTAGGATTTTGTTTATCACAAGTAGGATATGGTTTATGGTCTGCTGCATATATTAACATTATGCCAATTGGCTGGGGAACTTACATAAATATGGTATTTTTAGCACTGTTTATTGCCACTGGTTGGATCAGTCGATTTTTCCATACATTTTGGGGGTTATCTTTTACCAAATTGCAAAAAAAAAAAAAAAAAAAAAAGATATATATATATATATATATAAATCTAACGGCTAGCTCCTGGTAATCAGAATGGGAAAATTAAGCTGATTATCACCATAATGTTACTTGATCTGGGGTTCTCCTATGTTTTAGTGTAGGGAACATTTTAGAGATAATGAGGAGGTACAAGGAGCCTCATTGTGTACGACCCTGCTTCTGTATTCTCTGCAGAAATTCATCTGTTGCCTTTTCTCTTACGTTAGTGCGATTTGTTAAAATTAGAATGGTCATGTCTTGGTAAAAATTGCTTGGCTTCACATATGAATAAACATTATTTATATCTGCTACTTCAGAAAATATTTCAGATTTTTGATACATTGGATTGATATGAGGTTTTACTGTTATGGGGTGCCTGACAGATGACAGGATGCCCAGTTCCAGAAGAGGGGGTTTCCAAGGCCACGACTGACTTTCCACAGTATTAGTCGAGGAACACGTGATGCTATATAGAATCAACTTTGTAGATAATTTATGGCTGCAGACCGGTGGCACTCAAGTAGTTGAGAGGGTGAACTGCAGCTAGACACATTGCCACATTCACACAATGGCTGTCTGCCTGCTTGGTAGAATAGGGAAATATGTATGTAGAATTGTAGATGTCACAAGAACGAGACCTCACCTTATTCTGCCGTTGAGTACACGGTATGAGCTTTGTTCTCTAATTGGACACTGTATTTCACAATTGCCACACTTCACCCAGTCACATTTAGAATTCTCAGACACATATTATTGCAATTACCTAATAATCAAAGATAATTATGTTGCTTGAAACACTCTTTATATTTTGTTATAATTATGTCATGTTGATAATGTTATTGTCTTTTAAATTGAGTGTTAGGGTTTAGGGTGCAATGCCTAGAAATACAGGCTGCCTCAAACCGTGGGGGATGGTTTTTGCCCCACACGTTTCACAGAAGTTCATTCCTTCTTCTATACCTTTTCTTTTTATCCTATCATATCATTGTCTCTCTTTATCGTTTCTTCGATTATAAATCGAGGACACGGTTACTTTTATGTCATGTCGAGTTACTGGAGAAGAAGCGTTGTGTTCCCTCGTATGAATTTTTTACTTAAAAAATTGGAATTTCTATCCCTTATGAAGTAATTTGCAATTTATATTTTCTTTCTCCAATCACCGTGATTAAATAAGCTGATTTATGTAAAATAAAAAATAAAAATGATGGAGAGGTATATGATCCAACAAGGAAATCCTCGGTGTAGGGAAATGTGACCGTGGCAGGAAGAGAATCCTATTCCTATGTGATTCTTGATGATTTACATGAGCATATGATCCAACAATGATTAGTTTTTAAATTGATTAATTTGTTTCTCGAAATAAGGGGAAATAATTTATAATTTACTTTGATTTTTGCATAGAAGAATTTTTTTATAAATTTTTTAAGAATTAGTCCCTCTGGTTTTGAGAAACAAATTAATTAATTTTTTTATTTTAAAAATTAATTATTTAATCATTTGATTGATCAAGCTTAATTTATTTTACTTTTTCTTTCAAAAAGATTTTTGTATTTATAATTAATATTTATCTCAAAATACTTGTCTGGTTAAAACTTTAAGTAATATATATTTTTTAAAAATACACCTAATTAATATTAATTTCATGTTATGTGACATTAAATTTGATGACTAACAATTCTCAAAAAAGAATATTTTAGAAAAATATAAATAAACAATACTTATATGATATAATAATTAATAATATTTTTAATATATGTGAAAAGTCAAAGAGGACAAATCTTTGAAATAGAGAGTATTAGTTTATTTTTGAAAAATCTCTTTTTTCTCGTCAATTTCTTCATATTTTTTACTTATGTTTTTTCTATTTATTAAAAAAAAACAAAATAAATTAAAAAAATAGCGAAACAAACCAAGTCATAAGATAATTTAAAAATACCAAGAGTTAATTGATTAGTTTTTCAAACAAAAAAAGAAATAACTAATTCGTTTATTAAAATTAGAAGGACTAATTTATAATTTACTTTTTAAATAGAAGTCATTGATTGATTGGTAATAAGTGAAGGTCCCATTAACGACAACAATAATAATATTTAAAGAAAAGAAAGAGACACCAAAGCATAAATGAACCAATCGACAAAGGAGGATACTGCTTTTTCGAAAATAGAACCGTTACCCATTGCTTGGTTTCAGCAACGGCTAGTTTTTGTTTCTCCCATCGACGAGCAGCACTAAACACAGATAGGGGGAGACACTACCCAGATCTACATCTTCTCTCTTCCATCTCTCACGCACAGACAAGAGTTGCATTGACGGTCTGGTCTGGTCTGGAGGATATTTTTAGATAAAATCAAACAAATCGCAGATGAATGAAGAATCGACGACGATGATGCAAGAACAGACAGCCCAAGCCCCCAATCCCCCTAATCCTCCTCCTCGGAGGCCCAGGGTGAGGGAGGTCAGTTCCAGGTTCATGTCTCCAATTGCTTCTCCCTCCTCCTCCCTTTCTCCTCTTCCGTCCAACAAACAGCGCTCCAGCTCCGTGCAGAGGCAGCGCCGCAGCCAGGAATTAGAAGCCGAAGGCAGCCCGCAGCGGAAACAAAAACATCATCAGCGTGCTGTGGTCAAGCTTTTCAAGGAGAACGAACCAAGATCCCATAGTCACCGGCCCGATACCCCAACACTCAACACCATCAGCACTTCCTCTTCCTCTAAATTACGATTGATGCACCAACGTTCCACCTCCAACATCAACATCTCATCGGCTGCTGCAAAGCTGTTGCAATCCACCGGGATCTCCAATTCCACTGATTCTTCTTCTTCTTCTTCGGATCATCACGACATTAATAATACTAATAATGATGTCAGAAGCTCTCTTCCTGATCTCCTCCGCGATACCGATACTGGATTTCTAGCTGAGAGAAATCTCAATAGGCTTAACAACAATAACAACAACAACAACAATCCTTGTGCTCCCCCTGCTCTCGTTCTCTCAATTTTCAGCGATCTATAAGCAGCTGTGATCCTTCCTTGTTTCATTCACTTAAATCTACAAAACTGCCTCCAGTGGCGCCTTGCTCCAAGATCCCTAATGATGCTTCTAGAAAGACAAGGAAAGTTTCTAGTCACCAAGAAGATGTGCAATCTCTCAAGTTGCTTCACAACCACTACCTTCAGTGGAGATTTGTCAACGCAAAAGCACAGACCTACACTCAAGCTCAGAGAAGAGAAACCGAGGTACTATACCATCTCATTAACTTGTTTGTTTTTTTTTTTTTTTGTCAATGAGAAATCTCATTCAAATCTCAAAATTGATCAATCCTCTATTTCTTGTAGAGAAACCTGTATTCCCTTAGTGTCAAGATAGCAGAATTATACGACTCAGTGAAAAGAAAACGGGTTGAGCTTGGCCTTCTGCAGAGAATGAAAAATACATGGACCATTGTTGAAGCTCAAGTAAGGCCACTGCTGATTTTTTATTTTTTTCTTCTTGTTTCATTGCATCTATTGAATTCTTCAGTTTGTTCTGTTTTCCTCTTCTTCTTCATCAACTTTTGGCAAACCAACCACAACAATATTAACAATAAAAAACAAATTGCCTGTTTCTCACCTGGTTGATGGTGTTTTGCATTTAGGCATCTCTATTGTGACCAAAATATATATACACACACGCATACAGTTACATGTAACATTTGGAATTGGAACCACCTGACGACGACTAATCCTTTCTGGCGAATTATTACAGCATTTAGCTTGCAAAAATACTGCTATTTACTGTTCTAATGAACTTAATTCTATAGATGCCGTATCTGGATGAATGGTCTGCTTTTGAAAGCGATTATTCAGTATCCCTGTCAGAAACAATTCAAGCTTTGTTGAATGCCTCAATTCAAGTGCCAATCAGTGGAAATGTTCGAGTATGTATTGCTCTTTTTCCTTTTGTCACTTTCAGGGTTAACTGATAACTTGTCTATCATTCTTATGTGTTGTAACCTGACAATGATATGGATGTCCACTGTAGGCTGATGTTAGGGAGATAGAGGAGGCACTGAACTCTGCAACAAAATTGATGGACACAATAGCTTTTCACATCGAAAGCCTTATACCAAAGGTGAGTTGGATTTTCCCATACTTTTTCTCTGCAATAATCAATGAATGGAAGTGCTTCTTTTTGGGGGTTTCTCTATAGCCCCATTTAAAGGAGGTTATTTGAGATCAGCCTAATTGTTTCCTACGAAGGAAAAACCCCATTGAAAGAGGGTGTATGTTTGCTACAACTTCCAAACATTTTTTTAATTCGAGTCAGAAGGTGGGTAAAAAGAATGCTGGATAGTTGGTCCAACAGAAGTAGCTAGCTGCTTCCCTCTTTTTTCAAACAAAGTTTCGTACTCTTCTGTCACAAATCCCACCAATACGTGTCTAATAAGCTAAGATATAGAGTCAGTCACAAGTTAGAATCCACCTTAAGCAAATCCAATTTGCTCCACCAACCCATCATGATTCTTTTGGACATTTCCTTGATGCAGGCTGAAGAAACAGATCGTTTGATCTCAGAAGTAGCTAGGGTGACTGGAGGAGAAAGAGCTCTTATTGAAGAATGTGGGGATCTGTTGTCAACCTCATACAATTCACAGGTCTGCTACACCATAGTTCTGTTTATGATTAATTATACCACCTGTATCTTATTGTATTCTGCCCCATCTATAAGTCAAGTCTCCAAAATTTTGCCATTCTTGGTTTTTTTGTTCAACTCCTAATTAACTAACACGGTTGTTTTGCCCGCTATATGAGACTATGAGATATTGATAAAAAGATTGGCCTGAATTCAGATAGAGGAATGCAGCTTACGGGGGCAGCTAATTCAGTTCTATCAGAGCCGTCACAATCAACACCAGGAAGAGCAGCAATAATTTGTCGCTGCACTTCATATTTGACGGGACTTGATCGGCGTTCGTAGGCACGAGCTTCGCAATTGCTTCAAAATTTCCTTTTTACGTCTGTATTACATCAAACAAGGAAAAAGAAAATGGATACATAGATACAGGCCCTAGAAAAATTGAAGATAAAAGAGGAAGAATTTTCTACACTTCATCACATAAATCTCTCTCCAATTCTGCCTCAAATGAACTTTTTGGGGGTCTTAAGAGTTTGTGCCTTGGCATTTACAATGTACATAATATAGATCTCCCTTCGATTCTGATTCGAATGAAGTTTTTTGGGCCTTGTTGTTTGTGTCTTGGCATTTACAATATGCATACCAAGAGTTGTCTTCTCAGTTTGTAACTTACCATGGTAGAGAAAAGGGCCAAATTGGAGACTCAACCGATTGGAGAATTTCGTCATGAAAATCACAGATCGCTGGTATATTATTTAGTCACTTCGCAGTCGAACAGAACAGAAATAAAATATGTGGGACAATTATGAATGTATTGCAAGACAGATTTCTCAGCAAAATGGTCATAATATGATGCCAAACCACCTTCCAGTACGCTAAATCCCTGCTATCAGTCAGTACCACGCACGCTTCTGAGTTTTAAAGGTAGAATACATAAACACAAGAACAGACCATCCTGAAACTTCTAACAATACGGTTTTCCAATTTCACAAACTCAATAAGGTAAAGAGAAATTAATCTACATGTCTCCCTCTCTCAGCCAAAAATTAAAAAAGGAAAAAAAATTATGAAATACGTTTTCTTGCTACCCTCAAGTATGTGACTTTAAGTGGAACAACAACCTTTGCTCGCATTCCCGGAGGCATCAGCAACATTGATAGTGGTTCCTTGGCCAGGACCTGTGGAATTGGCAACTGCTTCCTGAGCTGCCAATGCCTTCTTGCTAATGATATGGTAGATCTCTGTCAATATGGTTTGGAATGCCTTCTCGACATTGGTGGCTTCTAGTGCTGATGTCTCAAGAAATGAGAGACCTTCCTTCTCGGCCAAGGCATGACCATCCTCCTCTTGAACAGCCCTCAGATGATTCAAGTCCGACTTGTTTCCAGCCATCATGATGACAATGTTAGAGTCTGCATGGTCTCTTAATTCACGAAGCCACCTCTGTACATTGTCAAAAGTTTGCCTCTTGGTTATGTCATAAACAAGAAGAGCACCAACAGCTCCTCTATAATAGGCGCTAGTGATAGCCCGGTACCGCTCCTGACCTGCTGTATCCCAAATCTGTGCCTTTACTGTCTTTCCATCCACCTGAAGCAATTTTAAAAAAAAAAAAAAAAAAGAATAATGATCAGCCAGCTGCTTTAGTTTTAGATTTCACCCATCGCCAGCAAAATTATGCTGCATCATCGAAGGAAATCAGAGGCATTGAAACATCAGTTAATTCTATGCTCCTGTAGCAAACAACAGATTAAGAACAGCCCATTGATACCCACGGCTTAAATCATATAAAGAGGCTTAGATGCAAAGTGTAAACAGCAGATATTGAAAGGGCATTCTTTCGAATAGCAGGGCCGGCATGGCATGTTGACTAGAATAGCAAATGGGAACCCAACAAGGACAAGAATCAGAAACTAAGTAGCAAATGGAGTTGTGATCATAGTTAGTAATAGTTTTGGATTTAGACTAGCTAATAATGACACTGCATGAATAGATAAAAAAATAATAATAATAACAAAATCAATCAATAAGAGAGGGAAAAAAAAAAAAACAAACTCATGATATGTGTGCTTTCATTTTCATTTTCTTTTTTTTTTTGGGTGCAAAATAAAGTATTTTGTATTTATGGAATGAATCAAAATAAAAATAAAAGAAGAAATAGTTAAGAACAGGGAAGAGGAAAAAAGAGAAAGGAGATTACTTGAAGAGTTCTGGTGGCAAACTCAACACCTATGGTGGATTTGGATTCCAAGCAGAATTCATTTCTGGTAAACCTGGAAAGAATATTGGATTTGCCAACACCAGAGTCCCCGATCAGCACGATCTTAAACAGATAATCATACTCATGATCTACTCTATGAGCCATTTTCTTTCTTGCCTTTTTTTTTTTTTCTAAAAAAAAATACAGTAATTTTAATACTCTCTCCTCAGATCTCTCTAACCTGCCAGATCCAACAACCAAATTCACTTCAGTCTCACATCATCTATCATCATATAATAAAAAATCAATCAATCATAGAAAACCAAAAACAATCAGATCTGTCCAGAAATTAAATAAATAAACAATAACTCACCCTCTGAATGAGGCCAATCGATCGAGAAGAGAAAACGATGTGATTCTTAATCTTAATCTTCAAAAAGATCACTATTATTGATTATTATTATTATTATTATGTGGATTATATATAATTGCAGCAACCAGCTTTCCTTCCAGGTATTTTCAACGGAATTTTCCGGGAAAATTTTTAAATATAGAAAAAAAGAACAATAAGAAAGAAGAAGAAATGGAAGAGAGCGGAAAAAACAAGGATGGAGAAAGGGTTTGAAACCGCCCAATAAATACAGGTTGTTTTTTCGGAGAAATTTATTTATGTACTAATAGCAGTAGTAACAGAACGTGTAAGCGACGTGCCGTTTGTTTTTGTTCTTGTTATTTATGAAAAGGACAGGATGGGTGGCAATGAAAAGAAAATTAGTGTGGTGTTTGTAGGTCAAATAATGGTAAGATGGCCATCTGATGGTTGGCAAGGCAGTGGATGTTTAGTGCTTTCCACGACTTTTCTTTATTTTTTTATTTTTACTTATTCTGATTTGGTGGAGGGAGGTGAGAGAATATAAGATGAGTTGTTTGGTTCATCAAATCAAAATCATTCAATAATCTTCGCATTCAATCACAAAATGATAAATCCTTTATAAATAAACACCAATTTATAACCATAGCATAGCGATTAGTCGAGGTATGCGTAAACCGAATCGGACACTCGCGTTAAAAAAAAAAAACCCATTTGTAGATTAAGTATCAATATTTTTTAAAATTTTCGAAATTATGTAAGAAATACTTCTTAATTGCATTACAAAAAATTATTTCGAAATACGTCAAAAGAAGCGCGAGACACTCTTTATATTTAACTAAAAAAAATAATCTTCAACGACAAAAGTTCCTCCCTTTAACTAGTCATAGATAGACAACGCACTGATTATAACCATTTTTATTGGGCCTGGGCTTTTATTTCACTTTCCAAACAAAGACAGATTTGGACTAAGTCCGGCCTTCTAAATGGGCCTCCCGAGTTCTTTTCCGCTGCATTTTTTTAGTTTTTTTTTTAATTTTTATTTATCTATTTATTCTGATTTGGTGGAGGGATGTGAGAGAAGATAAGATGAATTGTTGGGTTCATCAAATCAAAATCATTCCATAATCTTCGCCTTCAACCACAAAATACAATAATAGCTCATTTATAAATACGTGTCGATTTATAAATAATTCGATCTTTTTTATCAGAAATTTATTTTTAAAATATTTAAAATAATATATTAAAAAATATTTCTTAATTTCATTTAAGAAAAAATTTCGAAATACGTAAAAGGAAGTCCGAGACACTCTTTCTATTGAACTAAAAAAATAATCTTCAACAACGATAGTTTCTCCGTTAACTAGTCACAGATAGACAACGCACTAATTATTGTTATTGTTATTGGGCCTGGGCTTTTATTTCACTTTTAAAACAAAAATAAATAAAGACAGATTTGGACTAGGTCCGGCCTGTCGAGTTTCAGTTTTTAGTTTTTTATTTTTATTATATTATTAGTACTATTATATTGGTATTAGAATATTTGGAGGAGGAAAGAGGAAAGCCACACGATCATTCTGTGAGTTTTGAGGAAGAAGAAGAAGGTTTGCGGAGAGGGAGCAGAGAGAGAGAGAGAGAGTGAAGGACGATGGCTTTGAAGTTTTTGAACAAGAAGGGATGGCACACGGGGAGCTTGAGGAACATAGAGAACGTTTGGAAGGCTGAGCAGAAGCACGATGCCGAACAGAAGAAGTTGGAGGAGCTCCGCAAGCAGATTCAAGATGAGCGGGAGCGTTCTGAGTTTCGTGTCCTCCAGGAGCAAGCTGGTCTTGTACCGTAAGAACCGCTTTTATTTTCATTTATCCTTTAAATTCTATTCAAACAACTAATCAAACTACTAGAATTAGGGTTAGGTTTAGGGTTTAGGTTTTATTATTTTATTACTTACTTATTCAATATTTGAATTGTTCCAGGAGGCAGGAAAGGTTGGATTTTCTTTATGATTCGGGATTAGCTGTTGGCAAGACCAGTGGCAGTTCCAGCGGAGGGGGAGTTGGAGTTGCCTTCAAGGCTCTTGAAGAATCCATTCCTGGCACCACGACCACTAACAACAACGCACCATCCTCCTCCTCTGCCCAGCAGTCATCTGCCCCCGGAGCTTTATTCGAGGACAAGCCTCACTCTTCCAATGATGCTTGGAGGAAACTCCATTCCGATCCTCTGCTTTTGATTCGCCAGCGTGAGCAAGATGCCCTTGCCCGCGTCAAGAACAACCCTGTCCAAATGGCCATGATTCGTAAATCTGTAAGCTTTCTCGTCTTTATTTTCTCTATGTATGTAATTTAATGTAGTACTTATTTGACTGCTATTCATGCCTGCTATTGCTTCGATTTAAACTATCTTTGCATCCTCAACCTAATGTAAAATAACTTTAATTATAATGTGTTCTCTTCACCACTTCCCTGTTTATTAAAGAACTCAACTCCTTTCGTGCTTCCTACTTGACCAATTGAGTCCCCTTTCCTGTGACGAATTTATCATGTATGTGCTTTTCTCATGGTTTGTCCATGATTTCTGCCTCTCCTCTTCTTTTGTACACAAATAAACAGCATTGGAATCTTCACTGAAATGGTCCTCCCTGGTCATGTATGCCCATTTTGTAGTGTAGAATTGTCCATCAGGTATTGTGTAAATACCTATTAAATAGTGAAATTGATGATGATTAGCTAGTGCTGCCTGCTATTAAATTTAAATCATTAGAGACAACAACAACAACATTTCCTATCAGACATACTTTTATTTTTTATTTTAGCTGAAACATTTTTATCGACTTGCTTATGGGAAAAGAAGATCAATATCATTGAAGAATTTCAACTTTTTTTTGTTGTAAATAATCAATTTTGTGCGCTTGCTGAACCATTGATTATTATTTTGTAGGTCAAAGCTAGTGAAGAGAAGGAGAAGGGCCATGATAGAAAGAAACACCGGAAAAAGGATAGTCATAGTAAAGGAAAGCATCACAAGCATTCATCATCAAATCCACAATCTGATTCTGAGATTGTCATTACTGAAGGAGGTAGAAGGAGAAAGACTAGTGATCACAAGCATTCATCTTCCAAACGACAATCTGATTCAGAAAATGTCAGAGTTGAAGGGGAAAAGAGGAGAAAAACCAGCGATAGCAGGAGTTCAAAGTATGACGAGCGTCATTACAAAGCACAAGTTGATTCAGATGGCGAATCAACTGAAAGAGAAAACCCAAGAGGAAGTAATAGCTACAGGGGTTCAAAATACAGAGAGCGATCTCCTCGTGGATTCTCACACCTAAAAGCTGCAGAAAATGATGGTCATGACGCTCACAGGAAGAACCATGGCAGGTCAATGAACGAGAGATATTCATTGGAAGGCAGGTCAGATCTTAATGCTGATAGAAAGGAAAGGGACACGAAGAGTTCTCGTGAAGCAAGGTCCTATGCTTCTGCTGAGTCAGTTCACCATGATTCAAACTACAAATGCCGAAAAGTTGCTTCTAAACTGACAGAAGAAGAGCGAGCTGCTAAGCTATGGGAGATGCAAGTTGATGCTGAGTTGCATGAAGAGCAAAGATGGAAGCGTTTGAGGAAGGCAGAGGAAGATGATGTACGAGAAGCTACTCGTGCAAGCATGTTGGGTGGCAGGAACTTCCTAGATGCTACTCATAAAAGTGTGTATGGAGCTGAGAAAGGGGGAAGCTCAACCATTGAGGAGAGTGTCCGTCGCCGTGCATATTATTCACAAGGAAAGTCTGCAGAGGGTGATGGCAATGCCTTTCGCCGGTGAAGCACTTCTGCCATTGGTTGTTTATTTTTGCCTTTTTAATAGTTCCAGGTGTGTTCCTCACCTTTCCATGCATGTGTGCATATTCTTTAATACCAGAGGCCTTTGTTAAACCGTCTTGTAAAATTAAGTGATTGATTCAAATAGTTATTAAGTTTATATACAGTTTCTTGAAACTCTCAACAGCATCTCATGCGACTGATATTATATCCAAGTGCACAGTTTATTATTTTGAAGATTTCTCAAATTCAATAAATCATCCAGAAAACAAAATGCTGCTTTGTGTAAATGATTCATCCAATCCTATATGCGTGACTTCTTAAACTTACCTTTTTCTCTACCCTAGGAGGATAGAATTATCAAACTACTGTGATATTATTTGTTTTTTGCACTTCCTGTTGCAAGAGTAGAAAACTCTGGCAAACTATATAAAAAAGGAAACAAAGTCCTAGTTTCATTTTGCACAACATTCTAAGCTTTGTTTTTCAACCCTATGTAAAGGAAATACTTTTGATCATCAGATACTAAGCCTCTGTTGCTGTGAGCCTGTGATAGCTCTCAAGTTGGACTGTGTTGGTCCTCCTATCTGTCTTGTTCAGATTTCAGAGTACACTTTGATCACCCGCTATTTCATTTGAGCCTATTGCTTTTTTGTTGTTGTTTATGAAACCCTTGAACCATTGAAGCATGTATTGTTTAAACTTTTTTTTTTTTTTTTTTTTTATCTCCCTTTCCTCTTGTGCCCCCAAACAATTCGATGCTGTGGCAGTCCTCTTGCTTCTCGAGGATCCAATCTGAATAACAGAAAAAAAATATTCTTTGAATATAAAGTTTTTTTCTCCCTTAGTGTTACAAGGATTTTTTTTTTTTTTCAATTTTGCCTAAAATATGGCTGAAATAAAAGATATTTTTGCTTTTCAAAGCCTTGGTGCCTAACTGCCTATAGGAATAGGGGAGTGAATTGCTAACAAAAACTTACATATTTAGAAGAGCATTCATCTTGAAACAATCATGTGGATTGGTTGTGGTAATGGTTCATGTAGGAAATAGTAATAGAACAAAAATAATCCCATGTTCATTCATTAGCCTGTACAACACATTATGATTTTAAACTTAATTTCAAGTTTGTATCTCTGATATTGCCATGGCGAATTAGCCTTGTATCCTGGATTACCATGCTGAATTTCATTACAAACTCATGGTTATAGTTTAAAAAGCTTATGGGATATTTTTTACTGTCCATTTTAAGGAAGAAGTAATTATTATAAGTGGTGTTTTAGTTTCTAGATGTCTGATTAAGTTTGGATGATTGGTAAGACATGCAGGTGATGATTCTTAGTGGATTCAAATAGTGAACACTTTTAGGGGAGTTACAAACTATGTTCTCTCTCTGTCACTCACGTACAGAGAAGTGACACGGACACATGAAAGCGAAATTTCAACTACTTGCATGATAAATGACTGTTGGTTGGCCATTGGTCTTTGTCTGTGGTCCTAATTAAGAACTCTGTTTGAATAGTTAACCTTAATAATGCCTGCCTGCCATATTATTTGTAGATAAATTTGCAGCATCAAAGGAAGGTCATGTTTTTAACTCGGAGTGTGAGAGTCCTGGAATATCCTGCGTTTTGTGCCCAATTTTCATCTCTTCCCGTTTCTAGGAAATCAGAATATGTCAATCCCCGGAACTGCGAGAAAAAAACTACAGTAGGATACCACATAATTGTTGTCGGCATCATACTTTTTTATAATTGATGCGCGATAAATGTTTGTTTGTGGTTTGGACTTTGGAGTGATTAGTATGAATGGTTGGAAGCTCAAACTGCTCCTAAGGTAAGGCAAGCCGAGCCAGTAGCCATTAGACTAGAGTGGCCTAATAATTTCTGAACCTTGTGTTTTATAAGGCAGGCATTATCACGGTCGAAAAAGTTCAGGATCTTTCCCTCTTAACAAAGCCATGGAAATATGGAATCTTTCATTATTTCGTCTTTTGGGTCCCTTCGATTCACAAGTTCTATGAGTCGATTCCATCCAAATCATTTTGGTCCACTGCTTTTGGTAGGGCGTACGTGCCCTCTTTGTAAAGCACATGAACAATGAAGTGAAGCGACTCGCCGACATGCTGTGCTGCCTGTGAGAATGATTAGTGGGGTCTGTGCATTTTTTTGTTATTTTAATTCAGAATCCTGGGATGAAGAAAAGGCTATCAAAAATTTTATTTATCCATTGTAATATTCTCTGTGCGAACTGCGAACAGTTTCTGTAGTTAAAAGAGGGAGGGCGGGCTCTTGGACTGGATGTGTGAACTTGGTGACGAAACTTAGCAGTAAATGCCATCTCCAAGTTGACCTGACCTCCTATCTCCTCCAAGTTAATCCAAGAACTGTGTCGGTTCACGGTTGGCATACAGTGACAGCAATCAGATTTTTCCAACTAATTAATCAGGAATTAAGTTTCAAATATTTTCCCCTGTTTGCAATAAAATGATAAATTTGCAACATTTGGCGTATCTGGTATGAGTTTCTTTTGACAAAAAAGGTAGAGCAGAAGCAGCAAAATCATAGAAAGGAATGATGGGGTTGGTCTGGTTTGTGGTTCTCTCTCTTTCCATTGCAACATCATCTTCGCAAGCTAAACTTAAAGGCATGTTATATTCTCTATTCTTACTTGAGCTTTTAAAGTCTTTTGAGACGCAACATCATTAATTAAATCAGACATTTATGTGTATATTTTAAGCTTCATATAACAACTACTGACATTTTGCAGCGTATGAGCAATCCATCAATCAGTCCAGCATACATCTGAACATATATCACGTGCATGGACATGGCTTCTCGCTCACCCCGAACTCCTCGTCTCTTTCTGATGTACTCTTGCATGACGAAGAACATGTCAAGGCTCTCAGTTACAGACTAGCAAAGAAAGGTATAGGTATTGGGTCTGTCAAACCTCCAAAATCTGGATACCACCTTAAACCAAATTCAGCTAGCTTCCCATTGAATCCAGGTTTGTCAATTGGCTCCGGTAATTACTATGTAAAGTTAGGCCTTGGCTCCCCTCCCAAGTACTATGCCATGATTCTTGACACCGGTAGTTCTCTCACCTGGCTCCAGTGCCAGCCCTGTGTTATATACTGTCATGCCCAAGCAGGTCCCCTGTTTGATCCCTCCGTATCTAAGACCTACAAAAGACTATCGTGTGGCACTGCCGAATGCTCCAGGCTCAAGGCAGCCACTTTGAATGACCCAGTTTGCGAGACTGATTCTAAGTCATGCTTGTACACGGCCAGCTATGGGGATGCATCTTTTTCACTGGGCTACTTGAGTCAAGATCTTTTGACCTTAACATCATCTCAGACCTTACCCCACTTCACATACGGATGTGGGCAGGACAATCAAGGGTTGTTTGGAAGGGCAGCCGGCATCATAGGGCTAGCCCGTGACAAGCTCTCGATGTTGGCGCAGTTGTCCACCAAGTATGGATATGCCTTCTCCTACTGTCTCCCCTCAGCCAATTCCCGATCTTCTGGAGGAGGCTTCTTGTCCATCGGAAACATCTCTCCGGCAGCCTACAAGTTCACCCCCATGCTTACAGATTCAAAGAATCCCAGCTTATACTTTTTGAGGCTGACAACTATAGCCGTGTCTGGTAGGCCATTGGGTTTGGCTGCTGCCAACTACAGGGTCCCGACCATTATAGACTCCGGAACTGTTATTACTCGACTGCCAATGTCAATATATGCAGCACTGAGGGAGGCCTTTGTAAAGATCATGTCCACCAAGTATGCGAAAGCCCCAGCATATTCCACCTTGGACACTTGTTTCAAAGGGAGCGTCAAGAGTATTTCAGCAGTGCCTGAGATTAAAATGATTTTTCAAGGAGGTGCAGACCTCACTCTCAGGGCCCCAAACGTCCTGATTGAAGCTGATCCAGGGGTTACATGTCTAGCCTTTGCTGGTAGCTCTGGGACCAACCAAATTGCCATAATTGGAAATCGTCAACAGCAAACATATAACATTGCTTACGATGTCTCAGCTTCAAGAATTGGGTTTGCTCCTGGTAGCTGTCATTGATCAGCTGGGTGCCTACTGCCTAGTTTGATGAATAAATAGGAATCACCGAGAAAGAGGTGAAACTACACAAACTATTATAATAGTAAAACTGGGTTTGTAAGAAATATTTATTTTGATAATTAAGTGATAAACTGTGTGTATATAGAAACCTTGGCCCCAAAAAAGGGTTTGTATGAATGCGCATGTAAAATTGCATATTGTTTATGTTATCTATTCTAAATCTCCCAAGGTTTATAGAAATACGCAATGTTTGTGTGCTGCACTGACTGGCTGCAACATATATCATTTAGCTACAGAACAAATTCTTCCATTGGCCACGAATTAATTGACATTCAATACCTTCTAGGTCGATCACAGAAATACCTGGACTCTTCTTCATCCCCTGTCAATCACATGTTTCCTCGAAACATTAACTAATAAACTAAAGTGAAACCATCAAATAAACAGTAATTACTGTTTGAAACATTGTGCACACACTCATGTTCCACTATTTACTCTCTCACGCTTTACTGCTACTTTCACTGTTCATGGTTTTTTTACATTTTGGTCCTTCATATTTTCGAACGCATATTTCGACCCACATGTTCATTTGTTTATCCATTTTGATCCTTGGGTGGAGAGAGAAGGCCGAGAGGAAGAGAGAGACGAGAGGAGAGAGATCGTCGGCCAAGCTTATTTAGGCCACTCGGCCTGCGAAAATCCACTATATCTTTTTATCTTTTAGAGATGAGTTTGTCCATGATGGTTTCAAGCCATTAAACAATTAGAGGAGATAGATTGAAGCCAAAAAAGAAGAAAAAAAAAACCATTTGATTTTGTATTTTTCTTTATTTTTGTATGTATTAAAATGATTTTTAAGGTTTTAGATATGTTTATTGGTTTTATTCTAATCATTTAGAAATGTTTGAGAAAAAAATGATGTTGAAATTTAATTTCTAAGGATCTGAAAATTGAACTCGATTTTTGGACGAATTTTCAATAACCTTTGGTTTGTTGGAAGTTACAGATTTTTTTATTTTTTTTTTCTATTGAGCTACAAGCAAGGCCTAGCGCTCAGGCTTGCTTGCATAGCTCAAGCGAGATAGATTCCCTCTTTTTTTTTTAATTATTATATGTTGCACAAGCCTACTAGGCGCCTCTCTCTCTCTCTCTCTCTCTCTCTCTCTCTCTCTCTCTCTCTCTCTCTCATATATATATATATATATATATATATATATATATATAAAAGAAGAAAAACAATAAAGAAAAAAGTCTACCAAACAAAAAAATATATATATAAAATATAAAAAATAAATCGTTATTTTTTTAGTTTTTCATAAAGTTTAAAGATGATATATCTATATATATGATTATATTACTTTTATTGTTTAAATTTAATTTTTTAATTATTTATTTCTTATTAAAATTCACATAAAAATAATTTTTTGATATAATTTTATTTATTAATAAATTTATTTTTTTAATATATGAATTTTGAAATGAAATTTTAGAAAGTCGATGTTTTATTTTTTAAATATATCATTATAATTTATACAATAATTTTTTTTATACTTTTTAAATGAATTCTTTATTATTTAAAATTTACTATTTTAATTTTTTATTTTTTTTAAAATTCTCATCCATTTAATTTCAAATTACATTAAAATATTTAAAATATTTTTTTCATTTTTGATTTCATATATTTTTATACATTCACATTATAAAACAAACTATCAAACTAAAATAATTTTTCTAAAAGCTTTTATATATTTTATTCTATCGGTAGCGTAATGCATATAAAAAATTTAGTCTATTCTAAAAAAAAAAAATATTGGTTATGTTGCTCATACATGCAAAAGGACAGCTTTTGATAGAACCGTACTATGAGTTTTGATTTAGATGGTTAAGTTTGTTAGCATTGCAGAAGAGCAGAGAACATGCAAGAAACAATTGGAATGTATGTGATTCATTTCAAAGCTTAAAATTCATTGAAATGAGAGGAGAACAACTGTTTTTCGCACTTGGTGTGAACATATTTTTTGTTATAGCTTAGGCTTTCTAGCTAAGAAGTCAAATGATCCCTTCTTCCATTTGAACCTTCTTTTAAGTTGAATTTTGTAATATTTTCAAAGAATCGATCGTTTTGTAATTGTTTCGAAACATCCCATTATCGTTATGTTAATATTATAATAAGTTGTGATCTACGATAACAATCGTCATTGTTGTTAATATTATAATAAAATGATCCTCTTCATTTTTAGTAAAATCCAATTTAACGCTTGATCATTTTTTTTTTTTTTTTTTTACCCTCAAACTATTAGGTTAAAACAATTGAACAAATTTTATAAGACTATCAACGACAGTTTACAAAACATAAAACTACTAATATTACATAACATAATATGTGGTTTTTATTTAAAGTTTGAACCTTGAATCCTTCTTGGGGTCTGTCTACCCATCAGTTTTATATTCTACCATAAAAATAATAATTTATTATTTATTTAATTTTCAAAGTTTGAACTTTGAACCCTTTTTGGGGTTTACCCATGGGATTGATATTGTAGCATAATAATAATAATAATAATAATGACCCTCCTCCACGGCTTCTTTTGACAAACTAGCTGCTGAAGTGTCAACCTTGCAGAGATCAATCTGGTTTCGTCGTCTATAGTTGCCAAAATGTTTGTGTCACAGATCATTGCTTTTATTCAATAGATATTTTGTCTAGTAGAGCTCATGTTACAGGTTTCGTCGTCTGCCTCTCTGGACATTGGAGAAAGGAAAAAGAGTACTTTCCACAAAATCAGGGTTGTCTGCCTTTTGTCCTATGCAACCAAAAAAACCACGACCACCACCCCCTCCTCTTTTGGTGTGTGGTCGTTCCTCGTACAAAACCAACTCCAACCACTGACACCTGCTCCTTTGTCTCATCTTAACTTCGTATTCGAAACTTGGAAGTGGAAGGAGGGAGGGAGCAACTTGGACTGTACTTGCTCGCAATACAGGTACTGATTCCGAACCACAACTGAACTGCCTATCTACTGCTCTTACTTAGTCCTCTTCATACTCGTACTCCCAAGAGACCACAGTTCAAAATCCTATGTTTCTATCATTTGTTGGTTAGCTTTCTGTTTGATTTACAAGTTTTACTGCAATAACTAAGATCTAAAACTCAATGATATCTGCAATCCAAACTTCTGCATTCCCCTGGATAATAAGTCTAGTCAACTTTTCTCCAACAGATTTAGTTTAGCCAAAGTAAACTAACGGAGGGTTTTTTTGCTGTCCAGAATATTACATGCATACTCTCGAACCCAGAAACATCGTAATTCAGCATCTCCTCTTTATTTTTTCTAACTCTTTAAGTCCTTTCCTCTTTATGTTTCTTTGGTTCTGTTTTTTATGTACAGCTCAAGTCCAGTGACCTACAACATGGGATGCATTTCTTCGAAACTTGTGTCTAGATCATTGAGCTTTCAGGAAGAGCTGAATAAGAGCATGAAGAGATCAGCTAATGGTATTTCTGCGCTCGAAGAAGCGGCCATCTCTGGCAACATCAACGACCAGTTCCTTGCTCTTGTTTGCACTGCCAACACCGTAGCCTGCCAATACAGATCTGGGAGTTTTTCAGACAAATCCAACAAGCCAGTTGTCGAACCTGATATCACTCTAACGAAAACTAAATGGGAATTTAACTCAAGTCTGGAACAAGAAGGACTAGAAGCACGATTGCTGCTCCCACAAATCCCAAGCATTGATCTAACAAAAAGATCAAGAAGCTGTCACTTGTTTTCAACGAATGAAGTTTCCCGTCCTTCTGTAGAGAGTTTCCATGGGCTTGAAGAAAACAAAAGGAATCAGAAGGGAGTAGGGCGTGCAAAGAGTTTCCATACGATAGAGGAGTTCGATGCCCTGATTGAAAAATTAAAGCTATCTACGGAGCAGCAAATAGGGTATGATGGTAAGGGTGACGGTTCAGGAACCAAGGTGCAGCTTAACCATTTCCAATCTTCATATCATGCATCTGACCATACCAGGGATGGTAATGATATGCAGGAAATACATTCACACATGAAGGATAGAACTCCTCCAGAAGCGAACTCCATCATCGAAGAGAATTCCACCTTATCAACCTCGGATCAAGTAAGTAGAAAACAGATTACAATTCCAAGTAGATCAAATACCACCACTGAATCAGAAACCGTAGAGGAGTCTCCTCAACGACACATGTTAAACGAAGGTGCTAGAAGGAAGTCCTTCGCAAAGAGGTTAGAATCGCTTGAAATTCCACAGGCCATTGAATTACCAGCCGTTGCAAGCCTTAGGGAATGGCTCCGTGCTGGCGGACAAGTCTACTCTCCTGGTGCTTATATCACTCCGAAGTTTGGCAGCTATTCCTTGCCGATTTGTGGGACTCCAAATGAATGCAATGAGGAGGCGATTTTCAGTCCAGATTTAGTGGCTGCTTCTGAGGAGAGCATGGAACGACTTGAAGCAGAAGCAGAAAGTATTCTCAAACAGATTGTGCAGAACTTGGAGCAAGAAAGTACCGTGGATAAGCAAGCCAAAGATGATTTTTTATCTCACTCGAACTCCCCAGGCTAGAATGAATCTCAACTCTCATAAACAATGAAATATCTAACTCCAATTTTCCAGCTTAAGCTTTCCTATTGAAATAGAACTGCCACTGGGTAGAAGCTTATATTTACCTTCTCCCCCTCTTATACAAACAACTTGAAAACCAAAAGCAAATTCTCTTGATTTGCTTCGATTCATGGCTTCATCTGTAAAGGTTTTCATTTCTTGGGTGGAGAAGCGCATGATTTTTCTCTTTTACTTTCTAGACTTCTGGGAAGGGGGAGTATCTAGAAATTACAATAAGAATCTCAAGTGAAAATTTTTATGAGCCAAATAATTAGTAGAGGAACCAACAAAAGTAGAGCTTAACAAGACTCTGTACAAGTTGTCACTAACATTGGCCTCGACAGAATAACAAAAACTTTTAGTTGCAAATTTGAATCTGAGGAGCTATGCATTTTTTTGCATGATTTCTTTTGAAAAAGAAAGGCCAGGAAAAAGTTTAAATGATCACAAGCCTTGGTCATGCTGTGGTTCCAGTTTGCCTAACAAGATATGCAACCAAGTCTCCCTACATGCTCTCCATCAGTTACATACCTTCAATCCAATTTCTTCCTCTCATACAATGCTGCCTGACATTATTTCACCACAAGAAATTATAGCAGTAGAATGTTTGTTTTCAATTTCTTTTCTACTGCAAATTAACATGAGGTATGTCACCATCATCATGTACATAAATGTCAGAGGTAGCATCCTCATGTTCATAGGAAATTAATTGCAGATGCAGACTCACAAGGTATGACTGATGATCACATTAGGGAATCAAGATATGAGTAACTACGGCATCGGTTATACTGAAGAAGGCTTCCATAGGTGCGATCCCACACTCCGATGAAGAGGGACTCTGTATCAGGGCTAAAAGACACACCAGAGATCTCCCCAAAAAAGTCTATTTCCTGCTCTTTCTCAAACCCATTCTTTGCATCGTAGACATGCACAAAGTCTGCCGGCTCTGCCATTGCCATGAACTGCCCATCAGATGTAAAACGAATTGATCTAATGGCTCCTAGATTGCCCTTCAGCACACCAACAGACTTCGACAAGTTTCGAACATCCCAAATACGACAGGTTTTGTCTTGGTTCCCCGTGGCAAAAATGCGGCCGTCAGGATGCCAAGCAGATGCAAATGAGAAATCCATGTGCCCACGTAAAGACATAATGGGCTACAATGATAAGGACGTTAAATTAGATGAAGCTGTCCATATCCGAGAATGCAAACAGGTTTAATGATCTCTAAAAACAAAGGATTCAACAACAATAAAAAGTTTCTGCCAGAGAAAAATCTCAGCAAAAGCAGCAGACTACCTTTCCCGTTTGAGAATCCACCAGTAACCCGTCAGGGTTGTCACCGACAATGACAAGAAGCTTACCATCAGGATTCAGTGAGGCATGCTGTAAACAGAAGCAACATATTAATACATAAATGAAGAGCATGCCACTCGTTAATTCAAACGTTATGAGCAGCATGTGCCCATTCAGTAAATAAAAATCACAAATCAGCCTATCCTATAGATCAAATCTGGGGAAAGCATCTGGCAAAGTGCACTCGGAACAACTAAACATAACAACCCAAAGGGCCGGAAGCAAGCTTGATGACCTTGGCATGTTTTGTTATAAGAGGTTGTGTTTCTTCGGCCAATTAAAAAACATAAAATAAAAGGAAACAAGTACATTCAAGCACACAAATTTTCACCTTGGCATGTTTGTTCTAAAAAGTTGTGTTTCTTTGGCCTTTTCAATTGAAAAAAAAAAAAAACATGTAAATTCAAGCACACAAAATTTTTATCCAGATTCCTCTTTTATTAGCTGTCTATGCGCAGTTAGAAAATTTAGACTTGGACAGGCATGCCTGCAGTACACACAAAAAGCATGCACCACCATCATTCCACCAAATAAATTTTCCAAGCAAATTCATAAAACGCAAGAGAGAAAATAAAATGGGAAAATACTTGACATTCTATCACACCGGGGCATTCAGTGGCAAAATGACCAGCATGTGTAGAATTCTATTCTTGGAACAAGACATGTGAAAAAAAAAAAAAAAAAAAAAAAAGGCACATTTCATGAGAATTTTTAGTTTAAGTTATCTTTCTCATTATCATTTATGACATCAGAAAATCTGATGGCATGAGAATGGTTTTCTTATTCCTTTATTGGGCATGTCTCCAAAACTGAAAGTCAATGGTGCATCTATATATTTTTTATGTAATGCTGAAACATAATCCTCACAGTTGGTCTACAAGGAACCAACTACAATTTGATTCTCATGGAATTTATGAAGTTGCTGGACAAAGTTTCATTGTGACGAGAGACAAAATTAATTTGAATAAATACACTCATGGATCCATGAGTGCAAAAGCACTCAAATGTATATCACAATCCCAAAGGAGAAGCAGGACTTCTTTGTACATTAGAAGCATACAAAATAAATCGAAAACCATACGTTTGTTCACTAACTGAAGAAGGACAGAACCTAATTTCTTTTTTCACAATCTCTCCTCTCCATTCTTCAGCATCCCAATTTATTTTTCCTATACGCATAATCAATCTTGTAAAATATTTAGTATACCTTTCCCCTTCTTTCAACAACAACACTCCAGCTTTGTCTCCAATTAATCTCTTCCATCAAAACCGCTTAGTAACATTGCTCCCATACATATATCAGCTCAGCTTTCTTCTTCATACCATCAAGATTGAAGAATACTTCCTTCTCCTTCAATCTTTGAACCTCTCTCCCTTTTCCCATTAACTTATTGATTGCACACCTACAATTTCTTTTTGAAAAATACTCTGAACTTCCTTTGCATTTTGTCTAGGTTCACAAGATCCAATGGAACCATCAGTTCCCCAAGCTTCACAAGCCTTCCACCAGCCCTTATTCAGCTCCAAAAAACCTTCATCCGTCAACAATGTACTTTCAAAGCAAAAGGGGAACTTCCCAGATCTAAGATGCTTTCAGAACATGTTTTGGGAAATTGATGAGTGGAAGAAAGAGAAAAGAGCTTAAACCATGATGAAGGCTAGCTGGCAGTAATGGTACTAAATGCAATCAAAGGACATGAATGTGAAAGATTAACAGGTGGGAGGAGGTGGAAGGACAATCTAGAGTATCTATTACAATAGCATGATTATGGGCAACCTTAAAATTCATAACTTTAACTTAAAATTTGTAATTAGGCTGAAATGCTGACATTCGCAGAAGGAATACTTACATTCACAGGCCAATCAAAGCAGAAATGCTTAGATTGTTGAAATCTCTCCATATCAAAGTCTCTCACTCCACTGTCATTATTTGAAGCCATGAAATGAACTGCACCACTGCAACAGGATTTACTTAAAGTCAGATCTTACCAACATTTAAAGTAAAAAATGTGCAAAAGGAGTGGAAGTAATAAAGAACCTGGGACATTCATAAATCTCAATAGCATTTGTGATGGCATTATCATCATACGTCGTTCTGGAGCAGAAGCTTATACCTGGTCGATCTAAATACTGCATCCCGAACAGCCAAGCAAACAACTCATTAGCCATTATATATATATATATATATATATATATATCATTCTTTCAGATACAACTAAAAATAATCAGCACAGAGTAAACATCATAATCACAACAGAAATTGCTATGGTTAATCAGGTAAGTATTTCGTTTATATGCACCATGACCACCAATCAGAACAAGCATCAAAAAGTATGTATGGGCAAAACAATAGAGAAAAGCTGGCAGATGTATAAAACTTGTATATTTTCAGTTCATCAATCAACAAATTCTTTTTTCCGATGAAAATGATTATTGAATAAACAAAATAACTTAAAAGAACTTACAGAAGAACAAGATTACCTTGCAAATGAGTTCTCCCTGGAAACCTCCAGCAATCAACAACCTATCCTTTACCGCCAGTGTACTAACTTGAGTTTGTGTGAATCCTTCTAACAGGCTGCCAGGGTGTTTCTATCATTCAAATAAGTGATTATTACCACAAGTAACTTCACAAAGAAAGAACGAAAAAGCATTTGGGTATATTGTGGGACGTTGTATTGTAAGACATCAAAACATTGACATACCTCGCATGGTGCCACATGCCCAGAAACATTAAGGACTTCATTCTTTTTGCAACTTAATGATGACCAGTGAACAATAGAGAAATGTGACATGAGGTAGACATCGTGCTTTGATGTTGACCAAACCAAGTTTCGCAACTGTAATGCCAAACAAATAGTTTGAAAATTCATAAAGTTTCCTTTTGAACAATATTCTGAACAACCTTTGCTTTTTTAGTTTTTCCACGTTCAAAATATTTCAAGTGATCAAAAGTCTTTAAATTACTTGACATCTAGCTCCTATCTCAATTCTTTGCTTGCTTCTAAAATTTTAGCTTCCCAAAAAGTTTACTGAAGTTTCTATAAATCCTCAGAGTTGCCAATCATTAGCTAATGTCTCAATACCATGTTCTTAAACCTTCTCAAGTCTCAACTCAGGCCTAAATATGGAATCCATCAGCCCCTCACCACCATCTAACACCCTACCCCCACCCACACACGGAGATCAGACATAATGATTATGTAAAGAAAGAAAATCTTATCAGTTGGATCACATAACTTAAAAATAATTCAACTTAAGCTGATGGGACAAAAATATCAGCATACTTGGAAATGAAGGATTGTTGATTTCACCGATCTGGTATTGCGCCAGAACTCATAATACATTCCCCCTTTCTTAGTAGGTGTGCATTCCTGAAGACGATCAGAACAGAAGCACATGAGAAAGAAGTTCAACTGTATCTAGCAGTCCAATAGCACCACAAAATAGGGAAAAAAATAGATTCTACCTTCTCTGAACTTTCTCCTGATTGAGGTACGTTTTCATAGTTCTTGTACTGCTCTAACCTAGTTTGTCTGTACTTCTCTCGGGAAATGCTCAGTCTTTCCCAAGGAATTCCCTGAATATCCTTTCCCCTCCGAGCATCTGCAGCAGATGTATCCGTTATCTTATTATCCTGCATAACCAACAACCGACCCCCCACCCAAGGGCAAAATGCAAAAAAGAAAAAAAAATGTCACAAACAAGATCTGTCACTGAAATTGATTTAAAAAATAAATAAACAAAAGATTTTTCATTGAATCAAAAGCAAGAGTGGCAGATGAGGTAATGGAACAGAGAAGAGATACATTCTGCATTAATGGAAAAAATAAGGGAAAAAAAGTGGAAATTGATGTATGAAATGAACAAACCAAATGATCATATTCATCGTCGTCGTCGTCATCGTCATCATCTGACTCCGAATCAGCCATAAATCTACCACGGAAATAGAAATCATCATCTACTTCTGCAATCTCATAGTCATCTACCACGTGATCCATTTCATCCCCTTGGTTCTGGGACATAACCGTTGAGCAAATTTACAGCTGAGCCAACAAAAATTCAGGAGAAAGAACAAGAGAATCAGAAGGAAATCACCATTCTAGATTATATTTATCCCTCTTTAACAAATGGTCTCAACATACTCAAAAGACAGTGCTCTTATACATGCACCAAGGTCAACCACTAAAAAGGAAATACATCAAAAAAAAAAAAAAAAACACTTCAGCCAATTGGACTCTTTTAGGCTCCCATTAACAAACTCTGATACACTCCCTCAATTCATTGGCAAACTCCTTTGAATCCAACAAACTTTATGAAGAAAAATCACAACTCAGGCAATCTTAAAAACCTTGTCAAGATCGAACTAAATACCTGACATCATGAACAAAATCATTGGCCTAGAAAAGCTGTTAATCTCAAAACGACAACACTTTTGAAAGAAGAAGATGGTGTACTTCGAAATATATACGAAGCCCATCAGACAATGACAAAAGAAGTCTCCAGTACTTAAAAGACCAAATAACCAGCATTTACACGCTCAATTTGCTGCCCTAAATTACATAAAACAATAATTATATCTATAACCAGTTTTCAACATTCAGAAGAATAAATCCATGAGAATTATGTGAATAAAAGACAAATAAATCAGCATGAAAAAAAAAAAAATTGCAAGAGTGATTCTTTTTCTTCAGATGAGACTTAGGGAAGTACGTATATAAGCACAACAGATAATGGCAGCTGATATTAACATATGAGAAAAGAAAAACACTCATACATGCATATGCAGCATCCAATTTGAAGCACAACAATAAATAAAAGACCAATCAGTTATGAATTTCCGCTAACCTTTTAAAGGGTTTATTCTGCAGTTAAAAAAAAAAAAAAAGAAGAAAAAATAAAGCAGATTGTTGGTCTGAGATCTCTTTTGATTAAGATGTGATCCGCGTCTGACTCAATTGAACCTCTGCAACAACAACACACCCAATAGAGTAAAAATGAGAAACCAACAGTAGGGGAGGGATTGTCAGTACTTATAAATAGGAATTGCGATTGCCCACCAAAACAATGACCATCTTCTGGTAATAATATCAAATCATCCTTATCATAGGTTATATTTACTTACCATTACTATCATCATCACTGTCAGAAGAAGGGAAGAAGGGGGAGGCCTAGCTAAAAAGAGACAGGCGAAGAGAGAGACACAAACACCAGATACAGAGTTAAATAAAGACACCCTTTTTACATTTATGCCCCCGACCATTTAGGGAAAAAGATCAAAACTTTATTACCAAAGTAAAACTATGTGAAGCAAAGAAAAAAAGGCCTCATCCAAATCATACAATATGAATATGACATGGGCCATCTCATCTCTGAAATTCATTCTCTATAGAGTTGATAAATTAATATAATGTTACTCCACAGGCTCCAAAGAAAACGAAAAGCAGATTATTGTTGTCGTTGGAAAAAAGAAGAGGAAGTGAATTGAATTGAAGGGAGATGAATGCAAATACAACACTTCCTCTAACCAACATTACTACTAGCTTCAAAACTCCCTTAGTGTTGACGATTAAGTATTGCTCTTGCCCTTCCGCACCAACACCCCTACTGTCTCCCATTTCAATCAGGTCTAGCCGCCGACGGTGCCTCTGCCGCCGAACAAGGTCCTTGCCACCCAGCTTGGTCATAAAGGAGACATCTACTACTGCCACGACCACCACCACCGTGTCTGATACTGATACTGATACGGATACGGATTCAAAATCTGTTTCCCGTCGCCTTATTTTGCTTCGCCATGCTGAGAGCTCCTGGGATGACCGTTTACTTCGAGGTCTCTCTCTGTTTCTCTCTCACCTATTATCTATTAATGATAAATAATCCCATTTTTGTTCTCATTGATTTCTTTGCTCTTAAACTTAAACCGGCCAGTTGATCGTCTGTTTTCTGTATCTATAAATTTCTTCTCCTTTCATACTGATATGATATGATTGTGTTAATAAAAAATAGATCATGACCGGCCACTGAGTAAAAGTGGAGAGCTTGATGCTGCCAAAGTCTCTCAAAAGCTCCAGCAATTGGGTTGGATGCCTCAACTTATTTTGTCTAGGTGGTTTCTCATATCTTTCATTTCTCTTCTTCCTCCTCGCCCTAGCAACATAACAATACTACAATTAATAATAAGAAATTGAAAAAAAAAACATAAAAAATCATTGTTCTGTTGATCGATCGATTGATGACAGTGATGCGTTGCGAACCAAGGAAACACTTAGAATGATGCAGCAACAAGTACCAGACTTTTTGGATGCAGAGGTTCATTTCATTTCAAGTTTCTATTCTATTGCAGCTATGGATGGTCAGACTGCTGACCATCTTCAGCAAGCTATCTGCAATTACTCAAGGGATGACATTCTTACTGTCATGTGAGTCAATTTCTTTGCTGTTAATACTCCCTTCTCTTTCTTTCACCCCATTTGTTAACTAACACTCGTGCACTGCCACGCTTTTTTGCTGGCAATATGCTATGGTCAAAGTTTCTTTCTTCTGTTGGAAGATTAACTTTTAGTCGTGTTTCTTTCTTCAATACCTATGCAATTTGTATATTAAAACTTGTGCCACACTCTCTGATAACAAATTGGCAATATGATCCGATCAAAGTTTCTTCCTTTGGTTAGAAGATCAATCTTTAGTCTTGTTTCTTTGATTTTCTTAACTGTGATTTGACTGCAATTTGTAATCTATCCTCCCAAGAAACAAATAAAGATGATGATTTTCTTAAACGTCGAGGCTGAGGGGTTAACTGTCTCATGCCGGCCATATTGAGAAATGGCTATAGAGAAGACTCCAAAGGGAAAGAAAAGGAGAAGTGGGTTGTGCTGAGAAATTATGGCTTTAGGCATTTTGATTGAATGCTGCTTGCACCTCAAATTTCATGTCCTTTTGTATCTCTGGAACAAACTGGGATTAGAGAAAGTTAAAAAACTATGCTGATTCTTAGTTAATTATACAGGTGCATGGGGCATAATAGAGGGTGGGAGGAGGCTGCCTCGATGTTCTCTGGTGCCTCCATAGAGCTAAAGTCATGCAATGCTGCTTTGCTTCAAGCTGCTGGAAAATCCTGGGAAGAGGTTGGGCTCACTCTTTTTCTTTTCGTAACTGATATCTGTCAGTTCAGTGGCCTTCTCATTCTATGCATCAAAGCAATGTAAAATTGGAAAGCTGTCTGATTGATGCTAAATCTTATTCATGGGGGTATAATCACTAAGATTAGCTGTCTCCTCTCAGAATAACACCTTAAGATTATCCTACCACGATTATCTTGGCACTTGCAGGATGTGCTTATACATGCTTAATGTCCTCACCTCACCCAAATCCCTTTGTGGGGCATAATTGTTGGCCGCATTAGTCATATCTTCTCAAAGTACTGATTTAACCAAGATTGCCCTATTCTCAAGTCTCTTAACCTCTATAGTCTTAATTAATCCCTTCTCAGCAATAGCGCCGCCCACCACCCTCCCCCCCCCCCCCCACCCCAATTTTCTGTTCCTATTATTCCCAGTATATCCAAGTAAGTTATGGTGCTGGATGATTTTTGTACTCAAAGTTTCAATATAGCCTTTAAACTTCCACTTCAAATGTGAAAGTTTGCTGGCATACTTCTCTTCATCCTGCTATCAAATAAGCAATGCCCATTAGAAACTATTTAGTTCCTGCAAATGTATTGGCAGTGCTTCTGTCTGATCAAAGAATATTGATTCTTGCAAGTATCCTCTTTCCATGGTTAGCTGATAGATAGGAATGTTTCTAAATAATGAAAGTATGATTTTAGATGTGGAGTTCTATTAAATTGAGACTTCAAAACTGCAGAAGAAAGCATGTTTTAGATGGCGGCAGATGGAACAGAATTATTGACGCTTTTGTCTGTTACAGGGCTCAAGAAAATTAATAGTGGTCTAATGAACTTAGATAGAAAGTACTGGGGAGGGATCGTAAAGGTTGAAAATTGTTGCTTCCCACTGCTATATATGGTTAAATTATATAAGATGAAACTGTTATTGTTATTTTTTTTTTTAAATGAACTGGTTTAGATGTCTGAACTTTGATGTCTCAAGCATTATGACATAGATAAGATCATTGCTTGAATAGTTTCATTGTCGAATTGCCAAAGAGGGCATTCTATTCTGAATTATTGGCATCAAGTTATATTTATTTGATAAACTGTTGTCAATATGAAAGTTCATTGATCTTTGCCTGATCTGATGTATTACACTCTCAGGCATTTGCTTCGGCGGGACTTGGCGGGTGGAAGCTTCAGGGCATTGTAAAACCAAGTGATAGCCTGAAATTTTGAATACCATCCATAGCCTTAAGACCTCCAACCCTCCTCCTTTCCAAAAAGAAACAAGATCTGTCCTCCTTTAATTGTTCAGGACCTTTGGTACAGTTTGGGAAGACAATATCATCCTCCGACTCAAGTAACCTTCCACAATATTGTGGAAAGATGGAAACCAATGCTGTGTCACTGGAGATGTGCGTGGCTAATTGGTATACGAGAGAAACATCTAGAACAGTTCTTAAAAGTAAAAATTCAACAGCAGCTGTTCTGATCTGATAAGTGTCTATCTCTAGTCAATAATGTTTTTGAAATGACGAATCAGATGTATTCGACTGTATTCATAAATAATGCTAATCTGATTCTTACAGCATTGAAGTGCCCACGTAAATGGGGATACCAAACCAAAACTTGAAAGGATAGGCATCATTTGTTAGCATCAGGATGACCTTGGAGAGCTTTGGTACCCTGAATCGTCTCACTCTCATGGGTTCCAAAGAGGTTGTTGACTTGCATTTGCATTATTACCTGAAATTTGTTGTCTTCATGATTTCCTTTTCTGCTTAACCCAAACTAAATGCCAGTTGGAGGAGGTAAACTGAATTTGGGGACCATCTAGGGTGAAAGAACACTACTACTTGATGAAACGTAACATTGGAGAGTCACGGGCTGGTTTAACTGGTGACCATGTGATAAAACCTAGCTAATTTTTAGCTTAGATTGGATGACTTGTGAAGGACTAGAAGGCTCGTCCTAGACTCCTACATGGGAAAATCCAAAGAATTTTTTGCACAAACAAAAACTCAAAATTAAAATTACTTATTTAATCGACTAAAGTTTTTTTTCCGCTCAAGCTAACCTTTATAGATGTCTAGCTAGCTAGTTGAGTTAGTTTTAGGTGCATGATATGAGGTATTATTGTATTTTTTGCAATGGGTAAGGATCTGTCTTACTCCTTTTAATTCCTCTCGTTAAAACATAGTTTTCAACGGGAAAGCTTAATCGAAAAGGAGAGAAGGGGAGAGATTGATTTCAGTTTTGTGAAACACCACTTTTGTGAATCCGTGATCCTTCAGGATTACTATATGAATGAGATTCACTTCCAAGGCTAGTTGTAAGTAGCTTGAACCCGACGACTTTAACTAGTAAATCTTCATCTAAAAAGATGTTACTGGATTTGAGATCATGGTGGAAGATAGGAGGAAGGATTTCATACTGCAAGAATGCAAGAACACTTGCTGTTTCTGCAGCAATTCTCAATCTCTTATACCAATCAAGGAGGCAATGATAAATATCGGACCAATAACTCCTGCAAATTAAGGATTCTTACAGCAATAAGGAGCAAAGAAAGTTTTAGATGGCATTCTGGCCATAAAAAGGCAGAAGAAAAAGAAAAAGAGAATAGTATGGAATCTCCAAATGCACACTTCACATGAATGCCTGTAAATTCTTGCCAGAGAAAATGAGAAAAGTACAGTTCAAGTCAATATCACATTTTGTGATTCTGCACTGACATCATCTCGCAATCTGTCCCCTTCTCTCCTTTTCAATCAATCTATCCTCTTCAAAATTAAGTTTTTAGCTAAAGAATTGAAAGAGATAAAGTACTCAATTTCACTTTAAAAAAAAAAACATTACATAACAATCCACTAATTGTTTTTTAAAAATAACAAAAATTAGATAATTTAGATCATTTTTACTTAATTTATTATACGATTTGATACTTCGAATCCAATTATCAAATTACAATTTTTTGATAAAAACCCATGATGTAATAAAAGGAGAGAACTGTTGTTGTCTTGTCTGTGCTGTACGACGTAACAGAAAAGGAAAACGAGATCAAAATAGGTGGAAGGAAGGTCATGTGAATGGACCATGGTCCATGGGGGAGCTCGTGATTCAGTTAGCTAGCTCGCAGCTGTAGAAGAAGAAGTAAAAAAAAATAATAATAACAAATCAAATCTCTAGCAATCTCCTCCTAGTCCTAACTCCTAAGAGCATTGGTAACGGTAAAAAGGGACAAGACAGGACGGAGACACACGGCGGCATACATAGGTAGATGCAAGTAAAATCCTATATGTTGTTATGTGATAAAAATTTGGATTCTTTCTTTCTCTTTCTTTTCTTTTCTTTTTTTATTTAAAATATTTCTTTGATAAGGTAATTGTAGATGAATGAAAAGAGCACACGTACTTATTATGCCTATGGTATATATAAAAGAAAACGAAAAAGGAGGTCGAGGAAGAAGAAAAAAGACCAATCAAACAAAAGGTGAAGAAATTATTCTGAGCTGTGCCCTTCCAATTCTGTCCTCTCTCTCTCTCTCTTCCATTCCCGATTTCCGGCGACTACCCAACCACATCCCACGCGGCAAGCAAGCAACGAGGTCAAAGCACTTCTTCTTCTTCGACTCTCGTTAATGTACATTATTGTTGTTGAAGACGTGAACTTGCTCTCTCTTTTAAGGTCTCAGGGAAACCCATTGTCACAATGTTTTCATCTTTTCAACTATCATACTTGGTCAAGTTTCGTTTTTTAGAATAATTCTCGAATGGGTGTTTGTTGTTTGAGGTCTTTAATGCTTCAAGATCTGAATTTGGTATTCTTTTTTCCTTCTCCGTTGCAAGTATGATGGGTTGGCTCAACTAGTTGAAGAATTGGGATTCTGATTTTCCAGGTTTTAAAGGCACACACTCCTTCCTTTTGAGATCCCCTAATAAACTTTTCCTTTCCTGTTCTTCCTTACAGTCTCAGTATCAGTCTCTTACTCCTAAAGAAAAGAAAGGGGAAAAAAAACCCTGAAAATGGTATGGGGTAAAATAGACAAGTCAATAGGTGGTTGAGTTCAGCTTCTCGTCATCACTCACTTGCTGGCTCTGGCTCAAGTTGGCTACATTTCTGGAGGGGAGGATATACTTTTGGATATGCCCAATTGGAAACCAAGTTTAGTTCTATGATATGATTGATCAGTTCATCAATTTTGTAATTCGCCCACCCAGGTACCTTTATTTTTTTACTATTTCTGTTTACTTCTTTTTTTTTTTTTGTTTCCTTTTTTCCTTTAATCAAAATATGTTTCTTCTTGTTACATAGCATGCATTTCGTTGAGCTCCATATAAACTTGTACAGGGCGGATTATAACCCAGATCAGTATTTATGGGAGAAGGATTTCACTCTTGCTGGTAGAGCATACAAGAGACAAGACTTGGAGGCAAGTATGGGCATCCTCAGTTCCCACTGATTTTCAATCTTATTTTTCATATTTACTGCCTTTGTAACGTAGCTTTATGTCTTTGATTGCTTGCAGCTTACCAATGCGAGGGGTCTTACCTTGCGATGCAGCCATTACTTGCCTTCGCTTTTCCCCGAAGATACTCCTCTTCCTTGCGTTATATACTGTCACGGAAACAGGTAGGAAACAATCATTCTGACAGTCCCATGTAGTTTTGCTGCTATATAGTATGGCCACTCAACTTAATAAGCCTTAGTTCCAAACTAATTTGGTGGCCTGCATAGATCTCCTCTTTTGTTTCTCTATATTATGTTTATGACCAAATTTTCTATAAAGATGTTGTAATACTTGATTAGTTATCATTTTTGGGCACCTTTATAATTCGCTCTTTGTTTCAACGTGGCTTCTTTTTTCCTGGAACACCCAGCACCTTAGTCTGCTTATCATTACATATGGACTCTGATCCAACACATTACTAGGGTTCTGTGACATCATTTACAACCATATGATGAAAGTGGTTTTACACTTGCTGTCTTGGTGTTAAAAGTCTTCTCCTTTATCCTGTTTGGGATTAACATGCTTGATTTGACATGACATCAAAGTCAGCATGGGCTCAGTTATAACATCTAGATCTGCAGTGAAATGTACTATTTGTGTATATAATACTGAATTGTGTTTCCTCATCCTTTCCCTGAATGTGTAGCTGTTAGATAGTGCACAAGGGTGGGAAACTTACTCAGTTACTAACATGCATAAAAATGCAGTGGATGTAGAGCAGATGCAAATGAGGCTGCTGTAATTCTTCTTCCATCAAATATCACTGTTTTTGCTCTTGATTTTTCGGGTTCTGGCTTATCTGATGGTGATTATGTGAGCCTTGGTTGGCATGAGGTACGTCCCCTCTTTATTAAGTCCTTATGTAACTTGGCCTCCTTCATATTCTGTACGCTTATTTCCCCCTATGACAGAGAGATGACCTCAAAGTAGTGGTCTCATATCTAAGAAGCAACAAACAAATATCACGTATAGGTCTGTGGGGACGATCCATGGGCGCAGTCACTAGGTACTTACTTTTTTATATTTATGTTTACCAGATCATATTCTAGATGGCTTGAGAGCATCAGATTATACCACCCCCCCCCCCTCCCAGCCCCCAAAAGAGAGAGAGGGAACAAAATTGAGATGCTAAATACCTTTTTAAAGGCTCTTAACACAGCTGATAAGTGGTTGTTCTGTAATATTATTCAGCCTTCTCTATGGAGCAGAAGATCCATCCATAGCTGGAATGGTGCTGGATAGTGCCTTTGCAAATTTATTTGATCTAATGATGGAACTCGTTGATGTGTACAAAATCAGGCTTCCAAAATTTACAGTATGGATCTGTCTCTCTATCTTTTGTTTTGCCCCTTACTGTTGGAAGCTCTAGCCACTCTTCGTTACACCATTACTTTCTATATATTGTTCTGTTTGGGTTTGTCTGTTGATCTTTCTATTACTTCTGCAATTTATTGGGGTTAGTCTTGTAGTTTGCATTTCCTTTTGAATTGGATATCTGTATGTAGCTTTTTCAATGATTAATCTCCAAGTTATAAAATTGCCTGCATACTGCATGCTACGCATGCAACCAGTACCTGAGTAGGTTTCTAAGCCTTGAAAGTTTGTGCTGTTATTTTCCTAACCATTAAAGTACTTGCGTCTGTGTTTCTTTGAGGATTTCTCTAGTGTGGTCATAGGTATTTTTTGGGTTTGGATGATGTTAATTTCATCTTTGTTAATCATATACAACCAATGTGGAAACATGAGGTTATTTGGAGTTTCAAAACATAAAATTTTTTCCTTTATGTCTGGCTTATACAATTGTAACTTTTTACATATTCCATTGCAATTAGGTTAAGATGGCAGTACAGTACATGCGACGGGTGATTCAGAAGAGGGCAAAATTTGATATTATGGGTCTTAATTGCCTAAAGGTTTGTCTTGGTTTCTTAGATTGTTAAATGTTGAAATTATACCATACTGCTATAGTTCTTCCTAGATTTTTTACCTACGCTACGTTGCAATTTGGACAAAATACATAAAATTATTTCATTTTGATGTCCAGTGTTATATTGTGTATCTACCAAAATACATCAAATCAAAAGTGAATAAATTTTTTAATCAAAATTTTGTATTTGACTGATTATTCTTTATATTTTAAATAAAAATTATTTAATAGCATAAAGAATGTCAAAACCAAATTTTGTAATACGTTTTAAACATTTTTTTGCCTTAAAATTTTTAATTAAAAAAATCAGAGAAAAAGGACCAAAGTGACCAAAATGAACCAAATAAAGAGAGATCGAAGCCAAACAAAAAATATTTATGGATTGAAAAAAACCATATTTAAAAAAGAGGGACCAAAATGCAATGTTATGAAAACTTTTATATTAAATGTATTAAAAATGTTTGGAAATTACAAAAATGCTATTGCATAGTAAAAAGAATAGTGCATTTGAGTCTGTGTGAATAGCAAAATGAATCTAGGTTAATAGTATTTCAAATAGTGAATGAATAGTGAATCATAGTTTTATTTATAATTTATAATAGTATCCCTGCCCCCTCAAAAACAGCCTCATTTTTTGGATCGTATGCAACTTATTTTCATTTACAAGTATTAATTTTATTTATTTATATGTTATGAACTCAATTCGCCCATTTTTTTGTCATGTGTTGAATGCTTTGGTTCTTGTATGATAAAAAAGACATTGATGCTTTTATATTCTCACAGGTAGCACCCAAAACATTCATTCCTACTCTATTTGGGCATGCTAGTGAGGACAAATTCATCCAACCCCACCACGCTGACCTCATCTTTAAATCCTATGCAGTAATTACCATTCCAAAGCTCTTATTCTTCACTAAATTGACTCATTTTTGACAAATTAACTAAGTTTCCATCTTTTGCAGGGGGATAAAAACATGATAAAATTTGATGGCGATCACAACTCTTCTCGGCCACAGTTTTATTATGACTCAGTTTCCATTTTCTTCTTCAATGTCCTTCATCCTCCTCCAACTTCAGCTTCTTCAAATAAGCTTGAGAGATATTATGATTTGGGTGATTTGAAAGTTGGTGCTGGCATGGATGAGGTGATCTCCGTTCCTAGCTTTTGTGAACAATTAAAACATGAACTTCAGATCAGTTACTGATTTTGGTAGTTAACAAGCCTAAGGCTTTTGCTATCTTCTTTCCTTTAATGTTGTCTGCACCAATTTCTTTAACATCTCTGTGCTTCTTAGAATCTGTCTAATTAAGCATCTTGAATTTTGCACCAGTAAGCTAGCTAACTACCCAGAGGCCATTATAGTAACTTAAAATTTAGCAAGCTGCACGTCTCATCCATCCGGTGGCTGTGCATTATAAATATTAACTCTTATCAATTTTATTTATTTATGGTTTTTGTGTTATACGATGTAAATGTAAATTCTGCTGGTATTTATTCATTTGGTGAGATCTCTTGCACTGTAAGGACAACAAAAACCAAATATCAAGACTCATTATGCTTGTACTGTTATGAAATTACCATAAAAATGCCCGTGACAACCACTTGAGAGTTGGCAATGCACCTATGCTACCGGCCAAAAGGATTGGCAACGTGATAGTGCTCCTTTATACCAGCGTTATGCAATGATAACTTATAGCCTGTTGTTTATTTTCCCTTCTCTTTTATCTTTGAGATATTTATATGAACTAATATTATTTGTCCATTTTTGTTCTTAGAGCCTCCTGTATGAGATAATCACAGGCCTTCGTTCTGCCTGTACCGATGCTGCAAGTTCTTCTTCTGTTCCTCCTAGCATTCCAACCACAAAACCTGTGAGCGAACTACTTTCTGAAGCTGCACCGTATGCTAATATAGTGGTATATACCTTCTCTTTTATGCTTAATCAATCTTTTCCTTCTGTTGCATTTTGAACTAAATATTGTGTCATTTTGTTGATGATTCAGGACTCAATGGCTAATGAAAATTCTGGACTTTGCAGCGATGATCCTTCTAATTTGCTGGTAATTTCAGTTAACAGAAACTTGGTTGTAGTTTTAACAGAGAAAACCCATGCTGGAGAATTGTTGAATACTTGTGAATGTCCTAGGCCAGAATATAGTACACTGGTGCAAAATGTGTCTTTGGCCCAAATACAGTGAGCCAAACAAATATCGAATGATGGTTGCATTGCAGTTTTTAGCTAGAATGGATTTTCCTTGTATTGAAATACATCTCTATTAAGCTTTCTTTCATACATTTATGTGCCCAATAACTCTATTACCAGTCAATGCCCTGAATGCTTGTCTTCCACTTGTCAGATTTGAACCAACCGGTATACACATGAGTTGCCCTTAAAATAACCTGTGTAGGTTCATCAAATCCTGTGACATTTAAGAGGAGTGTAGTACTTGCAGTTCAGATTCACAGTTATTGGAAAAGCACTGCATGTGGTGAAGAATGAGACCATTTGATTTTATTTTGACCACTGACCTTTGAAATCAAGTAATGGCCACAAAACGAGGTGTGAGTGATGATTGTTAACACATAATTTTATCTAAAATATTCTGAGTAGATATTTCGTTTTCTGTTTTCCTTTTATTATGTTAAGAAAATAAATACTCAAGTAGAGGACATTTGATGGATATATATAGCCAACTGCCCTTATGGCCATTATCATTTCTTCGCCTGTTAGAAAACACTATACCAACTATGCCTTGTTGGGATCACACATTTGTCTATCATGTTCATTATTACTTTCCTAAATGTAGTTCTTGGGCTTGCACCGATGCATTGAGTTGAACTGAAATTTTTCTCTGATCTTTCACTGGATGTGGGATTTATGATTATACAGGGAAAGCCAAATGGCCAGAGTGAGGAGTGTTGCTCAGATACAAGCTCCAATAGAGAGAGTTGGGGAAGATGCTCCTCCCTAGGAGGCAGTGATGAAGAATCTCCTGCTGAATGCAGAGATGCGGACAATAGCCATGAGGTGGGTGCTCTCTCTTTCATGATTTTTCCTGGGTCTTACCATAGATTCGGTTCCACACTAACTTGGGCCCTTCTTCACTTGCTTTCCTTGTTGTATATGCTGTGTAATTTTATTCTGCAAATAATAATAATAAATAAATAAATAAAAAGTTATGCAGAATGGCTGTCATTCCAGTTGATCTGGTCTAGTGCAGTTCAAGGTCTCCTTTCATTGATGAAAAGCATGAGCATCGTGTATATACTCAAAAACACCACCCCACCCTGGGCAAGGGAAGGAAAAAAAAGCAAGGATATTCGTTTGGTATCCATTAAAGAAATGAGAACCATTTTAAATTTGATGCACTTTATGCCAGCTATATGATCTGCTAATCTCCATCATAAGAAAGCCATCCTTTATGTTTTCTTTCTGTATTTAGATGACTCTAAAGGCGTTTGCAACACCTCTAAGAAGCATACGGCAAAAATCCCCAGACCCAACAAAAGAGGAGAAGAAGAAGAAGAAGAAAGCTCTCAAAGTGCCAAAGAAGCTCAGGGGTGAGAAATTTGAAAAGCTTGAGGCTCTCACCAAACGTCTACGCCATTGCATTCTAAGGAGGGTAAACCATCAGAGGCATCGTTCTTCATGACAGCTGCTGTACCATAGAAACATGTTTATAGTTGTAGCTCAATTTAATCCACCTCCAAGTTCGATTTGTTATATTGTTCATCCCCAGCACTTTTTTAGTTAGTAGGCATTGATTCTCTTCTGATTTCTGGGCATTGATGGCATGGAAAGGTTGTTCAGGATCAGAAGGTAATGGATTTGGATAAACAGAGTACTTGTTGCTTCCCCTAGAAGCTGAAGCTAAAGCAGAGCTTCCTTGTGACCATTTGTTAAGGAGCGTGGTAGTCAATTAACTTGTGAATAATGAATGGTGCGTTAATGACTGCAATCGTTACGAGGGATACTGCAATTATTTGACCCCAAGGATTATCTTCGGTGGGTATCCATTGTTAACAACAATGACTTTATGCACTTTTTGTTTTCCTCCTATGGCTAGCATCAAGGGAAAAAAGCAATGATTGGTTTCTCGAGTAAAAAAAAACCCGAGATTCTTCTCAGTACCGATCTTAAGCATCTACAAGCATGCACCTTCTATTTTGGATTCTGGAAACATTTCACCCACCTAATTGGCTCTACTTGGAATTTCTTTGCTAATCTAACAGAAAAATTCCAAAATTCGCTGTCAAAGGCTAATCAAATTAATGCCATCTAGTTCATGCCCTGTTTGCAAAAACTACTGTTGATGTCAATAAATATTTCTGTTTTTTGTTTTACTCAGCCACTCCTAGAGATAAAGCTAATCTTTTTCAACAAGTAATTCTAAGATTCGAATTCTTTACATCGACACAAAATTTATCTAAGACTAGTTCATTTACTACCAGATCAACAATCTGGTGGTATAAATATACTTGTTCTAAAGCACTCAAATGAATACAATTTATTATCTGCTATGAGCATTGTGGGAACAAAAGGGATTAGAAAGAACGGAAGAAGAGGCCTACACATTAACAAAGAAGACCAAACACAGGCACGACAAGCCATATGAAAAAAAAGGAAGCTTATTGCGAAGGTCCGTTCTAGTAACTTACAGTTTGACAATCTTGAAGATTTACCTTGGAATCGAAACGCATTTCCCGAACTACTCCTTTCTTAACTATTACATCTTCTCCTACATGTAGTGCTGGGATAAAAATAAGCCAAGGATACAAACAGTTGTAAGAAAGATCGATGCCATACATAACGACTACAGAAAAATGCAGCTTGAAGTTTTAGCTGGAAATCGCTCCCTAGTTACCATGGTAGTCGAGAATGGATTACGGTTTCATGCCGATTTAGCAGCAGTTTGTGTGCACCTTTACTCGCAACATTATTGGGGGTTCAACTGAAATATTTAGATGTCTGTTCTTCTCGAGTTTAGCTAAAAAAAAAAAAAAAAACTTAAAAGGAACTTCTTTCTAGTCCCTTTTTAGTCAGGAACCCTAACCTGCATTATTAAGTTGATGATCCTGTTCTGTAGTTGTTATTACCTTATGTTTTTGAGGTCCATGTCTTGAACATGCAATTGTCCACTTAATACTTTGAAAATCAGCATCCTTCCCATCAATCATTAACAACGCAAAGAGTAATTTTGTTATTTACCCTAGAAGCTGAAGCAGAGCTTCCTTCTGACCATTGGTTAAGAAGGGTGATAGTCAACTAACATATGAATAATGCAAAACTAACGAATCTCATCAGAAACCACTTAATGACTGCAATCGTTGAGGGGGCTACTGCAGTTACTTAAACCAAACTCATCCTCGTCCATATCGCTTCTCGTATAGTTCAACATGCATTTTACGTAAGTTTAAAGGATATCAATGTAAACGGACAGCTTTCCTTGAACCTAATTATCTCCAACATCTAACGTTAATTTGTTTGACATGATTAAAAAGACGTTTCGAATTACATAGACTAGGCACAATGAGAAGAGTTAATAAGGGCAAATATCATGCAGCCAGCAAAACTAAAGATCACTGCCTGAAACCTTCTCCATTTGATCTTCGTTTCCCATCGATAACCCAGATGAAGGATCAAACTGCTCTCTAGTCAGGAAGGCAGTGTGTGGTTGGGGATAGGAATTTAAGCTGGACTCCAGTATCTGGTGTGTAAGAACCATCTCTGGTTTACCATATGCCATACCCATGCTTACCCGTTGCTTCTTCATTGACCTCTCCCCTCTAGGGCTCTCTGCCGGGGAACCAGTATTGCAACGTGAATCTGGCGTTAATGGTTCATGCTGAGAAGAGAATGATTCGTCAATTGAAAGGCTTTTTGCTGGGGCATGTTCCTTAGCAGCTTTGTCTTGGAGGGGTGATTCAGAAGTTGGGGCAGGGGTTGCTGGGTCTGTCTTGTTGTCAGATTCTGGGCAGTTGTCACCTGATACTGGGGCAGAGACCCCTGAGCCAGGCACATCTCCAAGAACTCCACTCAATCGTTGTTGCTCTTCAATTATCTTCTTCAAATACTTCCCTTGGGCTTCTATGCGTAATTGTAACTGTCTCTGCACCTGTTGTGTTCAAAGCAAACAGAAATTGCATGTTGGTAAGAGTAGAGATGGGCACAAACCTCTGCTTACACAGTACAGGTAGACCTTAGATTAGAACCAAGGACTCACATGCATCGAAAAGTCTCCACACATAAGGGTGCAGCAAAATATTAAATTTTCATAGATAAATAAACAAGAGGGTAAAAGTTGGTCTCTTGCTACTATTTCCATGTTCTAAAAACTTCTACTGACTTGGGATTGATTTTTTTCTCCTCATTCATGCAGGAGTTTAAAAGCCTAAGTTGATGATAAATGATCATACCGATAAGAGATCATAATAACCCAATTAAATGGATGACAAACAGCAAGGAAAACCTGCCTCCAATTGCTCATGTAGACGCTTTTGCACCTCCATCTGCAGCTTGAGTGCTTCTGTAATTTGCATCCCACTGCAAACAAGAATCCCCAATTAACTCAAGCCCATTTTCCAAATGATTCGAAACAAATTAGGGATTATCCTAATTTTGAGTCTTGCCTTTGCGACCAGGGTGTCTTAAAGCGTTATGTATGATATAGAACAAAACCATATTCTTCAGTCTAAGTCCACAACACATGATAATTTGAACAAAATGACTATGAATAACAAAAACAAAGAGCAGAAGAGACAGCTCTACTTACGATGAACCATCCAAATTGGAAAGCATATCCCCTGTTTCCTTCTTGTCCGCTTTTTTCCCTTGCATTACCATTTTAATCTCAATCAGAAAACAATATTTTGTAAACAAAAGGATTTGTTAAAAGATGCACAAATAGTGTGGCATGCATGAGAAAATAAGCACATAAACAGCAGAAGATCAGGTGGGCTTACCATCAGATGAGGAGTCGGGAAGGTATTTTGCAAGTCGATATTTCTGGACACATCACGAGATCACAGTCATTAGATGATATTAAACACGAACATGCTACATCTACTTCCTTGAATAATCAAAGAAAAGGGAATTTGAAGTTTTGAAAAGGATGAGAATTGAGTTTATGTACCTGTAAATGGCTTTTAACATGGTATATTGTTAAGCCTTGCACGCCCATGACTCTGAGAACACCTTTAGGTGTAGCCCCTGGAGAGATGGGTAAAAGAATTAAAAAGAATAAATGAAAAACAAATTCTTCCAACACCTCATTTGTTTGAAAAATATATGACATGTTTTGAACATCTGATCTGCATTTTCATGCAGTTATATCAGGTTATGACTCTCAGTTGGGTCCTCACACAATTAAATAAACAAATTTCGTACTTCAGACAAAACGAAGTTTAATCAAATGGGAGAGCTCTATGATACATTATCAAATATCCATTCTGTTCATGTGCATGCGCTGGTATATACACATATGGAACTTTTTTTCCTTTTCTTTTTTCTTTTTTGCACGACATATGATCGACTGTATGAAAAATGAGTGAGTAGCTTCAGTTATCCAAAAATATTGCAACACTAAAACTGCTTCTCTTTCTAGAGGGATTTTTTTTTTTCTTTTTTCTGACAATTGCCTCTCTTTATTTGCCTGAAACATGCCTAACAGGTGAAGGTTCTATTTACATTTATTTGGCATTTATAATGGAGTAAGTTGTAGTGGCCTGGCCAGTTAGTTGTTAATTGTTACTAATTATTTTTTTCTTCCCCTGACAATTGCCTCTCTTTATTTGCCTGCCTTTCCATCAGTCAAAATATGCAAAAGTTGCCAGATATTTCCGCTCAGACAAAATGCTTAACAGGATATCCTATGACAGATCAAAGTTCTCTTGAAACAACCAACCAGTCAATAACATGTATGAGACAACTAAGAATTGCATGACAAAAAAACAAAAAACCAAAAAGCCTTCATTAATTTAAGCTCTTTTGATGCTTTATAAAGAATATATTTGAAAACATCAGATAAATGGCATTTAAAAAAATAACAAAAAGAATCACAATTAGAAATAAGAGATCAGTCAGGTGGATGTTGATGAGACTTACGATCTGGCCCACCAAGCTGAGCCACAGCATCAACAAAGCGTTCATGAAGCTCATGAGTCCAACGCAATCGTTGCTTTGAGGCAAGATTAGGGTTGTTGTTGAGACTGTTCCCTCCGTTGATGGGATCCATTGTCATAGCATCACAATCTAGCTGATCATCAACTAATGAGTTATGGACCAAACTTGAACTAGGAACGCTCTCCAGCTGATACATATGTCATTCATCTATAAGCACAAAACCCAGTAGGTCAGACAGAAAACTGGAAAAGGAAAGAGAAAAGAAGCGTAATCGTTCTATTTCAGTTAACAAAATAATATTTTTTTTTTTGTGTCGAGTAGAGGAAGCGTGGATTGAAATTTTATAAACAGAAATGCCTAGAATGAAAACATGGCACGCATGGTGAGTGCATCCTTGTTATCAACCAAAGTTTTGAATGAATAAGACTCTGATTTTCTTGGCAACAACACACATGACTACTAAACATATCCAGCACACTGATTTTCATACAAGGGATCATAACATAAGGCTTCTGTCATTAAATCACTACTGTGAAGTGAAACCCTAAAACCCTAAAATTGGGTAAACTACTTTGAATCAACGAGGAATTTGGAAACAGAACCCTAAGAAATACTATGGCCCTCTGGATGGTCAAGAAAAATCAATAGGTCAACAACTTACTTACCATATCAATGGTACTTGGATGCAACCACGTGCACATGCACATGCGCAGGTGCAGCATTAAATTATAAAATCAATATTCCACACCCTAATCCTCAGCCCTAACCCTAACTCAAAGGAGGAGTTGATCTTTGATTCTGTAAATTAGGTCGTAGAAAACTAAGCTAAATAAAAAAGGAAGTGATTAGACCCGAAATGATCCCCAATGCCATCTCTCACTGCATCTTCTATCCTGCTGCAATGAATTCGGTTTTCTCCACCAAAATTTCAACAGATGCAGGAGTTAAGGGAGAAACATAGGAAACATTTCCATCAATTTTATAAGTAGTAATCTACTCTACTCTATTCAGTTGCTAGCTAGCAAACAAACAATAGAAGAAAAAAATTCAGGTAACAGCGTCTACAAAGCTGAACTGGAGGCTGGAGGCGGATTGAGGAGGAATATCAGGAGCAGAAGCAAATTACATATTTGTTAGGTGTAATTAGGGTTTTTTTTTCTTTCCTTTTCTTCTTACACACAAAGTAAGTATATAATTAGAAACAAACAGAGAGGGAGAGAGAGATGTGGAGAAAACTGTTACATGTAAGGAAGGAAAGGCAATTTTATTCGTTAAAAAAATAAAATACAAACCGAAAGCAAGCAAAATTAGGAGTCAAAATAAATAACGAAAAATAACAAAGTAGCTGGTACCCACCCAGATCTATTGCCGGAATCTATTAATCCCATCCCCTCTTCCGTTGCTGATCTCACCGGAATTTCGGAGCTGCTGCTGCTGCTGCTTTTCCTAATCCTACCCTTAGGATGATGGATGGAAGGATGGAGAGATGGATAAAATTACTAATAATTTATCTCTCTTTCTCGGTGTTCAATTAACACTGCTAGATAGAGAAATTAATTTGTGTTTTTTCGAATGTGAAAGAGAAAGAGGGGGGAGAGAGAGAGAGAGAGGGTTGTTTGACCAGAATGAGGAGGAGGAACAGCAGCAGAACCACCAACCAAGTCACACGATTTTTTTCTTTTCTCTACTTTCTTTCTTCTTCGAACTCTCCTTTTCCTTTTCTTTTCTTTTTTTTATTTTTTATTTTTTATTATGTAAATAAATAAATAAATAACTCTGAATCGATTTTAACCTTCAAACTCCATCATTATCATTAGTCCACAATACTCCAATATATTTGACAAAATCCACACGGACTGACGGACAGAAGGACGGACGGACGGACGCTATAACTCTATCTATACGCTACAGTTCATGTATTATAATAATATATGCCTACGCCCCCCCCCCCCCCAATGCCACCTGTCCATCAGTGTATGAGTCTATCCCCCTCACGCAGTGACTTCAATTTTACTCTCACCAGACAATATACATATAAAAAAAAAAATTGAAACCACCAAGATATGTGATCCAGAAGTAAAAGGTTGTCTTAATTTGATTAAAATCAAAGTTTACTTCTCTTTATCTATAAATAATTAGTCATAATTAGTGATATTAGAATTGAGCTCGTTTGGCCTAACGAGTGAGATTAGTAATGAGTTAAAAATTAAACTTACTCGATACTCGATTTAGTTTAAAAAGTACTATATTTAGTCTAGATTTACGTAAAAAACTAATGCTAATTTCTCTCATAACATACAAGATAAAACAAATAAATAAAAGAAAAAAATTTGAAACCACCAAGAGGTGTGATCTTGGGGTAAAGCTTGTTTTTAATTTGTCTAAAATCAAGATTCAATTCTTGCTATCTACAAATAACTAGTCAATAATTAGTGGCATCAGATTTTGGCTTATTTGATCTATGAATGATTTCAATAATTGGTTTAAAGTTAAACGTGTTACGATACTCGATTTAGTTAAAATGACGATAAATTTAATATTGGTTAATGCAAAATTTGACTTCGACATATCCTAGTTTAAAAAGATGATCGATTTGGTATCGATTGATGTAAAAGTTGATCCAAAAATATCTCACGGCGAATAAATATTGGGAAAAAAAATTGAAAGGTTGGAAAAAAAGAGAGGAGATTTTGATGGATTGAGAGTAACATTGAAAAATTAGAAAAATAAAGGACCGAACTGAAACATGCCTAACAGGTGGAGGTTATATTTACAGTTTTTGTTGTTTATAATGGAGTACTCCGTCGTAGTGGCCAGGCCGGTTAGTTGTTACTTGCTACTAATTATTATTAATATTAATATATGTCTGTATTGTACACGTTAAGTAAGATTAAGATTAAGAACCATAAAAGAAGTGATCTAACGATAAGAAAATTGTTTTGATTTAGCAAAAATCAAAGTTTAATTTAATAATTAGTTATAATTATTCTTTTTACGGTACCAAAAAAAGCTTGATAGATGAAAAATTAATCATATTTTGATATTGGGTTAATCTAAAAAACGATAGAAATTATCTCGATTAATATAAAAATTAAATTAAGAATAAAATATCTTATTACCTGTAAATATATATTAAAAAAAAAAAAACAACTTAAGATTAAGATTAAGATGATAATAAGTTATTAAATACATGCATGACAAGGATGTATGAAGGAAAAGTAGTGAAGGAAATGTGAGCGAGGACAACAGGCCTTCTCACGGAATCTTCCTTTGTTATATTCCGTTTTCGCCTCCTCCTCTAAATAAATATAAATAAATAAATCTGTCTTTTTTTTTCTTTTTAAATTGATGATTCTTATGTGTTTGGATTTTCTTCTTTCTCGCCTTCCTTTTATTGTTTAATTCTTAGTCATTCCTTATTCAATTGGGATCACCTCCTCCTTCCTTGAATAATAATGAATGAATGATTAAATGCATTAAATTAAATTAATTACTCGTTGAAGTATCCGCACTTCACTATGCTAATCGTATTAGTAGTCTTAATTGATTAATTAATATTAGTGAATATTAATTAATTAAGCTATATATATATACACACACAATCATAAAGCTTCATATGTTGCTCCGTCTACAACTTTCTTTTATGGAAACTAATAATCTACTTTTACTTTGAGTAAATTATAAATTAATCCCTCTCGTTTCGAAAAATAAATTAATTAGTCCTTCTTATTTTTGAAACTAATTATTTTTTTTTTGTTATTTTTAATTTATTTTGTTTTAAAAAAACAGAAAATGAATAAAAATATGAAAAGATGGATGAGAAAAAAAATTATAAAATAAAAAATATATTAAATTAATCGTGGTCAAAACTAATTAAAAAAACTAAATACTAAATTTTTAAAACCAAATAGATTAATTAATTCATTTTTCAAAATAAAAAAAACTAATTTATAATTTACTCCTTTTACTTTCCCATCTGTTTACTAATGAATTTATTGATTTACATTTATACTCTCCATCACCCACTTTTTTTCATCATCATTATCATCATATATATATATATATATATATATATATATATATATATATATATATATAATCCAAAAACCGAAAAGATAAATCAAGGAGAGGAGGAGATAGACAATGAAACCTCATTATCGACTCATTGTCACCATTGTTGTTTTCCATTGCCATAAGCATAAAGTTATTGGTTTGCATCCTCACAATTGTTAGCGTAATTTGATGTGTGATGTCTAAAAACAAGAAGGACCAAAGATTTGACAAACAAAAAAAAATGGATTTGATTTTCTTAAATATATGGTTTAGTTTTACACGAACGTTAAAATAATATTATTTAAGTACCGAACTCGTGTTTTTTGTATATTAAAATGATAATTAGTTATTAGCTGACAAACACAGACACAGAAGTCAAACCAAATACAAGAATATGGTCCCAAACAATATGTTGTCTTTCACGAAGGAAAAGAGACTGATGACGAGTTGTCTATGTCGTGCCTAATCTTATGGGATCAATGAAGGCCGTAAGCTTGTGGTGCCAGCGTGCCACCAAGTTGGTGGTGTATATTTCATATTTATTTTTCATAAATCCATTATTTCAGCTTGTATGTATACTTAATTACTTAACCAATTAAATATTTACCACATGTATATATATATTCTTTTTGAAATGATTTTGAATATCAATAAGTAATTAACATTATATATGATATTCAAAATCATTTAAAAAAGAAAAAAAGTTGTTGCGCAAAACCCATAGAAAATAAATGCACGTAAATTGTACAAAAACTTCACTATCAAATATTGGTTATGAGAACTATTTAATCAATTATACAAATACAGTTGTATAATCAAGAAAATAATTTGTCCAATTGAAAATGACACATAAAAAAAGAAAAAAGAAAAAAGAAATCCAATATCCATAGTCTTATCTAGCTTAATAGCTGAGGATTCATTGATAGATCCAAAAAAATCTGTTTAGATCATCTGAATTGAGTGATAGATATTTTTTCATTAGTCATTATCAATCAAGAGATAGAAAGTACACTCATTAAATGAAGATATGTCGTTTAAACAATATTAGTCTCATCGACCACAGCTATGAAAGTCCTTCAATCGTTTAATAACGAAATATCAATATTAAAGATAGATATTTCGTAAGTATATATCATAAGTTGTCAAATTCAGGTAAACAAATTGTAAGGTCTCGTAGCCACAAAAGCTCTTATTAAAGGGGATTCGTAACATAAAACTATGAGAAGAACTCTATGCCATTCCCAATAGAAATCTATTTCGAGTAAAAAAAGTGATAAAACATCATATTAGATTTCTTCAATAAAAAGGTATGGGTCAAGCTAAATCACAATTTCGATTAGTAACTTGGCATCCCCTTCAACAATCACAGGTTGCTGAAACGAAGATATTAGGAGGATAAATGGCCCCCATGAAAGCCTAATCTTTGATTCATGGTGCGAGCATCCGATGCAAATGGATAATAAACACTTTTTGCCATACGAACAACTCTAAGGTGGTCACTATCTACAATATCTATTGATCCTGACGTGGTGGTGGCAGAGAAAGCATCGTCGAAATTAAATTTGATGGGGCCACGAATCGGATCAAGGATGCCAGTTAGCTGAGGAAGACATAGGAGTCGGCTACAGATCCGCCGTACGTGAGGTAGTAAATTGACAAAAGTGTTCATTTTTTTTTCCCCTGATCTTCAACTGCTTTTACGAGTATTTGAGAAGATTGTCAATCCACATTATTGAAGATGTACTCATTGCGATCTTTCCATAATCTCCAACACACGAAACAAACAAGTGAAATGGGAGAAACCATGCCATGCCGCTGGTTATATTTCGTATTTCATATGCCTCTAAAAATATTTAAAATGTTCAATATATTTTTCCGATCAATTTTTCTGACCCTATAATTTTATTTTTAAGTAAAATACTCTTGATTGAAATGCAAAAATAAAAAAAATAAAATTCTAAAGACTACAAAAATAAAAAAATACAAATAATGTGATATTAAGTGTTTTTTTTTTCACATTCTAATAAAAGACATTTTGATAAAAAAAAAAAAATTCATAGTCTGAAAATTTATCAAAAGAATAGATTTGAACATTTCAAAAATTTTCAGAAACAATGCAGTTAAAAATCTAAAGACCGATAAAAGACTTATATATATATATATATATATATATAATTGTTTTTAAACAACAAAATTAAAGATGACCTATAAATGATAGTTGATCAAATTCAATGCTTATCAAGGGAAAAATTTTGGTTATGTGCTAATAAGCGTATAATGGACATCAGGAAAAAAAAAAAAAAATCGAACTGGTTTAGTTAACTGAGAAATGTAATCATTAAAAAAATATAATTGCATGTGAGTGGGAAAATGGGGTTGAGATAATGAGTTCTAATGCTTCTTAACAACAAAATGCCTAATCCTTTTAATGATTCACAATTTGAATTTACACTTACGAGACATAGTCATCTCCACTACATAATTCTGCCTGCCAACTTGTCCACAACAACGGATCTGCATTTTTACACTTGAAATTGTAATTCATTGAGCTAACAGAAGAATCTTACTCACCCGCATAAGATCATCATCCTGGAGTTTTCAATTCCACATTCCATACACAGAGGTGCCGTAGGAATTAACTTGGGTCGCATTGGCTTCTGGGGTTCCCATTTTTGTGTCACCCCAGATCAAAGATGTTGCCGACTCCAAGCTCAGCATCCCTTTCTTCCCTCCAGCTGGAGATACTTCCAAATTCAAACCTCCAGGACTCTCATGAGAAGTCAGGCAGCTTTCGGTAGAACAATCAGCCCCTTGGTGATGAAGACTAGGTGGTAGATCCTCTGGACCATGCACTTCGGGCGCCACAGAGGTTTGGAAGGAGTAAAAGCCAAGTGGATCAATAGAGGCAATTCTAGTTGTTTTAGTCCCCACCCCCTGCTGGCTATCTGTGTTGATAGCTGCAGCACCAATAAATTGATCAGCAAGCATCTTACAAGCTTTCTCAAGCATGGCCAGATATCTCTGTTCTGCATCCAGGCGAATATGCAAGTGTTTCTCGGCCTGCATAATAAACATATGAAGATCAGCCAGCTGGTGCATAGAGCCCCACAGTAAAAGAGAAGGAGCGTAGAGCCAGATGTAAAGTCCATTCGACCTAATTCCTAATAGAATAGAATGATAATGAAAGACTCCTTATGAACTGCCGATTGGTTAATATTTTGTGCATACGGTGAAACTGAATTTGACTTGTCCTTAGCTAAATAAAAATAAAAGAGTTGTTGATTATCAACTACATCTTAAGCTTAGTTAACCAAACCGCTTACAAACACTCACTACCCACGTCTATTTCCATCAAAACAGTAAGATAACAAAAATACAAGGCTAATCTCTCATAAAGGGTAAGAAACTTCACCTCAACTTGCAGATGCAATTTGCTTTGCACTTCCATTTGTACGCGTAATGCCTCTTTGACTTCATAACCTCTAAAAACAACATTCACTCTTAAGATAATTCATGAAACCCAAGAATTCATCATGCGTCACTAGCTTTGAGTGAAGAAGAAATTCTTACTCATTCCCATCAGAAGCTGTCATGTTCGGAGAAGAATTGCCAGTACAAGGGCTTTCTAAGAGATACGAGCCAGACAATCCTTCCATAGGCAAAAGGGGAGAAGTTAGTTTATACTTTAGGACAGGTATCAGGGAGATCATGACAAAAATGTTATTCCCTTAGCAGGTATGCAATTCTAAGAAAAATTTTAGTCAAGTTGATCGATAATAGAAAATTTGGGTAGCTAAATCACCCACTATAAAGGAGCACAAACGGCAAACAGTAACAGGACCTACCATCTTTGAATGTGTCATTCATATCCTTCCCTGATTGCTTGCCCAGTCTGTATTTCTGCAAATTTTGACAGCAAGAAATGTCGATATACTCGCACATCAAGATTAGTTCCATACAAGATCCCATTCGACCAAAAAAGATGAGAATGAAAACCTGAAGGTGGCTCTTTAAGTGAAAGAGGGTCAATCCCTTGACATTCATCGTACGCAAGATGGCCTTCGGGGTGGCTTCTGCGAATAATTGGAATGCATGTTGTTGCTATTAAGAAAACTAAAATAACAGGATGATCCCTCCTATAGTTAGTGGAGCTTGGCCACAGAAGGTGAAAACAAGCCACGCATGGTTGATGAACAAGCATGAGGCTGCTTAGATGTATGAGGCACAGCAGTAAAGAAACTGAAATTAAAGACAGCTTTCTGATATTTCTTTATGTGAGTAGTGAAGGAAGAATCAAGGTCTTTGAATAGTTTAGAACTAAGCAGGCAATCCACATGCATACACCCACACACATGTTGTTTCGACATAGTATAAGGAACGAATCAAGTTTTGTACAGTAGCAAATAAAAATGGAGCATTTATTCTAAGGTTCCAAAAGGCAGGCAATTTAAAAAAAAAAAAATTGAGAAGAAAATGCTGAAATTAGTGCTTGTAGATGATGCTGTTGGGGCCTGGGGAATCATTATCAGACACAAATTAATTAACAGCAATGATAATAACAAGAGGTCCAAACCCTAAACAAAAAAGAAAGAAAAAGCACTGCATTCATGAAAATCCACTCATGTAGTAGCAGTAGTAGTTGAAATGGGGTTTTTTTTTTTTTATGGTTAAACAAAACATGAGCAATATTCCTTTACTAATTAATTACTGATGCATCTATGTTAATTAGGTAAGGTAATGTAGAAATTAATAAGCAAAAAGAGAGAAATGAAAAGAGAAAAAGAAGAAGAAGACAGACTATTGGGACCGCCGAGCTGAGAGACGGCGTCAATGAAGCGTTGATGAAGATCGGCAGTCCAACGGAGGCGAGGTTTGGGATCTGAAGTCAACACTACTTGACCTCCTTCTCCTATTCCTCTTTGGTTTTGATGCATTTCTTCAATCATCATCCCTCTCATTCCGATTCCTCTGCTCTCCAGCATAATTACCTCTCTCTCTATCTCTCTCTCTCTCTAATCTACAGAGCAGTTAATTTTTAGTAAGAGTCCCGAATCCCAATTTCCCAACCTCCGAGAACAGAGCCACTATTGTCCTCTCCTGTCCTCCAGTCGTGTAATAACTACAACTGGTTGTTGATATAAGTATAAACTACTGACATATAATTAATTAATAATAATAATAATATTCATGAAAGAAAGAAAAGTAAGCAAACTTAACAGGATGTCGTGTCATTAATATTTAATCAAGCACAAAACTGCACTATAATTAAAGGAGTAGTGATAAAGTGACAGTACCATTACTAAATATACTAAAATAAAAGGAAAAACACTGTAAAATTACTGTTTACTTATTGCACACCCTCTATTTTTATTATTTATTTACTGTGTATTTATACTGTGTATCTTAAAATATATTTTTTTATTTTTTTTACGAATTCTTATAATTTTTACATTATATATATATAATTTGTTTCAGTCAATTATATATGATAAAGACGTATAAAAAACTTATTAAATAATTGATTTTTAAAAAAATTAATTATACAACTTCACATATAATACTAATTATTAGTCATTGGTATTTTTTCTTACATTATACAACAAATTTATTTGAAATAAAATAATTTTTTTAAAGAAATCAACTAATTATTCAAATACGTTTTTTTTATCTTAGCATTATCGATTATTTTATAAATAAATATATATAGATAAAATGTATATATTTTCAAAAATTAATCTTCTCATCAGCATTAAATGAGAATAATTTTTTTATTAATAAATTATTATATTAATTGTTTGAATATGTTCTTATAAAAATAATATATTTTAAGTTTTTTTAAATTTTTTTATTAATATTTCAATTTATTAAGATTTTATTAAAAATATAAAATAATTTTATATTGTCCGACCGGCATCATAACATAACATGGGTAAATGATTAGTTTTTTATAAATAAAAAGATTTAGGATTAAGGAAACAGTATATAAATAAAGCCCACCGGGCTGGACTAATTAATGATTTATGTTCGAAAAACTAAAAGGCCGTTTTACTTGAGTAAATTATAAATGAGTCCCTCTATTTTCTAAAAGTGAATTGATTAGTCTTTATTGTTTTAAAAATTAATTATTTAATCAATTGATTAATATTGATTATATTTAATTTAATATTAAATTCTTTTCTCATCAATCATTTCATATTTTTTTTACGTATTTTTTCTTTTTTATTTCTTAAAAAAATTAAAAAGGAATGAAAATGATTAAGTTACAATAAAATTTAAAAATATAAGGATTAAATAAACAAGAGGGACTAATTGATTCATTTCTGAAAACTAGAGGGACTAATTTATAACTTACTCGAAACTAGAAATTTGAGAATGCAGGAGGGAAGAAGATAGGGTTGATGAGGAGTTTGCTTAAATTGGTTGTTTACAGATTTTACCTTTATGTGAAAAAAATTAGCTGCCAATTAGAAATATTTCTTTGAAAAAAATGATATATACTTTGTAATTGCAATGGCAAATGCATGATTTCTTAATGCTGAACATTCGCCTAATCCATTACTGTTAAATGTGCTTGAACATAATCTGATCATCATCTTTTGATGCCTACTTGCTCTGCATCTTGGTTGCATTACCCTTCATTTCGAGTTCAAAGCCTTCTTAACATGTTTATTTATCTATGAGCAGCTGAAGTTGTAGAAAACTGCAATGGAGATATGAATGAATCAAAGCACCAGGTATGATTTTTTTTTTAACAGATTTAACTACAGTTTCGAATTTTCTAAAGCACTCTCGTTTGAACAATTTTTCTTTTACCGCAGTCTAAGCACGGCTAGTTTGGCTACTTGGCCAAATTATCAGGAGGTTCTCAGAAAATCACTGAAATCCCCCTATTGATATAAAAGTTTTTGTATTGCTTGATTCAAATCCTATAGCCATGCAAATGTTTGGCCCATCTTCTAGCCATGTAAGGGTCATGGTAATCCCAAGTTTCAACACTGCTACTTCTGCCACCAAGTATACTGCTGGAGTCCCTCCCTGCTACAGCTTCTCTGCCATCGTCATTTGCTTCCCTCTTATCACCTAGCGTCACCACAGTTTCCCCTGTTCTGTTGCATTCATCAACTCCACCATCAATGTAGCTATATCCTACACAAACATAACCTGACTCGCCCAATTCCAACACGATTCTTCTTTCTTCGCCGCCCCGTAGATCTCCAAGCCTTATGATCCTGGCTTCATCCCCTATTCTCAACTGGACATCTCTAATCACACCTCCAAGCAGTCTTGCCAAGAACTCTTCAAATTCATGCATGACGAACCCGTTTGAGGTGCCAAAGCCAAATCCCACATGAAATCGATGAATGGGAATAGGAACTTGCATATTGATAGGATGATATGATCTTGTTGGACTATCAGAGAGATGCAAGATAGTAGACTGTGGATTCTTGTGTGCACGATCCTCGAGTATTTTTATCCCTTTTTTGAGACCTTCAATTGGATCTGCTTGCCCCATATAGAAAAGGCGGTCGATGACTTGCAAGGCTGTCCGCTTACCGTAGGATGTCATACGTCTTAGGGGGAAGACACGGGCTGCAGCTGAAGAGTAAGTCACAATAGCCAAACGATCAATGGGCCGGAGAGAGAAAACCACTAGCGCCATTGATTGCTTGAGAAGCCTCAGATGTGGTCCATTGGGGCTTGCAACCAGAACCAAGTCTGTTGGTCGTTGGTTTGCCAACTTTACCGATAGATAGGCAGCAGTTGCTCTCCTATTTGATGAGGAGGTGCATGCATAAGAAGTTGGCGGGTGCGAAAAGAACGAGGAGCCTGTTAAGTTGTGGTGATGCTGATAATGTTGTGGGCGAGGATGATGAAAGATTGTCAATGGGATTGGCACCAGAGAGAAGTCTAGACGGGGATGATCGGGAGTCTGATCAGGTTCTATGGGGTCATCATCATCATAACGGGCAGAGCGTAGGAAAGAACGTCTATGGACCCGGAAGTTGGCTATGGAATCGTCAAGGATTTGGAAAATGGGGTCAGTTTGGGAGAGGGAACAAGGCATATTTAGGTTGCGGGGAAGCTGCGTCCAATGAGCACGGCAGATGGGGCAGGTGACACTACCATGGCGGACATTGGATGAGATGCAGGCAAAGTGGAATGCATGAGAACACTGGGCTGTGAATATGGCCTGCCCAGGGCTGTTGCCTGTGCTATAACTCAGGGGATCAAGACATATTGCGCACAAGTTCTGCAACATCACATGAACAACTTAATAGGTTAGCTATACAATCCATGAATATGCCTAGCAGGAGTTTGAAGTAAGAGAAACATTATGAAAATGGCATTCGAGCTTGATCGATAAAATAGATAATAAAAAAAAGAGTAAAAACATATATTCCTAAGAAAAAAATAAAATTTTCATAAAAAATTTTACATCTCAAATTTGGTCTGCTTTCAATCATTGATAATGGATCAATTATCTGCTGTTATTGCAGTGTATCAAGAGTAAAATACCCAGTTATCTCTATCCCACCTTAAAGATAAGACTAATCATGTTTGGAACAGGAACGACAAGGTTTAAACCTTTTTTATTTTTTTTTATAGAACATTAATGATGACTCACTGGTATACCCTGAAAGGTAAAATTTGACTTGGAGAGAAACCAGTTGGCCAAAAGTCATGACTGTGGATGATTAATTGTGGTTATTAGAAATGAAGAATAAGAAACAAAGTGAGTGATCATCAACAAATATAGGCAGCACAAGGATGAAAGGGGAGGGGGCAATAATTACAAGAAGAAAAATTGGTAAGAAATCATGTGGTGATAATGGACATTTTGGCAGTAGGTTGATGAGATGAGACGCTCATGGGACCTTAATTAACAGTGGGTGGAATAGGGTTTCACTTGAAATGTGCAAATGAATGATTTTGGTAGTTTTCACAAAACTTTAAATTGAATTTTCCTCGAAAATCATAATCATACTAGTACTATTTTACTAGGGAACAGAGACAAAAAGGGAAAAAAAAAAATTGAAAAGAAGGTGGTCCAGTCCTCTCTCCATGTCCTAGAGAATTGTCTGTCATGACACATGTTGTGGGCAAGTATGAAATGAAGCAGAGGGCAGAGGTGAGCCATTGGAGCAGTCAAACTTTGGATTCCAAAAGTAAATGTAACAAACGGCCATAGCTAGGTGGATTAAGGCATCAAGTTAAGAAGTGTTTTAAAGCAAAGAGAAGACAAAAACATGTTTTGCCTACCTTAGAAGCCACGTTGTTGTTATCTTTAACATTGCTAATGATGGTGTTGGATTCTTCTTCATCATCATCATCATCTTCCTCTTCCTCTTCCTCTTCCTCGTCCTCTAAGAAGCTATTCTTTGTCCTTGTGGGAAACATTGTTAGACTAGAGTCCGAGATCTGTGAATTTCACTCACAAATATTAGCTAGGTTCTTCCTTAATTACCATCCTCTTCCATTAATTAATTTTATCTACGCAAATTACACAAAGATGGCTTTTTTTGAGGATAAATTAAAAAACGAGTCATCCCCATAAATCAATGTGTGTGCTGATTTTATAAAATTTCAGCCCAAAAATCCAAAAGAAAAGAAGAAAAATTAAGGGAAAAAACAGAGTCTTGCAAATTGGGAGTTCTGTGGAGAGGAGGAGAGAGAAAGACTACATTGATGATTTATGGATTAATTAAGAAGAGAATTTTCCAAGAGAAACTTAATTAGGAAATGAGCAGTTGGAGAAAAAGCGTGGCTTACATTGACAGAGTTGGTATGAATGGAAACAGAGGGATCAGCAAGAGCAGGTGGCTTTCTGGAAGAGAAGGAGGCGCATGCAGCCACCACCATTTTCTTAGCTGCCCTTTTCAGCTTGGAGGACGCTGCTCCTACCCCCATACCTCTTCTTTCTTCTCTCTGCTTCCTTCTAAATCCTCTAAGCTATTATGCCACTCTGAGCTGATAAGGATCAGAGGAATTTGATTTGATTAATGAATATGAATGAATGGATATGTGGATGTAGTTTACAGTCTTGGACTCCTAGTGGCATACAAAAGCTGAAAAAGAACAGACAAAACCCTGCCAGATTCTGCAGTTTCTTCAGCACCTTCTGTGGCTTTCTCTCACACGCTCTCTCGTTTTTTCAACTCTCACCCTCCTCCTCCTCCTCGTTGAGCAAAACCCAACTCCCACATTTTTATACTAACCCTACCACTTTACCTTAAAGTAATGCTATCTACTTCCCCTTTTTTTACCTTAACGTTCTTTACCTTGACCACTCTTGAAAATAAGTAAATAAAACAAAAAAAGAAAAAGAACAGAGTCATTCTTTACCTTCTCCTTTTCCTTTTTCATCCTCACGTATCGTAGTACCTATTGTTTTTCGTTCTTTTTTGATTAACCTCAAGAGGGAGAAAGAAAAAAAAAAAACAATTCTGGCCAGGTGTCTTAGTGTGACATATTCTTTTATAAAAGGGTGGACTGCTACTACCCTAGGCTTCCCCTGAAAGAGAGAGGACCTGCTTCTGCGTGTCAGATACTAAGCTGTAATCATTGTGAAAAGGATGACACATGTTTTATATATTCATAACTTCATCGGTAATTATATATATATATATAAGAGAATATATAGTATATTATCAACAGTTCATTGATATAGTAATAAACTGAGTTGTATTCAGAATCATATTTGTTAAAAATAGTTTAAAAAATATATATATATATATATATAGTATATTATTAACTGTTCATTGATACAGTCATAAACGAATTGTATTTGCTAAAAATGGTTAAATCTTTTTGTTTGGAAGAAACCAAAAAAGAAAATAGTCTAATAGGGTTTGCTGAACCTTGATTAACTACTTAGCTATAACAATAATCTTACTCTTTCTATGTATATCTACAACTAGTAAAAATAAGGATACACTAGTGGGAATCAGGGCTTAGCCTCTGAAGACAATCTAGGTTCGACTCTTTTTGTACATGTCTGTCACCTCTGCGGTGCTTTACGTGCTTACCTGGACTTGCAGGATGTTCAGTGAGCTCCGGAGATTAATCGAGATGCGCGCAACCGGCTCGAATACCGTAGATTACTAAAAAAAAAAAAAAGATACACTAGTCGAATTAATATAAAATCTATGGACATTAATTTGAGTGAAAAAAAAAATGAATATCTTCTTATTTCAATTTTTTTTTTTCATCTTAGAAGAGAATTACATTTCTAATTTTGTGATCCACTAATCCGCATATTCGTTATTTGATCGGATACACAAATCAAAATCACTTATTTAAATCATTAGAGTTTTGTTCACTCAAACCAAATATTTTAAGTTTTAAAATTTGCTTTTTATTTTTAAAGAAAGAAGAATATTTTTGTGGCTAACTTTCGCATAAACCAAGAATAATTCTGAACTTAACAAGCATGAGAATACGGAGACATTTCTAATTCATTCATTTGCTGATATAATTTTGAATGTGACAGTGAATATCTGTGCGTCTGATACCGAACCCCTCCTAAAGGCCAGAAAAGATAATAAATGCAATGAATATATTGGTGCCTGAATGAATGAATTTGCTAGTGGCAGACCAGGAAAGGAAAAGGAAGGGCAAATACTGCTACTGTACTGGCATATGAACAACACAAGTTGTTAGACAGTCGTACACCAGACGATTTACGATGAATTTTTTATTAATATATAAAATTTAAATCTTAAAATTATATTTATTGAAAAATATGATTAGTCTTATAGTTAATTTAGAATAAGAATACCTTAAAAAAAAAAAAACCGATAGTGACCCTACGGGCCCCTGCAACCTACATACTGTACATGGAGTCAAGGACGTTGGACCACCACCACCCACTCATACCTGACTTGCAAAGGCCAAATTAAGGTCCCCAGGCCACTCGTCTCTCTCCCTTTCCGCTCTTCCTCCCTCTTTCTCTCTATGTAATTTATTAAACCCTACACTGATATATAGCGCTTCTTTTGCTTTGCCAATGCCTTCATCTTCTTTTTTTTCAAAATACCGTAGGCTTGAAATCCAGATTAATTTTTTGTTATTTTATCGGACACACAAGGCGAGGACGATTATCTAAAAAGTTTTTTTACATATATAAATACTTGAATTCGAGACTATTTGCACTCAAACCAATTTTTTTAGCTATTGCCTTCATCTTCTTTATTAATGTGGCTTTCATTCCTACAAATTTTCTTTCTTTTTTTTTCTCTAGCAATTTGTGAAAGAACCTTTGGTTAATTGTTATTTTATTATGTAGTAATTGATCACTTCACAAGTGTGACCAAGAAGAAACGTGAAAAGGACCGTTGGGAATTTTTTGAATTTCAAGTTTCCTCTAAATCAAAATCTACCTATGATGACTAGGGACCAAGCCACGAAGGAGCTTTTGGCTTCTTCTTTTTTCTTTTCCTTCCTTTTTTTCATCTTAGCTTCAAGTTCAAAGGCTACTACTGCTTGTTGGTTGGCTTGGCGCCATAAATACTTTCCTTCCACCGGTTGCATTCCATTTGGCACTCAAGAACACATTTACTACTATTATACTTCAAAAAATGTTGTGTTAGTTTTGTAGGCTTCAAAGCATCACCTAACAAGAACAAGAATGCCAGGATTTAAGCCTAATTCTTGGGTTTCTGCTTTCAGTACTGATCTCAAAGTGGTAGGTCAAATCGCCCCCTTCAAATGCAAAAGGCAAGGGTCCCAAAAACCTTTGGCCTTTTGTTATCATGGCAAATGATATTATAGCATGTCATAAGTTAGATCAACTTTATTTGAAAATACAATAACCTACCATTTGGGATTTCCTACTTAAAATTCAAAGCTGAAGAATCATTATGCACGTCCTTGCTTGCTCGAATTGCCCCAGAACCACCCCTCCCACTTCTCGTGTCAAAACCTCAGCCTCTAATCCTTTAGGTTAAGGATCGCATCCTCCATCCTGTCTTCTATATGTTTCGCCAGAGTTTATGTTAGATATTTTTTTTGTTAGATATATAATGTGATTTTTGCCATATTTATGTGGGAATCAAAATTCAAGATGTCTCTATAAACGAAACTACAATCAACTTCTTGCTGGCTACTATTAAAAAGTTAAGGAAACATTTTGATGTTGATTGGATTTGGCTGCATTAATAAAATTATCAGAGGTTCATTGTATTGAATCAATTGAAGCTCACTTCAGGCTAACCACCAATTAAGACATATACCTTAATTTAAACTAGATATGCTGGTGCAAAGATAATGTCCTTTGATGAGGACAAGTTCATATGATGCATGTCAATTGTCAAAGATCTCGTATCAGCAGTGATCAGATTCTTTTTCCCAGGATATTATAATCTCTACTGAATTGGGTGGTTCAACTAGACTCCCATCACTAGTCTCCAATGGCAAGCATCCAAATGATATCAGCTGATGACTCCATCTGTCAATGGCCAATTATGCTGTTATAATTGAAGAAAAAACAACTGGTTTTTGGCTCCAAGTTGTGCCGAAGTTAAGAAGAAATTAGTCATAACAGTCTCCAATTACAAGCAGTAAAGTTGACTGCTGACTGTATTTTGCTCCAAGTTGTGCCAAAGTTAAGAAGAAATCAGTCATAACAGTCTCCACAAGTTGGAAAAGGACATTACATGCGCTAAAGTTAACTACTGACTGTATTGAGAAGAAGGTGAGGGGAGAATCTCTCTTTAGTGACTGATAGGTATTTGGAGAAGGCTTTCAATGATCAGATCATGAAAAGAAGTAAAAGAGGAAAGGTTCATGGTGTCCTCCTCGCCACTTTGATAGCCTAGTCTACAAAGCACAAAAATGTTTGATTTTGCTTATGCATTTGACCTAGTCAAATCCAGGTTTGCACATTTCCCATTTCATATTGGAAACATTGCCTTTATTAATTATTTCCTATTTGTTTTTCTTTTAGATCAAAGATTCTATTCAGCTGTTATATGTTTAATTGCTGCCTTTGGCATCTTCTAAGAATTTGGACCTACCTCCCTTTGTTACTGGAACATGTTCCTCAAAAATTGTAGTGTGATGTCTTTCTAATCATAAAGACTTGCGACCAGCACTTTCTATCACTGTTTTAGAGGAAACCCAAATTCAAAGTCTATGGCATCTTCTAATAATTTTGCTTCTTTTTTTTTTCCCCTCTAAGTATTCTCATCTCACGTTAAAAACACATGACTAATTCTGTTTTTTGGTTTTCTCTTACTATCCTGATCGCACATTGAATATTGAAATAATTATGTTCGGAGCGAAGATTCGAATCGTTTATATTGACAGAAATTCATCCGAGGACCATTCGTTTATTACTAGGCCAACAACTTGTTGTTAATAATTTTTCTTTCATTTAGTACCTAAATTTATATTATTTTTAAGGTAAGTTTCAAGTTTTAAAATTCATAAAGTAAACAATAAATTTATATTGTTATTATTACAACTTTTATAGATATTTAGCAATGGATAAGATCTCCTCATAATTTTGTGTTTAATAGACTTTTTAAATATTTTTCAAAGAGACAACTTTAATTATTAATAAATAATTTTATTTATCTTAATTTTTTTTTCTTTTTTCAAATTCCGCCACTGGATTTATGCATGGTTGCCATTAATGGGACCGGAGACAAACTTCAATGTATCCTGCCATAACATCGTGAATTGCCGAGAGCCACAAGAGTACAATACAAGCTGAGAAGAGGCATGGATTTGGGATTTCTGCATCCTTCAAGGGAATAAAGAGACAAAACATCGTTGTGGAGCATTCTGCCCTATTCTAAGTTCATTTCTTCGTCCATTCTCATCAGCTGACTATTAGAGAATTGGTTCGAATTCCCATTTACGCTAACTAGACAAGAACTACAGGTCCTTGGTTAGACAAGGTTAGACCAATTAATATGAAACCGATGCTTCCACAGACAGAACAACGTAATTGCATTTCCCCGTGCATCATTAAAATGCGCAAGTCATTGCAAGAAAATTCATCTAACAAAATATACAAGCTTGGGTATTTGCCATCTTCACAGATGCTATCATGCAACTAATTTCGCCTCGTCGCTTTCAGGGACTATAATATCAAGCCTCATCATGGGTTTGTATTTGTCTGGGACTTGTGCACCTGCTTGCATGCACAGCTCAACCACAGCTGGAGCCTTGCCGTAAAACCTCTTCAGTGCACTCCTCAATGGAGGTCCTCCAGGATCTCTAACATGCCAGACATGATTTGGAGGGAAAACTTCGTCAATGATTGCATCCTGCCAACCATGCTTTCCATCCCTCCATTGATGCTTGAATTCGCCGCAAAATTTAGCATTGTGACCCCAAGGTCCCACGTGAACCTCAGAGCAATACCCACATGCCTTCACCATGTACTTCTTCATTAACTTCCTCACACCTGATCTGACAAAATCATACGCATCCATAGTCTCCTGTGCAATCCTTGGTATATCTTCTGATAGAGGAGGCGGAAATCGTTCACTGGCCCTATATGTATCAAACTCAACAAGAGTAGATGGATTTCCAAGACGCCAAGGTTTAGGCTCCTCAAGGAATCCACCTCTGTCGATCACCTTCTTTCCAATCATTCTGATTGGTTTTGTTCTTCTGCGTGATGGATACTCTGGTATATCCACACCAGCTTGGATGCAGAGTTCTACAACAGCTGGAATCCTGTCATAGTCAAATCGAGTTTCGTGCTTGATTCGCCTACCAAAAGGGTCATATAGATGATAAGACTCAATAGGTAAAAGTATGTCATTGATTGAACCCCTGACCCATAGATGGAGGCTGTGACGGTTCCTACTGGTTGGACCGAGACAGTCCTTAATTTGGTGACCTTCCGGGGCCACATGAACTTCTGAGCATTCACTGCAAAGGAGTTATATCATGTTAATAAGTTCATCATGTAAACCAACTTCCCTTGAATTAACCATTCGAAAATCAGATCATAAGAACTACAGATATAATTTACCTGCAACCATATACAGGAATAGTGTGCAAGAGCTGCGCAACACCTTTAATCAAAACTTTCCAGGCATCTAGTACCTCATATGCAAGAGGAATCAGGTCAGGGACAAGTATTCCATTTTTTGGAGGTTGAAGGGGCTTCTCAATACCCATTTGTGCAAGTTTTTTGTCCTCCCTTGCAGCCTTCTGGATCTTCTTGAATGGAATGGGAAAGGGTTTCTTTTTATTCTTAGGAAGTATGGGTGGAAGATCCACATTTTGAGTAATTGGTTGTTCTTTCCTGATGAAGGGATTTTGTCTAGCTCTCTGGCTGGCACAGAAAATAGTCCGAGAAATTATTGGCTCCCTTCTCTTAAGCCTTTCAAGGCCAAACTGCAACTAAAAAGAAACAGAAGTGTCAAAAAGGAAACTTGTTCATGGAGAATGCATTGCTGCCCGCAATAAAACTTAAAACTGAAATTCATTAAAAGAGTATTAAGTCCAAAAGAATGGAATTGGGTGGATTTGCAGATTCACAAAAAAGATAAAAGACAGGAAAAAACAAAAAGTGATCGAATAGATTATAAAACCTTCAACCTAAGCTTATCTGAACTTGGAGGTGAAATTCGAGGCCTTCTACATACCACGACACAGACACACGGGCAAATACCTGTGAATTGTAAAGCCAATTGATGTATGTTAGCATTTAGGAGATACACAAGGTCCTTTCGCACTTGTCCATGGTTATTTGTTAGCAAAAATCATAGTAGCTGAAAACCGGCATATTCGATTCTCAAAACTTTATTTAGTAACATTTTACAATCATGTTTTCAGAAATTAAAGGCATCCATTAACGTAATGCAATCGTCCACAACCCTCATTCTAAAAGGGGGAAAAAAAAGACAAAAACTTCATTAGAAGCTGCATATATGTAAAATAAAATATAGTAAGAAGAAGAAGAAGAAATGAGAGTCAGACCCTTGTGAGATGGATTCCATGAAGAAGGAGATACAAGAGGCAAGTGGTGGAGCATATTCATTACTCTTTCAGCTTGGGATTTAACAGTTTCCTTTGCCTCCGTACAGAAAAAAAAAGTTGATGATGCTGTAATCCAGTCAGTGGCTAAGCTTATTAGAAACGAAAACAAAAACATAAAAAAGTGCAGCTGAGTGAATCATTTCTTCAATCATATGGTGAGCAATTTACAGAAACCACACATCAACATATTATCGAAACAAATTAAAGTGAGATACTAATTGAACTTGGAGATGATTAACAACTAAGTTTCACCTATTGTTGTCGTGGTTGACAGGTCTTGAAATTTATGAAAGCTTTCGTCAACTGCTACTAAGCTGCTAAAGTATTACCACTCCATGTACTCCCCCAGGCTGGCTCAATTCCTAACCAAACCGAACTCAGCTCACTACAAATATCTCTCTCTCTCTCTCTCTCTCTCTCTCTCTCTCTCTCTCTCTGTTTTTTTTTTTTTTTTTTCCAAGTCTGAAAGGAAAAAAAACCTAAAAAATGGATGAAAGGAAGGCAGGATTGGAATGCAGAGGACTTGAAGAAAGCCCAGATAAAGTTGCAAAGTTGTTCTAGGCCCATCAAGCTGAAAAGCCCAAAAGAACAAAAAGCTGGCCCATTCGACCTTTTTTTTTATAGCAAATCTGTCTCGTTCTTCTTCCTTCCATTAGATGAGAAATTGCTGACAGAACTAGGCAAATTGGTAAAGAAATTGAACCTTCTCGCATTTTCATTCTGCAATAATCTACTTTCTACCACAATTTCCCCTACTATTTTGCATCTTTAGATGAACAAGACAAACTAACATACCAGGAAAGGTACAATCCTGGTGTTAGCAAGAAAAACACCATTGAAGCTTAGCTGCGTGAGCATATGGAGGGAAATGGAGGACACAAAGAATGTTAGAAAACTTTCCCAAGTATTAAGTTGAGGAAATCAGAAAGATATTTGCTTCGTGTTTCCCACACGTAATGCAGCACACTTTTCATTAAGAAAGCGCCCAGATTGCATTGCGAAGTATGGAGAAGATGAAGCTAAGACGAAGGGGAGAGAAACAAGAAACGTGAGACATACTGAGTTAGCCATTAAAGGATCCAAACATCCATATATGTATACAAAAATATGCAGCAGTAGAAACAAAGCTTTTGAGAAAGAGGTAGGTGCTTGAATCCCACATCGGTAAACTGAACAAAATGTTGAGAGCTACAGCTATAAAAAGCAATTCTCTTTTCGTTCTAAAGCATACCTTTCTCGGCCTTTTGGCTAAGATCAAGTGTAGTATCTGTTCTTATCAGTTTAATATCTGATATGTGGACCAATGGTTCACACGATATTAAATTACTTTTTTAAAGGGGAGGAACCATAACAGTAGCTTGCTACTGGGTTCCTCGAGCGTCGCCCATGCGTTGCACTACTGCAAGGGCCTGGCGCACCCTCCAATTTAGTTTAAATTTTGTGATTTCTGTGAGTATTTCGTTACAAACCATTTTTTATGTCATTTTTGGTTTGAATGTTAAGGGAAAGATGTGTGCCTCGTCTTTCTTCTCGATTGGCTTATCAATCTTTGGCAATGGAGTAGTACTTTGCCTGGTTCCCTTCGAAATCAAAGTTAGGAAATTGCTCTTAAGCGCTCTGTGAATAAACAAAGCCCCTGTTACGTAGATTTCAGCCCAGAACCTGCAAGTAATTGCCAAGTTAAATGATATGCCAGAATATAGTTGCTTGGTATATTATGGAGTGATATAATTGGTAGACGAAATTACCATTATTCTTAAAAGTGACAAAATTTATTGAATTCAGATAACAATACCACCTTCTCACAAGGCAGCTCATAAGGCCGAGTAAAGAAGACATTGGTAGCCGTTACCATGGCTTTTACAAGCTCAAACCGATGTGTCTTACTTTTAACTAACTGATACATCTGCAATTATTCTGAAAACATTTGTAAAAACCTGAACACACAATGGGGTATTTCTTACAATCAGCATCAGTTTTGCAGGACAAAGCAAGTTGAGCGATTCTATCTGCTCCTGCTACACTTGACACCAAAATACCTACAAATGCAAGCAAATTAATATTATTTCATCAATTACAAGCCCACATTCATGATATTTATCATTATTATTATCATAAGAGAGAACAGAGGTAGAGAGAGACTAACATGAACATGATGCTGCAAGTAAAAGGAAGGCCAAAAATGTCATCTTGGAAAAAGTCATTGCCATTTTCTTCTCTTCTACCTAATCGTTTGTTGAAACAAACTAATTTTTAGATGATTTTAGATTGCAACAATGTGGAAAATGAGGTTGTTTTAGTCCATATTTATAGGCAGATCAAGTATGAAGAAACACATGGGAAAGTAGAGAACTTCAAAAAAATAAAAAAAATGTTATGTCATATTAGTTTTTTTTTTTTACACAGTTTAAGAAAATTATTAATTATTATGTTATACTAGAATTTTTTATTCTAAAGGTTAAAGATTTACTCGTGGTGAGATATCACTTTATTTGAAAAACCTTAGATGCTCGTTGGAGTAAATGATCGTCAACAAAAGCGTTTTAGTACGTTGTAGATTTTTATCCAAGACTTATATCATTTGATGATGCCAAGTGAATTGCTAGATTACTTTCCTAAAACATCTTTTTGTTAGAATTGTTAATTATCAAATTTAATCCGGTATTATGAGTACTAATTTAGGGAGAAAATCTATCCAAAATTAAAGTGGTAAATTTTAAAAAAATCATTAAGTTAATTAACAATAAAGTTTAATATAATTATCAAAGAATAACGTACTAATAAAAATATTTTACTCTCAAAATTTTGATTTGCAGTAAGCTCCTATAAGAATGAATATTTTCATTTAATAAAAAAATTCCCTTTGAAGTTTTTATTTTTAAAAATATTTATATGAATAACAAAAAATATAAAAATATTAATTTTTTTTATCAATCAAGGGTATTTTAGAAAAGTTCATTATTTAAATTTTGGTTAGACAAATATTTTTGGACAAATATAAATAGAAATGAGGGCAATAGAATGAATATTTTTTTTTTCATAAGGCAGTTTTAAATCTTATTTCCTGTAATATGATACTTTTAAACTTATTTTCTATGATAGGATACTTTATACTAAATAAGAGTCATTTCATATTAATAGATTAACATATCAGCTTTAATTTGTTTTTGCTAAAAAAAATTAAGTTATTATCCTGAATTACTCTCTCCTTCTACTGTTTTCTCTCTGTATCAACACATGACTTATGCTTTATGTGCCTTCAGTAGCTATTGCAAGAACGAACCCCATCCTACAAGCTGCATTTTTGACTGAAAAACATAGTTTCGATCTCTCTCTCTCTCTGTCTCAGTTTCGATCTCTCTTAGTTTTTCAATCTATCATTTTGTTTTTATCAATCCTTGGTTTAGATTCAACTCCAGAGAACTATAAATTAGGGAAAAAGTTCTTGGTTTTTCGTTGAAGGATTGGGCGAAAATTGCATGTAGTCAGCTGTCTGGTTTAGTGAAACTCATATTTTCTACTGAAAGTCTGCAGAAAAACTCATGAACTTGTTATGTTATGGGCCTCTGTTTTCTATATTGGAGGATCACCATCGCTTAATTATAACTTCATTCACAAAAAGTTTCATGCTATCTTGTTATAAAGAAATAGAAACGAAATTCATCACTCTGGAGGAAGAATGTGGAGATTATCTTAGCATTTCTCACATGAAGTGGCTGTTCTCAAGAGTCAAGCCCTGCTTCTCTATGGCTACAATCCCAAAAATTTCAACATTGTACCAAGCAAGGACCCCTTGAGATCTTCGTGGAACGATCTGACATGTAGTGGTGTTCAGCTTGGGTGGGAAAGCTTAAATAATCTGTGTTAAGTATAAACTAATCTATAGATTTCCTTGCCAAAAACATTGAAAAAAAAAAATCGAGATTTGTGATCCAAAATGAAAATAGAAACTAATCTCAATATTTGTATGCCTAAAAATGAATTAACTGTAATTCAAAATCTCTATGTTTATTCCTAGGGTAAACTCCATTTTTGCCTTTATAAATTCACCAATTTTCCACTTTTACTTCTATAATTTAAAAGTTTTCATGTTTACCCTTTTCGTACCATCAGGTTCAGAATACATGGGAAGTTGCTTATTTGAAGCGGAGCAAAAAATAAACTCAGCCCATCAGCCCATATTCCTCCGATCCCAGCCTAGAATGATTCGCCAGTTTTTGTTAAAGTAAATTATTGGTAAAAAGAAATTGAAAGAAAACACAAGATTTGATTATTTGGAATTTAAAACTTTTCAGATGATCCAACTCAATCTTGGTGTATTTGTCTACTCATTCATTTATCGAAGGAGAACATTTTTTTGGATTTTTTTTATATATATTTATAAATATGAGATATTTTTAGATCAGTTTTTATATCAATCGAAACTAATTTCGTCAGTTTTCAAGATAAACTAGCATCAGAAATTGTAAATTCAAGTTAAGTGGCTATCTTGGGGCTTTCAGCATTGCTTTTGGCGATCCCTAACAATTCTTGACCGTTAGCACTTGGAATCTATATGTCCTGAAAGAAGTCCATCCATTAGATAACCTGCTACAGAGTAAATTAGCTTTCTAGAGATTATACCACTTCAGAAACATAACGTTAAAGAGAATTAATCCAATTAGAGCTAAATAACAAGATAGAGAGAAGCTGCTACAACCATACAAATAAAAATAACAAGACAGAAAGCTCAGAGATCTTCTGCAGATCCAGAACCAAACTTTAACAACTAGGAACCAAACGTCACTTGGATTTTGCGTCATCAGGATTCATTTCTACTGCCATTCTTCTACTCAACTTTAACCCTTTCGAGATTATCTTTGAAGAATTGATATGGGTTTGTTACGTTTCGAAAGAAGCAGTGAAAAAGATAAAGAGGTAGGCGCTGGCATCCCACATCTGTAAACCAGAAGCAAATGTTGAGAGCTGCAGCTATAAAAAGCAATCGAAGCCATGTTCCAAAGCATACCTTTCTCGGCCTTTTGGCTAAGATCAAGTGTAGTATCTGTTCTTATCAGTTTAATATCTGATATGTGAGCCAATGGTTCACACGATATTAAATTACTTTTTTAAAGGGGAGGAACCGCAACAGTAGCTTGCTACTGGGTTCCTCGAGCGTCGCCCATGCGTTGCACTACTGCAAGGGCCTGGCGCACCCTCCATTTTAGTCTAAATTTCTGCTCTCTGAAAGTGGCTGGCTACGAACCATTTTTGATGTCGTTTTTGTTTGAATATTAAGGGGAAGATATGCCTCGTCTTCCTTCCCACCAGCCTTATCATTCTTTCGCAATAGTCTTGTCACCTGGCTTATCATTCTTTAGAAATGGAGTAGTCTTTCTGCTTTCCCACCAGCCTTATCATTCTGTCGCAATAGTCTTCTCACCTGGCTTATCATTCTTTAGCAATGGAGTAGTCTTTCTGCTCTCTGCAAGGGGTTTGAAAAACCACTGTTGTTGTTAAAATAAGGGGGAGCAGCACTATTTGTTTGGCTTCTCTTTTCAATCAAAGTAAGCATGTAGCTCTTGAGTGCTCAATGGTGTCATTTTTGTTTGAATATACAAGGAAAAGATGTGCCTCTCGTTCTTTTAAATGGTGAAATTAATGGTATTTCCCTCTGTCCACAAATAAATGAAAGCGAAGTAACCCACGCATAGTCAATCCTCATTCCAGATCAAGTTAGGAACCACTCATCACTTGGATTTGGGTCATCAAGATTCATTTATACTGCCATTCTTCTACTAAATTTCCCTTTCAAGATTATATTTGAAGTATGATTCGGGAAAAAAATAAAAAAGAAAACCATTGACTAAATATTTGTTTCAAATACTAGCAATTATACTGATTCTTGCTGTTAATCCAAATTCTGAGTGGGGATTTATCATGATTTAAATGCTCAGTAAACACAATATTGGTTAGGACCTTCTGAATCACAGGAATCATTTTCGTCGGGTCCACACGTGTATGTATGGTTTGTCATCGAGAGGATAGGATGCGAAATGCAAGTTGCAAGCAAGCAATTCTAAATATTTGTGACCTAAATCCACAAATTGTCATGGAATGCTAGTAATTAAAACCCTAAATCTGGTGCTATTATTAGTAAGATGAGACAATTAAAAGTCACAGAATATTAATTTACAACATCCCAACACATAATTTATCAACAACACAATTTTGACAAAGATACATAAAGTCTTGTCTCCCTTCTGCCTGCTAGTACCGTTGGTCAGTTCTTAAACAAAATAAAATAAAAACAACGGCATATTTCATCAGTTATTGTTAACAGCGACCGTAATTCGTGTTTTCAACCGTTTGTGGTTTAAAACTATGGGAGGGTACCTTAATCCATCCGCATGTTTTGACTGACCTCACACAAAGAAACACGCAATTAATTCATGGATACTTGATTTGTCTTGCAAGCTGTGGTGATTGATATATGTATCTTGTCTGTGAGTTTGACTAGTCAGTGGCTAAGCTTAGAAACGGAAACAAAAGCGAAAAAAGTCCAGCTGAGTCAAATCATTTCTTCAATGATATGGTCAGCAATTTACGGAACCACACATCAACATATGGTCGAAACAAATTAAAGTGAGATACTAATTGAACTTGAAGATGATTAACCACTAAGTTTCACCTGCTATTGTCGTGGTTGACAAGGCTTGAAATTTATGAAAGCTTTCGTCAACTGCTACTAAGCTGCTAAGGTATTACTACTCCATGTACTCCCCCAGGCTGGCTCAATTCCAGGCCAAACCGAGCTCAGCTCACTGCAAATCTCTCCCTCTCTCTGGTTTTTTTTTTTTCAGTCTGAAAGGAAAAAAGATAAGAAAAGAAAAGAAAAGGAAAAACTAAAAAATGGATGAAAGGAGGGAGGATTGGAATGCAGAGGGCTGAAAGAAAGCCCAGATAAAGTTGCAAATCAAGAAACAAAATGGTTCTAAGCCCAGCAAGGAAGCCACAAGTTTGTAAAACCTGAAAAGCCCAAAATAAAAACAAAAAGCTGGCCCATTGTTTTTTTTTTTTTCAAATATATGTTAATCAAGAGCAAATCTGTCTCGTTCCTTTTCCTTCCATTAGAGACGGCAACTATTCGCCTCTTCATTCTGCAATTATCTACTTACTACTGCAATGTATTCCCCTGTTATGTTGCATCTTTAGATGTACAAGACAGGTGAATATACCAGGACAGGGACACACCTGGTGTTAGTAAGAAAAATACCATTAAAGCTTAGCTCGTTGGGCATATATAGTGTAATGGATGGAGGGAGCAAAATGGGAGAGACAGAGAGTGGCAGAGAACATTCCAAAGTATCAAGTCGAGGAAATCAGATAGATATTTGCTTCTTGTGTCCCATACGAAAATGCAGCACACTTTTCATTACAAAAGCGCCCAGATTGCATTGCGAAATATGGAGAAAAGAAGAAGTAGCAACAAGGAGAAGATGAAGCGATGAAAATATGCAATTACAATACAACATTATGTTTTGATACAAAAATATGCAGCAGTAGAAACAAAGGTTTCGATACAAGTGGACTGGAAAGAAGCAGTGAAAGAGAAAATGGTAGGTGCTTGTGTCCCACATCTGTAAACCAGAAGCAAATGTTGAGAGCTGCAGCTATAAAAAGCAATTGAAGCCATTTTCCAAAGCATACCTTTCTCGGCCTTTTGGCTAAGATCAAGTGTAGTATCTGTTCTTATCAGTTTAATATCTGATATGTGGACCAATGGTTCACACGATATTAAATTACTTTTTTAAAGGGGAGGAACCACAACGGTAGCTTGCTACTGGGTTCCTCGAGCGTCGTCCATGCGTTGCACTACTGCAAGGGCCTGGCGCACCCTCCAATTCAGTCCAAATTTTCTGCTCTCTGCAAGGGCCTGCGCACACGATGTTATTTTGATCTAGAATGCTTAATGATACCCTTCTTGTTTCAATATTAAGGAAAAGATATGCTTCGTCTTCCTTTCCACCGAGCTTGTCAATCTTTTGCAATGAAGCCTTCCCACCGGGCTTATCAATCTTTTGCAATGGAGTAGCGCTATGCCTGGTTCCCTTTGAAATCAAAAAGTTAAGCAGGCTTGTAAGTGCTCAATGATGACCCTTTTGTGTATCCTAGTTGAAGAGTCCTTCCTTTATTATCAAATTTATTCTTCTCATAATCAATGGAGCTTCGCCTCTTCATAGAGATGGTAAGAGTTTTCTGTTCTGAAGGTGAGCCCCTTATCCTCTCATCTAAGACAACAGAGTTGCATCGAGTCGATTTCTTTCATTTCAAGCCCAACTTTTAACAATGTCTCCAGCAGAATATCCTTTTGTATTTGCTTTTCCCTACCTGTAAATCATTTGAACTATCGAATAGACACCAAGTAAATCAGAAACGTAAAGACCTACTTTTAGAACTAGCTGTCTTTTTAACTGGTGAATTTGATGGTATTTCCCCCTCTCAATGCAATTCTGCTCTGCAGCTTCTCCTTGATTAGTCTAATGTATTAGTACGAGAAATATCTTGAGGAGCGCATGGTCATAAAATAAACAAAATAAACCACAAATATTGATTACATAGCAAATTACTCACAATCAATCCTCATTCCTGATCAAGTTGTGCAGATTGCAAGCCCCAACAACTCTAATTTGAAAGGGAAGCAGGCAGCACGTAAGAGAGTAAACACCCTTCTAAGAAATTTAAGATGAAAAACTTTGTCTTCCCTTTATCTTTTCTAGAAGATCATGCAAAGCTAATGTTGATTCAGGCACCAGACCAAGAAGCAGAAGTCACCATTAGCACAATAAATAAATGCTCAATACATCACGAGGCTCGGAATCAACCTTCAACTGAATGTTACAGCATTCTTTGCCTTTGCCATGAAAAGGTTCTCATATTCGGATGAAGGCTCATTGCAATCAAAATGATGATCTGAGCATTTTATTAGTGTGCTAAAGATGGTTTTTGCGTCTGTGCTTCGCTTCTTCTTCGGCATCGACTTCACATGATATGCTTGGGAAGATAAAAGAGTTAGCAGAGCCTTCTAAAATTCTTGGAAGACACAAGCTCAGGGATCTTCTGCAGATCAAGAACTAAACTTCAACAACTAGGAAACAATCATCACTTGGATTTGCATCATCAAGATTCATTTCTACTGCCATTCTTCTACTAAACTTTAACCCTTTCAAGATTATCTTCGAAGAAGAAAAATAAAATAAAATTATGGACTAAATATTTGTTTTAAATACTAGCAATTATACCGACAATCCAAATTCTGAGAAGTGATTTATTATGATTTAAGTGCTCAGTAAACACAATAAAAATGTAGCAGTAATAAAAAAATTGGTTTTTTTCATACAAATTAATCCGTGAGGACCTTTTGAATCACACGAATCATTTTCTTCGGGTCCACACATGTGCATGTATGGTTTGTCATCGAGAGGATAGGATGCAAAATGCCAGTTGCAAGCAAGCAATTTTAAATATTTGTGACCCAACTAACATTGATTATAATATCCTCCACAAATTGTCATGGAATACTAGTAATTAAAACGCTAAATCTCGTGCTATTATTATTAAGACGGGACAATTACAACATCCCAGTAAATAATTTAGCAACAACACCACAAATTTGACAAAGATACATCAAGTCTTGGTTCCCTTTTGCTAGTACTGTTGGTGAATGAATTCTCTTGAAAGCAGCCTGGCAATCACTAGCACCGCTTGAGGCTTTGCCTGCCAGCCTAGCCAATTCAAAGTAGGTCTCGGAGTCCAAGTCGTTGTAGGCCATTTCCATGGCTGAAACAGCCCTTCTGTAACCGCGGCTACAAATCTGGAGACGTTCCTGCTGCTGCTGCTGCTGCTCATGGCGGCCAGAGCCGTTGATGCTAGTTAACTTAAGCTGATCGGATATGTAGTGTTGGGTGGAGGTAGCATTGATGGAAGCCAAACGAACTGCAATGTAAGCCAGTGTATATTCATAAGCTTCTGGGGTTCGCGAGTCAGTGTAAAGAGACTGGACGCAGAATGAATAACTTGAAGTTTGTTTGCAAACCTTGTCAACTAGTTTAGTCGCTGCATCAGAGGCATGAAATATTGAGAAAAGAAGAAGTATCAACAAGGAGAAGAGGAAGTGATGACGAAGGGGAGAGAAACAAGAAATTTGAGACATGTTGATGATAATCGAATGGTGGGTGAAATGAAATAATATTTCAAGCTTTATATTACTTGTATATATTGTGGCTACAGCACGAGGCCAAAGGGATCTTAGTCCACTTTGTCGTCTTAGCCACGAAGGGTGAAATGAAATAATATTTCAAGCTTTTTTTTTTTTTTTTTAATAAAAAAATTTAGATCCCTAATTCTTTTTTTAATTCGTTTATCTATTAAAATAACGATATGTGTTTTAAAAATCTTAAACACAGATCATATATTATTGACTTATGGCTTCACGTGTTTTTTCGTGAATTTAATATAACTTAAAATTAGTCATGAAAAAGATTTAATTTTGTATACGGATTAGACGAAAATTTAGACTAGTAATAGTAATGAAGTAGACAAGATGTTAATCAGCATCTTGATATTGATATTATGAGTTATCATTAGATTGGACTGTCGGCAGTAGGTAATTAAAGTTAAAAGACAACATGAACTCTTCAAACACACTTCTTGTCTTGTGTTGATCAAGTATGGCTACATTAACTAGGGGTAAGCAAACGGTTTAGTTAATCGAAAATCGAACCGAATTATAAAATTTGGTTCGATTTTAAATATAAAATTATACAATATAAAACCGAATCGAAAAAATCGAAATTATTTTGGTTCGATTCGGTTTGTAGAAAAAAAATTTCAGTTTCGACCGAAAACCAAAATAAATAGTGAAAAAATTTTTAATTTTTAAATCCCTAACTTTTCAATCTTCGTTCTTGTTGAAACTAAAACACGCGAGATGGGAAGTAAATTTTGAGGACCGTTGGGGTAAGAAAAGAAAGTGACATAGTGTAATTAATTGGGATACATCGTGTTTAAATGAGCAAATTTATTACACTTGAACTCGTTTTCATTAAAGCGTAATTAAAATCTTCAAGGGCTTTATGATTGTTTATAAAAAAGATTAATTGATAACAAGATGTTACTTCATTGGCTAGTGGACTAAGTGCTAGTACAAAATATCTCTCCGTAATAATTTTTTTTTTACAATAAAATATTTTGGTTAAAACCGAAATATTTCGAAACCAAACCGAAATAATTCGGTTACAAACCGAATTTACCGAATTTATTTCGGTTCGGTTTTTATTTTTTTTAATTCGGTTAATCAAAAACCGAACCGAATCGTACGTGAACCGAACCGTTTAACCGAATGCTTACCCTTACCATTAACCACCATAGGGTGATGCGGTGGCAAGGATTTGATACCAAAGAGTTTACTCCTTCTATAGTTTCGGATTCGAGTCCCGATTGTTCTTCTTAGTGACTACTAAAGGCTTTTATGACCATTAACTTCAAGGCCCACGGAATTAGTCGAGGTGCACGTAAAATATTCGAAGCCATTTACTTTAATAAAAAATAAATTATGGTCACCATTTACTCAACTCTTTAACATAAAATGGGCTACATTTAGTTTAGCTAATTAGGGCCTGAAGGCAACAAAAAATGTCAAAAATTAAAAAAAAAAAAATTAAGGATGTATCACAACAATTACACTTGACATGGATAGATTGGAGAAACTTGTGTTCCAAGTTCAACGCAACCACAAGATTGATTGACGGGAGGACTGCTTGCTTTCTATCTTGCCTCCTCCATGATCTTGTCCTATTTCGACCTAGAAACAAGGGGCTACCATAGCAGTTTACCTTTCGTATAAACAATATTCTTATCAATTTGAATAACAACCGTTAACGATAATTATTTATCAATTTTAAAACATCTTATTATTATTATTATTATTATAGTATAATAAATCATGATTTATAATAACGACCGATATTGTATTTGATCATTTAAATCTGTGGTTAGATTATTTATTCCATCCGCATGTTTTGACTAACCTCACAGAAAGAAGCACGGAATTAATTCATTTATACATTATTTGTCTTGAAAGGTGTGGTGGTGATTGATAATTTGATATATAACTTGTCTATGAGTTTGAATAGTCTCAGCAAATTTGGAATTCATGGATAGTTAAACATCAAGCTTGCTCAGCTGTGAAATCAACAAGTCCTTGCAGGGAGGAGTAAATTATAAGTTAGTGTTTCTAGTTTTGCAAAACTAATTAAATAGTCCCTCTTCTTTCAAAAACTAATTAATCAATGCCTTGTCCATTATTGACCATAGTTAATTTAATATTAATTTGTTTCAAAAAATATTATTTTTTTCTTACTTTCCGATTTATTAAAAAAAAATGAAAACAAATCGAAAAAGATTTATAAAGATAGGAACTAATTAATTAATTTTTAAAACTAGAAGTACTATTTAATTCTTTTTAAATAACCAGGAGGACTAATTTATAATTTACTCGCCCGGAGTTAATTTTATCTGCTTTAAAGTCCTCCAAATTGGACAGGTTCAGTTGTAGGGTGCCTCAATAATAGCGAATTGAAGGTTTACCATAACTTCAACCAAGTTGTCATGAACAGAAACTGTTTGTTGATCAAAGTTCTAAGATTCTGATTCAGATCATAAAAACTACTAATGTAATTAACTTAAGAAACAGCAAGCAACCATATCTAGCTCGAACAAGTACAGTAATAACTGCTTGAACGTGAGATGAGAACCCTAGGAGGAAGAAGAAGATTGGATCCCTCCTTCCAAGTATGGTACGCAAATTATCCAAACCCTACTTGCTTCTTGAACGGGGCCCACCAACCTCGGCATCTTTTTCAATGGCAGAATCAATACCTGTCTGTCGTGTCTGTCCTTCACGGACTAAATCTTAATTAGTTTCTACGAGCAGGTGGGACCGAAAGTAGAAAAAACAAGAGAGAAAAAAATGGAAAGAAACGAAGAAGCAGGACACAGCCACATACACCACCATGTGACCGTCAGCAAGAACTGAGGAAGAAGCGTGAGTTTGTGAGCAGATAGATGCCTTAAACGTTAACCTAACTGGTAACTGCTGGCTGCTGCAGCTCACGACTAATGAGAAACAGGCTGTCTCCTGGGGGCTGAGGTGGCCAGCCTGAACCAGACCCAACTGTAAGCAACTAATCATACATGATTTCATTTGATTTTGATTTGATTAGCGATCCCTGCAAGTCCAACTCACTCCCCCATTATTAGAGTTAAATAAATAGTATTAACCAGACCAGCCTAGCCTAGCCTAGCCTAGCCCCACCCACCACCATTTTCCTTTTTCCGCTTGCCTCAAGAACATGCATTTCCATGCTCGACAAACATATGATCACTCCTACCTAATTCAAACTGTACTAATTACTAAGTGTCGGGCCTCCAGCATTTTATGACACACAAAAAGGAGCGTCGGTGGGTGAAAAATGATGCTCTATCAGCCTGAAAGGAAAAAGAAATCGAAGGCAAAAGCAGAAAATCCAATCACCCATCCACAGAAAAAAAGGGGGCTGTGAATCAATACTCTCTGTATGCTTATGAATCAGTGGACTTTAACACTACAAATGAAAGAAAAGTAAACAAAAATTGTTCCAATTACCACATAAACTAGCAAGAAGCTAATACAAATATCAAGATAGAGTTTACAAATGTTATTTCTAACACATACAATAAATGAAATGAATCAAGTCCAGAAATCAATGGGAACCTGTTATCACAAGAGATACAACATATATTTTTCTTCTCTCTGAAATTCATTGGATTTAAGCATCTCTTCTTACACAAAGAATCTAAGTACTAGACCAAATAAAAATGGGTTCATCGTTGCTTTAGTAAAAAGAAGCAAATGAACTTGGGAGATTAGCGCACGATGAAGCCAAGATTGTTTTTTTCTGTTCGTTTGCAATCATTTACAAATACACCCACTGATTGGCAGATATGTGATCAAGGTACCAACATCAACTAACATGCATAGTGGCCCTCAATCTACCCTCCAAAAAGGAAAAAGAAACAAGAAAAGAGGTGGTGGTTGGGGGGGGGGGGGGGATTGTATACAGAAAGAATTAAACTTATGCTTCTACTTAGATAACAAAACAACCTACCAAGTGCTCCAGACCTGTAAGATCGTTGGCACAGGATGTGTGGAAGAGTCTAAAAAGGATGACCTGTAAAAAAGTTGGCACAGCTTGTCTATGGAGATCTCACGATTGGATTACACCAAGAGGACCATTCTATGGATTGATGTTGCACTCTCGCAAATATGCATGATCATAATCAACATATTTTGCCCAGTAGTATCGATACTTGGGTATGCCAATCTCAAGCCATGGCTTCATGTTGCCATTGTAATGTATAACAGCTCCTCGTTCAATTTCTCTTCGGTTGACACTGGGGTTATAGCCAAGACCAAGAACATGCCAACCTCGATCAAGAGGATAAGTCCGTTTCCAGAAAGTAATGAGGCCAGGTGGCAGAGTCCCCAACTTCCATAATTGTCTGTCATGATTCTGTTCACAAACAAAGTATTCTTTAGAACCCAAAACAACATAAGACAACCAGAGCAAACTTTCAGAGCATAAATTGACTTAGGAGTTCCGTGTATGCAGGAAAAAAATATCTAAGATTTAGGAACGAATATTGCATGAATGCAGGCCTATTGTCCAATACTGAACTAGAACCAACTGTCTGGTTGCAAAAAAAAAAAAAAGCAATTTTGAATTCCATTAAACTTAGAACACTCTGCATAAAAACACATCTTCAAGTAGGTCACTTACCAGCTTCTGCCATGCATGATATACATGGGTGATGTTTTGTCTCCTCCATTCCTCTAAATCAAAGAGGTTCATTCCATATGCCCATCCACAAGCACGCGGATCAAAATTCTTTGAGATAAGAGGATTTGAGAAGTTGAGATATCGATCAAAACGATGGAAGCTTTCTCCACAGGTCTCTACCGCACCATTCACGTTACCCTTCAAATCAAGGGACCAAAGGCCAGAGAGATCCTTCTGCACCACTATATCATCATCTAAGAATAACACTTTGTTGAGCTTTGGGAAAATCTCTGGCAGGTAAAAGCGAAGATGGTTCAGGATGGACAAGTACTTTGGGTTTCGGTACTTCAAATTCGAATCAGAATTGGCACGATGTGCCCGAAAGTAATAATCAATCATCGATTGAGAACCCAACTGCTTCAGAACAGGACTATAACTTGAATTTAACCATGTAAATTCTTCAATGTTCTGGACCTGAATAGTGGCTTTGCCGGGTGGATTTACTAGAAACCACATCCTCATTGCTGCATAGTTGAGTCTATCACTAACGATGTGGAAAACAAGCTTCGAAGGGTGCTGCAGATAAGCCAACTCAATGCAATCAGTTTAAGGATGTCAATTAATATCAAATATCTCATATACGAATAAGAAAGTAACTTCACTGAAGCTATCATGCCACCACCCCAACCCAAAAAGGAGGATTAAAGGAAATGGAGAAAAAGGAAAGTTCAATACTAAATTTGATGGGAAACTATTTTTGCTTTGTTTTAATTAGATCTTTGTCTTTCTAAAATCTCCTTGGCAACCCACCCAAAGGATTATATTGACTTTCAAATAGAGTATATTTTATTTACCTTACAATTGGAAACAGTGGAGTTCACAACCACTGCTGCTGCCAAAACATTATCTGAGAATAGTGCAATATGGTGAAGCATGGGGTTCTCCAATTTCTCTTGATTTGGAAATTGCTGTTCAGAAGTATTCAAATTATAGTACTCAGCTGTCAGGCGCAATGGAAGACAGTGTAAACCTTTAGGAAGCGTCTTTGCAGTTAATTGTGTCAAGAACATGGTCTGCTTCTTATGCACTCGGAGTTGTTCTTCTGTAGAGTGCAGCATTGCCCGAAGCTTCTTTACCACAGCAGCACAATCATCCTGGATTTGCCTTCCCTTTTCCAACAATTGGTCCATTGCCTTCAATTTCTCATTAGCACTGCATTAAGAGCCAAGAACAATCCCATTTTCAGATGATCGAAAAAACAAACAGAGCAATTTAGTTAGCCGACCAATTTTGATATGTTTCAGAAAGAAGCTTACTTCTTTGGCAGATCAGAATCTTTAGTTGCATCTCCAAGTATGCGCTGAACCTCCTTTATCCGCGATCGAAGCTCCCTTGTAAAGTGGGGATTGCTCTTTGTTGCTGGAAGGGACAAGTACACCCTTGCCCTGATAAGCTGATCTCTGAGCTGCCGCACTCGAGCATCTGGCATAGCCGTTTGATCTGTCTGTTTATTGGTTTCAGTTAACGATGCATCCTTCTCATCAACTTTGTCCGAGTTCAAAGCAGATTGTTGCTCAAGCTAGCAAAAAAGAACCAGTGCGATACAAAAATTTCAGTCCACCTGTAGATTCAAAATCACTTTCACTGTATAAAACTTTATTCTTTTCCTATCCGTAATTGTATTTCATGCCTTAAAGAAATTCAGCAGGCAGGGCATTCCTTTTGGGAACTACATGGCTGCCACATAGTAACATCATTCAAATTATCAAGAACAAGTAACAGATTGAGTTGGCAATCAGCATGGTTCAAAGTTCAGTAGTTCCCATCCAAATTCTAAAGGCGGTGTGCCTTTTGAGCCTTGAAAATTGAAAGAATTTCTTCTTTCTAGTGATAAATTTTGCATGCAGCTACTATTGCGAGGGAATGTGACCAAATAGGAAAATATTCTACTTTGGAGTTAATTCAAATCTGGGAAGGAACGGACCAGCCTTTTAGCAAGACTATGACCATTTCAAACAGCAGGAAGTAATTGACATTTAAGAGTAAACCAGGCTATAAAAACAAATAATGAACACGGTAGGAGAATATCAAACTCAGTAAAACGTCACCAAAAATTAATCAATCCTCAAAATACATTTCAAACATTAAAAAAGGGAGCTGCCAAAGACTTTTTGCATATGCCCACGTTCTCATAGCAATAAAAAAATATATAAAAAAAAAACAAATGAGAAGGGAAATTTAAATCAAATGTACCTGAATTTGAGATGCGTTCTGATGGTTTTCCTGATCAGCTCCGCTGTCTGTTTGGCTCTCCTGCTCTTCCTGATTACTAGTCTGAATGACCTGTCTGATGATGTCATCCTTCTGAGATTGAGCTTCCTCGTCAGTGTCAAATAATACTCTAGCAGATTTATGCTCACTCGTATCAGGCAATTGCAAATCTAATGAACAAAAAGATAAGCCCAGAATTAGAAATCCAAGAAAAATGAGAAATTTTGTGGGGAAAAAGAAAAGAAAGAAGAAAGTACAGACCTCTGTGAGTTAGAATAATATTGGAGGAGGAGTTATCAGTGTATACAATTCCAATTGGTTCTTTATGCACAGTGGATGATTCCTCCTAAAGTGAGAAATAGAAGATGTTAGATCTGGAATTCAGCACTGATTTAGAAGCAAAAAAGATAAATTTTTAACAATTGGAAAATAAAGATAAAGACAACCATACCTGGGGTAACACATTTAGATGCCTGGTGTCCGTAGGTAGAGTCTGGAAAACCAAAAGATTTAGAGATTAGCTGGAGAATACTATCACGATTTAAGCTTTTCAAGCAGTGGATTGAAGAAAGAAGGTAAGAATATTTTTGAAAAAAAAAAAAAACAGAGAGATTGAACATACAAAAGCAGTAACATCCTCAATGAATTCTTGTTTAGCTGCAGAATACAAAGAAAAGATACAATAATTAGTATAGAGAGGCAGAAAAAAAAAAAAAGTTAATTGAGGAGGAGAAAGAAGTTATAAACTTACAAGACGAAGTGGTAAAGGAGGAGAATCTATCAGTATAAAGAAAAATGGGAGCCAATACTGTGATGAAAAGTAACCCAATCACCAAATTCCTCATTCTCATCTTCCCTTTTGTTTTGACAATCCCAAAACAAAAAAACAACAAAAAAGAAATCAGCTTTTCTCGTTGAGCTTGTGGATGCTATATTCTGGTATGGTGTTCTTGTGGTTTAAGCAGGAGACATGAGGGATGAAGAATTATGCGAGAGAGATGATATAATCATAAGATAAGTAGCACTGTGGCCACAGAAACTGCATTCTTCAAATCATTAAAGAAATCAACAATAAAAGCAGCCGAAAGCAAGGAGGAAGAGAGCAGAGCAGGAGATTAAAGACTGTTTGAGCTTTGAAGAGAGAGAGAAAGAGAGTGCGGCGATGATGAAATGTGAGAGCGAGAGATGAGTCTAGCAGATAGATAGAGAAGCCTTTTCTCTTCTTATTCTTTTTTGGGAAAAAAAATTAAAAAAAAATTGGGTAATATAATAAATAAATAAATAAAATTGTATTTACATCGTTTGTCAAGTTGCTGTGTTGTAACGAGTAAATTAATAATTAGTCCCTCTATTTTTAAGAAAAAATTGATTGGTATCTCTTGTTTGAAACATTAATAATTTAATCCATTAATCACATTTAATTTAATATTATTTTTTTCTAATCAAATTCTTTCATGTTGTTTAATTTTTTTTTCTTTTTTATTACTTCAAAAAAATCAAAATACAAGAAAATTTTAAAGACATAGAAACTACGTTATTATCTTTTAAACCTGAGAGACAAAACTAGAGGGACTAATGTATAATTTACTCCCAAAATAACAGATAATGATTAACAAGTGACTAGTGGGTGATTAAGGAAGGAATCGTGTTTTTCAATTTTTTATTTTTTATTTTTAATTTCCGAGTTTGAACCACGCGGATGAGTGTCACGGTGGGTCAAAAACCAGCTTAGTTTGAGATGGTAGGACCGCGTGGTTACTTTACCACTTTACCTGCCCCTTTCCGTAAAATTATTAAAGATTATTCGCTAATTGCAGCAATAACATGGCAGCATCCGCGATTAGTGGACTCATTCTCCCTTTCTCTCTCATTAATTAATAATATAAAATTACTATTGTGCCCATACTCTACCCATGCCATGAAGTAGCATCCTTTCTAACCACTAGAGGGTGATGCAACGGCAAGGACTTGGTATCAAGGGATTTTCTTCCTCTCGTGATCTCGGATTTGAGTCCCGATTACTTCTTTTAGTGAGCATTGAAAGCTTACATGATCGTTAACTTTTGAACTCGCGTAATTAGTCGATGTACCCATAAACCGACCCGAACACCTATATTATTGAAAAAAAAAAAAATAGTATCCTTTTTTGTTTGCTAAAAGTAATCATTTTTTCACGCATAAACAAAATGATTACGAGAGATGATTCTATTTTAAATATTTTGATGAATTATTCTAATTATGAATACATTGATGTAATTATGGAAATGGTAATAAATTAGTTTGAATATAAACGGTTTTAAGTTTCTTGTCACTTGTTAGACAAATTGTTAATCTAATAGTAATTGAACCAGTCACGACTGTAACTAACTCAAACCTAATGAAGTTGTAATAATATTATTATTCAAAAAAAAAAAAAACCAAACACTGATTGATGTGCGAGTAATCAATGTGGGTGTCTGGTCTGTTCTGTAACTTCATACGTGTGTTTCTCCAATTATAGCATTAACAGCAATAAATTCCTTTGGAAATTGTAATATACAAGTATTCATCATTCTAAAACGGGTAGTTTGTTATAAAATATCCTAATTTTTTATGAATACAAGAAAGTTTTTTTTTTTGAATCTCTACGGCATTAAGAACCATTAAAAACAAGGCATGTGTTTGTTCTATATCATATTTGATTGGTTAACAAGATAAAAACAAAAAAATTAATCGGAGAAAAAAAATCAAAATTAAAATATAAATTAATTATAATCCATTAGTCTTTTAAATTCTATATCTCCAAGTTCTAATCAAAGATTAGTTTTGTTTTTTTTTAAGATCACATGCAAATAGTGACGGTTTAATAATTTAAACATGTACTTGGATATATATTTTTTAGAATTTAATCTCGCTTTATGTAAATTAAATTTTGTGAGATAATAATTAAACCAAGCACAAACAATAATATAAAATAAATCAATAACAATAACAAAATGACAAAAATATCAAATTTATATAAAAAAAATCCTAAAAAAAAACTACGAAACCAACTTTAAAATAGTCTACTATTTTTAAAATAATCTTCTATGATTAAAAAATAAATAAAAAATTGACAGTAATAAATTATTTCTCTATCTAAATTTGTCTCAAAAAATCCAAAACCTGCAAAATATTTGTGTCCATGCAAATTTCAATAATGAAAAAAAATCACTTTTCTTTCTCTTCAATGGCTCTTTTTGCCAACTATACCCAAACTCTTTTTTTTTTTTTTTTTTAATAAACATGTGTTAGCTAAGCAGGAAAAACAAAACAAGAAAATCAACTCTCTTTTTTTCCCTGATTTCTCGATATTTCTTTCCTATTTAACTTCAATTATTCTCCTAATTAATAATCTTCTTAATTAATTTTTTAATGGGTTGTGCTAAAGTGACTAGACCTTAATCATATACTTTTAACATTTTTGTATAAATGGAAATTCACAATAATGTACAACCAAATTTCCTGCAGTTATTAAACACCTGTCCTCTACCTTCCTCTCGTGTACATAATAATAACTTCCATCCATAAATAAGTCTTGTCCGGTGCAGCGCAGGCAAATAGAAGAGGCACACCAGCACCACAAATACTATATATATATATATATATATATATATATATATATATATATATATATATATCAAAACGATATATAATAATTAATTAATACTTATTAGGAGTATTCTGGATATACCCACTTAATTTTTTTTATTAAATAAATATATTTATTTGTTTATATATAATACATAAAGTCTATAATCTGTTTATAGATTTTAATTGTATCTCATCTGATTCTAATTTTTTTTTAAAATATTCAATCTATCTTCTTATTAAATTTTTAATTTAAATTTTTATAATCAAAATATCTTTTATTGAAATAGGATTTTTTTTTTTAAATCACAAGATTCACATGCTTTATTTTTTTATTTTTTGAATTTTTTTTTAATCAGAGATATTTTGGTTAAAAAATTTATATAATAAGAAAAAACTGATAAAAAGATAAATTAAATATTTTAATAAATAAATAAAATATAATTAAAAACTCCGAATATATAATCCGACTTTGAGTATTTTATATATATATATATAGAAAGTGTCGGCACAACGGATATACATAGGCATGGAAAGAAGTAGTCATCTAGGGTAGGACCATCAGCATCTATCTGTCTGCTAACGTACGGGCTCCATCTCATTATTATGCATTTCTTTCTTTCGCTTTGAAAAGATCTCCGTCAAAGGCATAATTAATTAAGAGAAAAAGCGAAAGTAGTTTTTGTTGTATCAATCACGACACACTATAAACTAGAGCTTTAGGCATGCAAATGGTTAGATTTACATAATTTATAGGTCAAGAGAAAACATGGCATGTGGTGGAGCCAATTTCTATCACAGATCAATTGCATCAAGTGCACCTTACCGAGAGATGGAAAAAAACAAGAAAATGGTCAATTTAAGCTGTCACAGCACAAATCGCACAGGTGTAAGGTGTTATAATCTGCTGTTTTAACGCAAATAAATAAAGAATCTTGTGTTATACGGCAATACATGAGCAAGAAAATACATGGCTGTTCTAGTTCTACATATACAAATCGCAACAAAAACTAACAAAGCTATTTTGTGCTCTTTCCTTTCCTAATTTTGTGTTTAACCAACAAATGTCATTTCCATTCACCGTCAAGATTCTCTTAAAAGCGACCAAGAGATGTATCAGATGCCTAAGGAACTTGAGGAAAACTAGGGGACAAGAAAAAGAAGCAGTGGAAGCCCAGAGTTTGGCAGGTTAGTACCTTAAAGGCCATCCATCTTGTTGGTCTTAGCGCTGTCTACTGGGCTTGCAATGCTGGAGACGAAGAAAAACCCATCAGGATTTCGTAGCGGGTTGTGGCAAAGTGATTATTAGCTAAACTAGGCCTAGTCACCCTTGTTCTGGAGCAGGGAGCTCCAGGTGCAATCAATGGTGCTCTCCATTTCCAAAGACCAAACGTTAATCTCCTCAAACTTGTCCACTGGAACATCTACGCATGATTCGATGCACAAGGCGTCAGGAGTAGTTTCCCACAAGCATTGTCCAGAAAATTCAGTACTGTAATGGAGAGATGAGGAGAATATTGTGTCCTCTAAACACCATTCCTCTTCTGCTTTTGAGATCATGCTGCTGCTGCCTTCTTCTTTTAGCCAGGGGAAATCGAATACCCCAAACGCGAAACAGTTGTCTCCGGTTATTTCATAGCTGTTGTTGCTAATATTGTTGTCCTCTTCATGCTTGCATGATCTCCCTTCAATGTTGATAGTATTATTGCTTACACTCTGTGGGTGACTAAGATCATCAGCTTGCAATGTTTTTGTAGATTTGTTTGAGCAGTCTTTCACCTCTTCTCCTTCTCTTCCTCTTTTCTTCTTCACCATCTCTTGCTCCATTTCTTCTATGTTGATTCTGCAGAGAGATGGCCACATTATTGCATGATCAGAAAACCAACCCCAATCCACAAGAATATGGGCACAAAACTTCTAACAATGGAATTGAAAAACCCATGTATTCGGGCATTCATACAAGAAACTAACTGGGTGTGATCACTTGACAGGATCTGATATATATTATGGGCTAAAGTCATGATCAGATAAAATGCTCATCATACAAAATTCAAAGAGAACAGATGAGTCTAGAAATGAAATGAAAGGTGCATGCATGATGAATTGATGATATATTGGAGGAGAACCTTAAATGAGCAACAACTCCTAAATCATTTTCTTTTTAAAAAGAACATGTCAATACAGTAAAGAACTAGCTACGTATAGTATGAAAAGAAATGGGAAAATTAATAATTAGACATAATAATCAACTCACAGTTCCAATAAAACAATTTTGTCGAAGAATTAAATAGAACTTTATTCTTTTCTACTCTTTCTTTATTCTGACTCTTACCTTTTTTGAGGGCTCCAGGGGCAACTTGCTGATCTTTTCTGAAATGGGAATACTTGGTGCTTGGTGTTGTCAGCTAAAGAATATTGATGATATATGATTAGGCTTTGCTCACAAGCTACGCCATTTTAAGCTAAAACTGTCTCAACCACAATCACAATTCACACACACTTCTGTCACGCCTTTTGCCATCTTCTCTCTCTCTCTCTCTCTCTCTCTCTCTCTCTTACAGCTGCAGAAACGGCACAACAATGAAACAAATGGGATGGTTCCTCATTTTTCGTTCATTTCTCTCTTTCTTCCTTCACATCTCATCCTTACGTCTAATCTTTATCATACTCTATTTTTAGACTCATATATATATATATATACAAGAAAAGCCCGACCACTAGCACACTACCAGGCTACCAGGCTTGTTGCATTTTTTTCGCCCTTCAAATCTTTCCTTTCTGCTCACATGAATTTCATGGAGATTAATTATGATAACTAAATCTATAATTCCCTTAATTATTTCTCCTTCAAATACATCCCATTGTCCTCCTCTTTTGACACATTGTAACGTCCACCTACAATAACATAACGGATCCCTAATTTGTCTCATTAATTCGTAAACCATATTGTTTTCCTATGGCTGATTAGATGCTAGCTGTGGTTATAACAGTAACAACAACCACAACAACAATGTGAATTGTCAAGTTCTTAATTGCCAACAATTGACCCATTAAGGAAAAATATTTTGGGGGCAGAAGGAATTTCAAGCTCTACAGAATTGTTGTACATGTCAATGAACTATAATTGTCTATGATGATTTAAACAAGAGAGCAGAAAGTAATGGAAGGATCTAAGATGTAGGATGTAGGATATTCTTCCTCAAAACCCCCCACTGGAAAGGTGCCAAGGTGACAACTTTAAACTCTTCCAAAGTTGCGATAGTTAAAAGAGACCCCTTGCTGTATGTTGCTCGCTAACTTTTTAGTTGTTGATTATTTATGATGCTGGAACATTTCATTTCTGAAAAAAAAAAACTGCAGTTTTTATTTCAAGAAGAGTTTTATCCATCACAACCACAGCAAAGTTAAATGGGCACAAGAACATCATGTCCAGTAGCAAGTTTAGGATATTATCAGAAAATGAATGAAACATTCAATAGGACTGCTGGTTCAGTCTACTAAAGAATACTGAATACAATCTATGTTTAATTTATTTGTCTTTGCTTAAGTTAGATCTGCACGCTTTAATTTGGTAAATGAAACTAACCGCAAGGGAGGCATTGCTTTTGCTTTTGCACCTGAAATTGGCTGGTCCCAGATGGAGATAATGTTTTCGATCTCTTTATGCAGAGTTTCTTGCTGTTCTCTCTCTCTCTCTCTCTCTCTCTACTCTTCTTTTGTTTTGGTCAATCTCTTTTTGCAGATCCTCTTGTTGTGCTTCGTGTAAGTAAATTCCCTGATCTCTTTCAACTTAGGGCGTTATGGCAGGCCATTCAATATTTCTTCAGGAGGTTTGACTCGGTATCATCCTCAAAGAGCAGCTCAGAATTTGCACTGTGTGAATGAGTGAACCGAGTTGTGTTTGTGCTCTTGCTGTCTCTCACCCTTGTCAATGTGTTTGATCCTATAATTTTCACAGATGAAGAAAGTGAACGTCTAGTCAATTCCCATTCAGTTCAAAAGACTAACATCCATGTTAATTATCACTCTACCTTCATAATTCAATATGTTATTTCCTTGATAACCAGCACTACCAGTAGTCCCCACACGAACAGGCGCCATCACGAAAATGATGAAACCGATTGGTATCTCTGACAATGATTTCCCTTTCCACCAGCTTGGACACGAACTTGAATGCTGAATGGCAATCACCACAAACTCTAATGTTCTTCTTGATGTGGATAGTGGATCCAGAAGGTGTGTTGAGAAGTGCAAAAGCTAGAGCAAGCTTCTCGCTATGGTACTGTAACTTTGCTTCCTTCTCCTGTTGGTCCATAAACAAAAGCACATGGCTAGTGTCTGGTACATAACCGATTTCCTTGATCTTATCACTAATCTGCTCCCACATATTATGGATCTCTCTTCTCTGTGGGTGGGCATCGTCATCTGCCACAAACATGTGGACTTCATTCTCCATCTCCACCCAGCTACAAGCAGGCTCCTTTTTCACTCCACTTGCTTTCATCATCTTTCTCACTTTAGCAGCATCATTCCATCTACCAGCTAATGCATATATATTATAAAGCAATACGTGTGTCCCTGGATAGTGAGGATCCAGTTCAAAAATACGTTCAGCTGCATAACTACCTAACTCCATATTCTTATGCATCCTACAAGCGCCCAGCAACGCTCCCCAAACAGCAGCAGTATGTTTCATTGGCATTTCACTTATGAATTGTTTGGCTCGATCAAGATGTCCAGCTCGACCAAGAAGATCAACCATTGTGACATAATGTGAAATTTGTGGTTCCACGTTGTATTTCTTCATCATGTTGAAATAACGCTGTCCTTCATCCAAAAGGCCTGCATGGCTACAAGCAGTAAGAACACACAAGAATGTTATCTCATTAGGAGCAATTCTAATCCTCAGCATTTCTTCAAACTTTTGTAAAGCTACCTTCCCAAGTCCATGTTGAGCATATCCAGTAAGCATTGAATTCCATGAAACAACATCCCGTTTCACCAGCCTATCAAAAACTTTCTTCGCATCCTCAATGCTGCCTGATTTTGCATACATGTCAAGCAAAGTGTTTCCAACAAAAGCAACTAGCTTTTCACCCCATTTTATCATAAGGGCATGAACCCATTTCCCTTGCTCCAACGACCCACTGCGAGCACAAACACTAAGAACACTAGAATAGGTAAAGTGAGTAGGTTCAACATTCTCCCTCAGCATGTTCGAGAACAAACGAAAAGCCTCCTCTCCTTGACCCTTCCTAGCATAGCCAGCAATCAGAGCATTCCAAGACACCTCATTTTTGCTCACCATACCATCAAATATCAACTGGGCTTCCTCCAAATGATCACATCTAGCGTACATGTCCAAAGTAGCACTACACGCATACACATTCAAATCATAACCACACTTTAAACAACACCCATGAAGCTGCCTACCCAGCAAAACATCAGGGGACCCTACCCCAGAAGCCGCCTTCAATAAACTTGCCAAAGTGAACTGATTAGGTTTCAATCCAATCCTCAGCATTTCAGGGAGCAAAAGAAGCGCATCCTGAGGTCTATCATGTTGAGAATACCCGGCAATCAAAGCAGTCCAAGTGACAACATCCCTGCTAGACATTTCATCAAACAGTTTACGCGCATTAGCCAAATCACCGCATTTCGCATACATATTGAGAAGGGTGTTTTTCATAACAAGATCGTCTCTGAATCCAGAATTGAGAAGATGGGCATGGATAATCTTCCCTTCATTGACTTTGTTCAAATGGGCACATCTCTTTAGCAACGTCCGATAGATTTCTCTGGATGTGGCAAAATCTGCATCTCCATTGTTTTTACATTGTTGCCGTATAAGCTTCATCATGAATATTTAAAAAAGCAAGGCTCAACTTCTAAGTTTTGAACGGAATTATTACATAAAAAAAAAATGATGTAATGTGTTGTATGAAATGATGTCTAGCTAGTCCATTGGCAGAAGATTTTGCAAAGGAAACGCTTGAAAATTTTGTATGTTAGGGTTTAGGGTGACACACTTTTATTACGCTTATCTATTTCTTCTTCGCTGTATAAAGTTCGTGTTTCAAAAGAGGCAAAGACATGCAAAGGACGTGAAAGGTGCTTCTAGTTTTGGTAGGCTAGAGATGTGAAGCAAAACAAGCAATCAGCAAATGGCACCACAAAAACAATCAATATAACAAAGAACGAAAGCACAACTTTTGATTTCTCCCCGCCTTCTAAAGAAAGACAAGACAAAACTAATAAATTGTTGGTTTAGTCATAAACCTGTTGATTCCAGACGAATTTACTTTCAACATACAAAATTCTTGCTGCCTTCTGACGAAAGATAAGACAAAATTAATAAATTATTGATTTAGTGATAAACGAATTAAAAGGGGTTAAATTAATCGAATTCTAAAATCACAACTTTTAATTTTACTACTATCTAAAAAAACAAAACTAATCACGTTTTAGGTGAACATTCAACATGTTAAATTTATGGTTTTCATTCAGAACATCATTATAAAAAAAGAAAAAGAAGAAGAAGAAGGAGAAGAAGAAAAGACAACACAAAAAGGGCAAATCCTGAGGCTTAGATATCCACGACCACAAATTTAAAACATGATGTTTACGTTGTTCAACCCCAAAACCATGTGCTTTAGCTCTCCAAACTGCCAAACTCAAAACTTTGGCGCCCACTGCCTCGTTCTCTTGTTTTAGTTCTTTCCTCTGTTGCTCTTCTTTCCACCTTCTCTCTCTTTCTTTATAACCCAGATGACCTCATCCACATTTCAAATCCAAGAACCTCCATTATTCTACCTCCTAGCTGTTCCATCTTCAGTCTTTTCAAGCTCAAGCTTCTCCTTTTTGTTTCAAGCTATACAAAACAATGCTAGGAAGCACCTTCTTACCTCCTAAAACCTCCCTCTGCCATTCCTCTTCCAGCCATTTTAGTCCAGGGGTTAAACCTCCAACTCGGGCTGTCGGAGTCACAGCATCTGCAGCCACTGTCTGTCCAGATTCAGTGAAAGCAGAGTCATCGAAAAATACACTATACGAAATCCTCGGGGTCGACCAAACTGCATCCCAAGCTGAGATCAAGGCTGCATACCGAAGTCTAGCAAAACTGTACCATCCAGACGCCACTTCTTCAGATCGTAATGGTCGGGATTTCATAGATATCAACAATGCTTATGCCACCTTATCTGATCCTGCAGCAAGGTCTAGCTATGATCTGTCAATTCGTGCTTCAGCTCCATGTTATCAATTCAGGCATTCTACTTCTAACACTTTTCAGGGACTTCGAGTAACCAGGAGGTGGGAGACTGACCAATGTTGGTAGGCAAACGGCAGCCAGTAACCTAGCTAGGTCTTTGCTCATAATGTAATTTGTACCATCAGCAACGGAATCAAAGTTCTTTCACACTTCTAGCACTTTTTTGAAACCAAACCTTTTCCCTTAATTTTCTTTCCAGATACAAAAGAGATTGAAATCGGTACAGATATTGTCAGGTAAAACTATGAACAGAAAACTTTAAGAAATCACATGACATGTGAACTGAAAATTCTATTGAAAACCCTCTTTAAAACTTGCAAACAATGAGAATCCCAATCACACAAACTGATTCAACCAAATCATAACAATGCCAATTCCCTGAAATTTTCCTTATAAAACCCAAGAAATGGTGTATTGCGTGCTTTTTTTTTTTTTTTTATTTGATGTCCTGAATTACCGAACTATGGGTCAATAATGTTGCCAAGTATGAAGACAAGCGTTCAAAGACAATTCAAAGCTAAATAAGTGTAGAGAATACTGATAGGAACTAATTAATCTAATCCATGTGGATTCCAATACTTCTGTATAAAGTTGAGGAGTGTAGCAGTTCTCTCCCATGCTTCTATATATGAGAATTTGAGGGGTACAGTTTTCATCTCGGACACAAGGCAATGCAAGTGCTAGCAGACTGGGGAGCACCGGATTAGGGTTTCGGCATCGATTTTTTACGATATAAGGAGGATTAATTCATCTTGCAACCTCTGGAATTTGTTGTCTTTCAATCTTGCAGAAGATGATCTTCTTGTCAGCCTAACCACGTTCTCTTATTCTCTGAGTCATTTCTTGAAGGAGGAATTCTTGGGTGCACGTACGCCCCTCATAGGCCTCATTGATCATTTTCTTTCAGAATTTCATTTCTATGTTGATCTTTTAAAGAGTCAGTATCCCACTTTTCACATTCTTGGGTCGCAAGCTGCGGATAACTTTGGAAACTGACCGAAAAGTAATGGCATGGAATAGAACAGAACAGAGTTCACACTTTGCTCGTTAAGTCATAATCTAATTTCCAACATCAATACTGCAATCAAGTTATTCTGTACATTTCTCTCTGTTGCAACCTACACCTTTTTCCATTTTTTAAGGGAACAAAAGGGCTCAAATCAGAAGAGTTAAGGAATCTGTCAAGTAAAATTATTATGATCATGATTCATGAACGGAACCTACAGGGGTACAAAAACCGCAAAGTGAAAAAAAGCTCTGTCAATGTTATATATTGAATCCACCCTTTGAAGTATCACCCAATCACAAAATACTTGACTAATTCAAACAATTCTGATTCCCTGAAACTTTCCTAGATCCCTATACAACCCAAAAATAAAAGGTGCTATGTTACATATTTGCACAAAATGGTAGGAACAAGGGAGGAAAAATCATTTACAGCTCCTTAGCACGGCATTTATGACAACCAGGAGGACTCGGATGCCTGTGGCTTCTGAAGAAGATGTACTGGGTAGACTTCTTTGATTGATAACTATCTGATTGACCTGATCAAAGATTGGTCTTACATGCACTGCAATCATTGGATCCACTGGGTTTATGGCAGCAGCCACATCTGTCATCCATCCCAACTTTCTAGAGGTTTCGTTACTAATATCGCATGCCAGCTGCTGTAAAAGGGCCAGCAGAACTCCTTGGCTTAGAGGCAGTGGTGACATGGACAATAACCTCTGGAGATCAACCTAGTGAAAAGAGCAAATATAAATCATGAGTTTTGATCTCCGAAATTATTAAGAAACAGAAGCAATTTAATTTGATCCTCTTAATAATTCAATTCAATTCAATTCAATTTGATTCTTTGACAAGAATCGATTTAAGCAATCAGATGAATTCCATCACTTTAAGGTCTTTTGAGCAGGCACAGACTGGGTCACACTGGAAAACATGCAACAAAAAGACAAAAAATTTTAACGCCACAGCATTCACACCAAGAAACTTCTGATTTGATTGTAGTAAGACTTGAATCATCTAAAAGGTCAAACTTCAACAATGCCTGGCACAAAGAGGATGCAAGAATCCAAAGATTTAGTGGCTTAGTTAAAATTGGTAGATTACAAAGTAGAGCTGTGAACAAAAAGAGGATGCAAGAAAAGGCATCAAAAGGCTGCATCTCAGAAGAAAACAAAATACTTGCATTTGACCCCAATCAGGTAGATCATAGCTGAGTCTAGTTATGTTCTGCTCATCCACTAATTTTTTACCAATTTGAGCACATTAGACATGCATATCAGTCTTCGTATGTGGCTTAACGCTTGATCGCAGTTTATCAGTCCTAGGTACAAACATTTCAATAACGCCAGACATATTGGAATAAAAGTCCTGCCTTGGCTCCACTTGGATAAAAATTGGGGTGTATCTTTTTATAATTAATGATAGCATTACCTGAGAACATAACCAGGAAACAATTGAGACATCACTTCTGTGCAGAGCAACTGTGAATGCTTCCTCATACTTCTGCTCTGCTATTAACCTTGATAATTCTTTTGTTGGATCCAAAGGTGGCTCGGCCTGTTGACATAAACAAATCTACCAGTCATATGCAACGAAAAGCTTTGTAACTTCTACCGCAAATTACTCATGTTCGTAACAGAAGACCATCATGTGCTCTTTAACTCGGAAGCTACTCAACATGCATTAAAAAAAAAAAAAAAAAAAACCTTGGCAATAAAACAAAAGGCATACCAACTCATGCAAACCAGGCAATGGTCCATTGCCCAACTTTGCTGATGGATTTCCCACTTTTGAGTTTGCACCTGCAGCAGCCATAGCTAAGAGATGCCGTTGGCCATCAGCCAGCTCTCCACTTAAGGTCTGAGCGAGTGATGATGCTGAATTGATACCATCCTGCAATAATATGTGTAATACAAAATCTTAAACAGAAAATAATTAAAGATACAGTATGCAAGCTCCTCAATCTAACAACATCATCAGGTCCACCTAAAGGAAAGCATTCTCTGCTATAGAATTACCCACTTTGATATTATAGCAAGCTTATCAGTGAAGGTACCATGAAAGCTAGACAACTTGCCACCACAAACATGCAAAGAATCAAACGTGAAAACTCTATATTTGCTACTCTCACGTGCACAAAGAATAAAAGAAAAGAAAAGGATGCAGAATATTTAAGTGCCAGTGCAACAACTAAATATAAGGTTTTATTCAGGCTTTATTGTTGGCCGTAATGGATGGCCAAACAGCTGCTGTTGGTCAAAAGCAGTACCTCCCCTCCCTGCCACCATAAACTACTGTCTGGTCACCCATAGCAGGACAACTTATGAAAGGAGATTATGACACTACACTACTGCTTGTTTCTTTCTGTATTAGTTCAAAGGAAAAAAGAGAAGGATTCAGAATGACACCTCTCTAACGGTGGAACTTAGTTTTCCATTTAAATTAGGATAGAATATTATGAGGGTCTTTGAATATTTGATGCTTTAGAAGTCAATTAAAATAAAAAGCTGGCTTCAGTTAAAAAAGGAAGAATAATTTCACAGTATACACAAAAAAAAAAAAAAGTGTATTTAGAGATCAAAACAATATAAAGGATCCTGTAATTGAAAAAACATTCAACAGTTAAGGGTCTTTTAGAAATCAAATTATAATATTTTTAAGACCTTAAGTAAAAAAATCGAGAAATAATTTCACAATAAGGTTGTTCTTAGAGATCTAACACCAGAAAGGACCCTTCAGTCCAAAAACATTTAACAAATGAAAAACCTTTTCATACGCTATAGATATACTGCAGGCTAAATCCGTTGGTTCAAGAAGAAATACCACAAAAGTAAGATGTATATACGATGAAATCTAAACCCAAAAAAAGAAGAGCACGGAATTATAATTATAAATAAGGAACTGCGAATATGAATATATAAGATACCTACTATACATCTCAAATGTACACATACCCTCAGAGCAATGGCCAAAGGAGAATGCATGGAATTGAACTGTTGCTGCATGTCATTTATATGCTGGCTAAGCCCTTTCTGAAATGTGGCATCAACTTGATCAAACATAGCTTTGCAGGACATCTCAAATGCAGGAATAACTGAGGCTTCTAGATTAGACCTTAATGCATCCTGCAAGTACCAACAGTATGACTTTTAATTATCAGAAAGAAGTTCCCCATCCTTTTGCTTCAAAAAAGATATAAGAAAGTCGTTTATCAATGCATGTGAAATGGTATATCACCATTCTTCTTCCAAAGAAAAGACAAAAGATCCCTAAAACAATTGCTTAGTCTGTCCAAAAGACTAGCAAAAAATCAATGGGGCAAAAGAAGGTCCAAAAAGCCCTATGTAAAGAGAGACGAACAAAGCTTAACCAACTTGTCAATTAAGTTATATTAAGGTTCATGCATGTCAAGGATATTGGTCAAAGCCATGGCTTCATATTGAATGTCAAATAACCTGAAGAGCTTGCTTGCCAGAAGTTTGAAACTGTGATTGGATTTGCCTGGCCACTGTAGCTTCAAGCTTTGAACTAACTGTCTTCTCTAGCTGATTCACTGCCTTCTCTCCCACCCCTTTCTGCTAAGCCCACATAAAGAAACCTTGATCATTAGAAAGCATATAAAGCATACAAACAATTAAGCAGCTTTTAAAAGTTAATGAGAATTGGGTAATTATGCTAAAACTATCAAGCATTTAATGAAGCAAACATTGTCTAAAGAAAAGACAATTGGACATATGAGCATGACTCCAGCTTCCATGATTATGACCAGTGATATAGAAAGAAACAGAATGAATTGCTTCAATTTAACTGGTGACCAGAAACAAAAATAGAAATGTTAACAAATGAGAAGCTTAGACATTTTACCTGGAATGACTCTGTAATAGCTGATGATATGCTTTTCTCCAAAATGGGAGTGATCGCACGAGCAACAGCAGGTCCAATTGCAGCTATTTCCTTCTTTAAATTTTTCTCTAAAGCTGTTGGCAAATCCTTGTTTATACAATTCGTGATCAAATTTGTTAACTGCTGTATTCGGTCCCTTTCTAATTTCTCGTGCTTTGTGTTTTCTTCTTGAAAACGAGCCCATAGAGCATCTGTGTTAGCCCTAACAACTTTCTCGATGCTCCGGCCCAAAGATGCCTCTAGTCGTTTACCTTCTTTGGAAACTGGGACAGAAATCAGTGTGTTCATCTGCTTCTGCATTTCTTTCTGCATGTTCATTAACTGTGAAACGTGACACAAAATCATTAGTCTTGTACTCTTCATGAAGGCATCAGTCTAAAAGAAGAAATGCATGAACAGAATATTGGATAGAGGAAATCAATGGAGGAGAAGGACGGTTCAAATCTACGCATGTTCTAGCAATATTTGAGTGATTAGGTTTGAAGAATTGGGATCGGATTTGGAGATGTGCCAGAAAAAAAAGCATATTGACAATGTCAAGCAAGGAGGTGACAATAAGCTGGGGGAAAAAGAAAAAGAGGATGATAATAAAACAGTGAGATAGTTGATTTTAATAGTTCAGAATGTATATGAACAGAAAAAGGGTGATATTCTCAAGATCTGCAAGTAGTATGTTAAGCAATCCATATATGACATAAGAGAAGTCAGATCAAAGCAGTGAACTTATGTTGGAAAATATTGCATAAAGCACATCCATTGTAACCATAAAATTGCTAATCACATATAAAGAACAGTTAATCAAAATTCTAATCACCTGATCAAGTGTATCCTGCAAAGCCAATATCTGAGGTAAAGCAGCATCACTAGATTGGGCACCCGAACTGCAACCTGGTTCGTTGGAATCAGTTGAGTTAAATGGACTTGGGGAAGGGGAAGATGGAACAGATACTTGCGAACTTTTCCCTCTTTGTTTTCTTCCTTTAGTT